TTTATTTATTTATTTAATTTATACCCCGCCTATCTGGTCGGTGAGGACCACTCTAGGCGGCTAACAACAATAAAATACAGTAACAGTATAAATAAGCAATTCTAATCAGTAAAAACACTATAATACAATTACATAGAGTGGAAAACAGAAATAGTAAAAAGGGAAGAAGGAGGTCAAGAGGAATATGACCTGTCCGTCTTAGGTGTCTCTGCACGGCATAGCCCGTAGCTTCTCTGAATTACTCAGGCCCCTTCGCCATGACAAGGCAGCAATCTGTGAAGGGGATATTAGATTATACATTCTATTAATTGGACAATTGGCTATGGTGGCTGGGCATGATGGTAAATGGAGTCCAACAACTTATGGTGGGCCACAGGTTTTCCTAGGGAAAAAAAAGAAAGAGGATGATAAAGGTTTATAAAATAGTGGATTCTTATCCTCCCATAACATAGGAACTTGGAGTTACCAAATGAATTTGACTGGTAGCTGATTCAGGTCATACATTTTACTCTTTTCTGTTGCTAGGAGGAGTGTGTTTTGTAAAATATGGAGAGCTGCTGACTTAAATATATATTGACTGAAATTAAAATGCCCCCATCAATTTATTCTTGCTGTTGAGAAAAATAATGCTGTTCTGCATACTTTGTAGAGGCACTGGCTTTCTCCTTGTATCAAAGTCAGCTGAAAAAAAGCCCTGAAGAATAAATACATTATCATTTCTCTTCCACTGTTGTTAGGGCCAGAGTAACATTTTAACCAGAGGTTGAAAAAGTTATTTTTTAACTGTAATTTTCCATTGCTGCTGGCCATTGGCAATTCTGCTTATGACATTCTGAGAATTGTGGTGCAGAAGAATGGTTTCACTTCAGCTGTCATCATAACCCAACAATTGGTCCTACCAAAGTACTTACAAAGCAGGGCATCAGTTATCTCAAGGCATGCAATGAATTTGGATACTGACCTTTAGTTGTTCACCTCCTCTCCTTCCAAGTTGCTTGTCTCCAGCTATTTCCAGGTGGCTTTTGAGAGTAAGGAGTATCCCTTATCAGGAGGAAATATGGCTGTGGAGGAGTGATTATGGAGGAACGAGTAGATAAAGAAAGGGATCAGCAACATCACCCGAAGTGATGCATACTGAGATTCAACATCTCTCTTTTTATCCAGTTGGTAATAGCTCAGTGTGGATATGGGACCAACTATGGTCTCATCTGTGTTGGTTTTTCTTGGTACAGTATTTAACTCAAGTTTCCTTTCAGTTTGAAAAGCAGTGTGAGTGAGACTTATAAGATCTTCATCCATTCTAATGAAATTTAAACTTTCCTTGAAGACACACTAAATATTTTTCTTTTTCTACATTACTATAGTATGCAGGATTCTTGAAGTTAAAACTTCAAAACAGATTTCTCATCTAATAAGGAGTATTAATTGTGTGCTGGTGCCCCTTCTGTCATTATATTTGAAAAGGAAGGTAGTTGTGTTGCTGCGTTTGAATATTTTATTTCTATATAGAAGCTGGGAAGTTGAGAAGAGAGCCCTAAAAATAAGCAGGCACATCGGATGGGATCCTTTTCATGTTGAACCATGAGTGCAACAGACTGTGCAAGTAGTTTGAGTTTTCCAGCTTTTATGCAAGAAGCTATCCAGTACTTCCTTGCACAAGCATTAACCCTTTTTTGTTCAACTGAACACTCTTCACTAGCACAACGCCGAACTACACCAATGAAACATTTAGCTTCAGCAGCATTTTGACCCTGACACTGTTTATTTTGAATTATATATTTTTTTCTAGAGGGACTAAAAATCTTACAATACCCTAAAGACGAATACATTTTTCAGTGAGAAAGTGGTAAATTGTAGTTTATGGAAACCTTGATTCACTTTTAATTTGAAACCTAATAAACACTTTAAATGTTATCTTTCGCATGCAAAAGTGTCCATTTCTGATCTATCTAGGCAGCTTTGGAGAAAAGAGTACAGTACTGCTGTATCTGAAATCCTGGAGAACCACAGTCAGTCAATGTCAAAAATATTGAACAAAATAGTGTGGCTTGGTGTAAGGCTTCCTTTGTTGAATAGATGGGAAACTCTAGGCAAGGGACAGCGTGTTGCCCAGTGTTACGTATTTAGCTTGAGGTAGTATTGAGTTTGCCACCTGTGTAGGGGTGGGAAACTTCAAGCAGTGGACCTGAATCTGGCTCTCTGATTTTTCTCAGAGTTGTTCCCCTACTACAAGCTACTAGTAACTTCTCAGCTTTTTCTTTTTAGTTTCTTCTTAAGAGGTGCCCAACTTTGGGTAACACAGTTGTTCTTGGACTTTAATTCCCAGAAGCCTTCACCAAAAGCCATCCTGGCTGGGGTTTCTGGGAGTTGCAGTCCAAGAACACCTGGGATACCCAAGATTGGGAACCACTGTGTAACAGGATGAAATGCTTCTCCTAAGGAACTTCTCAGCTTTTTCTTTTTAGTTTCTTCTTAAGAGGTGCCCAACTTTGGGTAACACAGTTGTTCTTGGACTTTAATTCCCAGAAGCCTTCACCAAAAGCCATCCTGGCTGGGGTTTCTGGGAGTTGCAGTCCAAGAACACCTGGGTTACCCAAGATTGGGAACCACTGTGTAGCAGGATGAAATGCTTCTCCTAAGGCCAAGTTACAAAAGTAAAAAGGGCTGGTATTTTTGGTTCATTCTTTTGCCTTTAGCTCCACCTACCACCTACCACTGGATTGCAGCAGCCTGCAACTTTGTGAAACAGAGCTGGGCTGAAAGATGTTCCCCACCCTTGGATTTTATGGGCCCCCATCTACTGATGCAGAAGTACTCGCTGTCAGAATTTGCAAATCTTGGTTGGCAAACCCTCTAGACTCTTTCATGGTCTTTCTTTTTGCTATTGCTTCACCTCCCTTCCTCTTTCTTCCTTGCCACTTCACATGCCCAATCCCAATCTCTACTCTTCCTCTCTCCTCCTCTGCAGAAAGTTGGCGGAGGCATCCGGCAGTGGAAGCGGGTCTTTGCTGTCCTGCGTGCACACTCGCTCTACTTATGCAAGGACCGTCGGGAGGCTGTGGCCATAGCCCCGCCCCCAGGTGAGGACGAGCAACCGCCAATCAGCGTCCGAGCGTGCCTGGTAGACATCTCCTACAGTGACACGAAGAGAAAGCACGTCTTCCGTCTGACGACCGCTGACTTCTGTGAATGTCTCTTTCAGGCCGAGGATCGGGATGATATGCTGGCCTGGATTAAAGTCATCAGGGAGAGTAGCAAAGCCGAGGGTGAGGTGAGAACAGGCAATGGCTAGCTACCAATCCCCTCTTTGATCTTTTTCTTCGCTTGCCTTTTTCTCTTTGGGAAAAAGGCTAGAACTAGAAAATGTTACCATTTTGGATCAGAACTCCCCAGCCAGCATGGCTACCAGGCATATGGGGAATTGCAATCCAAACCAGTGCGCCCCTTGGAAGTTCTAGTGCACAGCAATAACTAGGAGTATTCTGGGATCTGTTGTCCAAAATAGTGACAGGTCATCCCAGCTGGGAGATTCTGGAAGTTGCAGCCCCAACTGAGATTGAGGGGGTCAATTTCACTCCACTTTCAGAACTCGAGAGTTCCATATTACAACCATTGTCATTTGTATAGGGAGCAAAGTATGGCATTCCTGCCTGTTCCCCCCTCCCCTTCCAGGTATGCTACTTTAATTTTCTCATCATGAAGTTCTTATACTCTGTGTTTGCTTTTCTTGGTTTGGTGGAAAGTTGCTTTTTCCAAAAATTGATCCTGGTTGGAGGTGATGGGAATTCATGACCTTTCTTTAGGCACTTGGAAGAGTTCTCTTCCATTCAGAATTAGAAACTTTTGGAAGCTCCTGTTGGCTTACAGTGACCCCCTGTTGATCATTTTAGGGCCAAACTATACGCGATGTAGGATCAAATGGTAATCATTTTCTCAGACTGCATCACTTAAAGTTGCAAACAGAGGGTTGAATGCAAAGGAACCCCTGCTTGTATATAGGAGAAGGGTTTTTTGCTTCATATCCCTCCTTCCCAGCCATCTGTGCAGAATCAGAGCATGGGCAAAGTTAATTTTTTTGACTGCATCTCCCAGAATTCCCCAGCAGTATTTTAAAAGCATATTTTCCAGGCCCTATAAAGAACATGTGTCTTCATTTGAGTTCAGTTTCAAGATACAAACTGTATCTTTAACCTGCACCAGGAAGAAACAATGTGGGCTGCTGGAGATGTGAGTAGTTTTTCACCAGTAACTTTTAAGACTTTATCCGGGAGGCACATTATTCTAAGTTTAGTCCCCCTGCTAAGAAGGGATGTTGATCAGTAGGTTAGGGAGGCTGAAATCTTGTTGCTTAGATTAGTAAATTGCAATTAGAATAGGCCCATTGGATCAATGGGACTTGCAGAGTTGATTCACCAAACTTCCATTGATTCTAATGGGCCTACCCTAGTTGCAACTTCCTGTGTGAAAGCATCAGAATTTCAACCAGAGTGTGATATTGTTCCAATTTGTTTAACTTTGGGTTGACACTTAATCCTATTCTTTCTCTTCTGCCCTCTCCCATTATTTTTTGCCATCTCTAGGACCCTGGGTTTGCAAGCCAAGCACTAATCAATAAGAAACTAAATGACTACAGAAAAGTGAGGTAAATTTCTTATCATGCCTGCTTTCTTTCCTCCTTTGGGTTTTCTCTTTTTTTATATCCATCTAGAATTAGGCTTCACTGTCTTCAGATGACAAGCTTGTATAGGGAGTGCAACTCCCAGAAACCCCAGCCAGCAGAGCTGATGGTGAAGGCTTCTGGGAGTTGCAGTCCAAAACTCCTGAGTAACTCAAGGTTAAGAACCAGTGATCTAGAATTAGGCTTCACTGTCCCTCAGATGACAAGCTTGTATAGGGAATGTATAGATGACAAAATTGTATGGGGAATTTCAGAATGCAAGGGGGAATACAATGACTAAATCATTCTTCATAGTAAAATATTCTGCCCATGTGGAAAACCAAACTTATTAAAGAGAAGATAATCTAGAACCTTTCTCAGTTGTAGCATACTAGTCTTCTAGGTAGAGAGACAGTTTTCATTATTAATTATTTGCGCCTCTGTCTAGAATCTCTAGTGGTCTGGTATAAGGTTACCACCTCAGGGCTAGGCTTTGGCCTCCTTTCCTACAGACAGAGTTGTGTATGTCTTATTTGGGAAGTAAAAAACCTTCCCCATGCCCATAAAATAAAATGTAAAATGGGATACATCCTAAACCTCAATTTTGTAACTCAAATACAGAATAGTTTCAGTTTTCCAGTAAATGTATTCTGCCTCCTGTTGTACAGATTTGAAATGAACTGGAAGAGGATAGAATAATTTGGAATATGTGTTATTGACAAAACAAAGCTGTTATTGTCCTGGTTAGTCCCCAGATGAGGGGCCGTGGAGTTTTAACCAGAGAGATTATAATGTCACTTACAATAACCTTGCCCCTTGATGTCATCAGACTCATGCGAGGGACTTCCAATCTCCTATCCACCAAAAACAATCCATTTTGCAACTGCTGTATCCCACTGTTTAAGTAAGGGCTGCCCTCCCTGTTAGCCTCTTCTGTCTTTCTCCAATAGGCTTGCCTTAGCTTCTTTCTGATAGGCTTGCCTATCATCTAGGGTGACAGGCTGCGAGTCTCACATCCAAAACATCTTCCATCCCCAATATTACTGGCCTGCAGGAGGAGATTTGGTCCCATCACTCTGGTTGCCATCCTCAGCTTCTTTGCAAAAGCAAAGCAAAGCGTGCTGCTTATATACCACCCCACAGCACTTCAAGCACTCTCTGAGGGGTTTACAAGTTAATTATACAGGCTGCCCATTCCCCCCCCCCCCAGCGAGCTGGGTACTCATTTTACCGACCTCAGAAGGATAGAAGGCTGAGTCAACCTTGAGCCGGCTACCTGGGATTGAACCCCGGGTGGTGAGCACAGTTTTAGCTGTAGTACAGCAGTTTAACCACTGCGCCACGGGGCTCTTCCTTTGATTCTTTATACCATATTTGAGTGGTTGTAGCATATCTCTTGGGCCCTAGCACCTTCCCTGTCATGTTCTGCTCACCTCCCCCACTTGCTAATCACCTCTCAACAGAGTTTCCCCACAAAAATTAGCACCATGAGTCACCTTTAGGAGGTTTTAAAATGATAAAGCATGCTTTGGGGTTCAGACCGTGCAGTTCTGATGCCTCTCCAAACCACAGACTGTCAGAGCTTACAAATGGTTTTTCAGGCCATGAGGTGTCAGTGCTGACTGAGTTGGTGACCAAGGTTTCTCTCTCTCTCTCTCTTTCTCTTTCTCTCTCTCTCTTTGTATACTCTCTCTGTTTCTCTCTCTCTCTCTCTTTGTATGTGTCTGGTGGGGAAGTTAAACCTGAACCTTGAATTGGTATGCTGCACACTCTTCTCTTGCAGTTCCTCTGGGACCAAACCAGATTCTTCGCCAAAGGGTTCTCGAATGCCAGGGGTGAAGTCAGAATTGCAAAAACAAATGGGAGCAGGCCCACCTCGCTCTCCTCGGCAGGATGCAGTAACACTAAGAGGTACAAAGAGCTTGACTGAGTCTCTCTCTCTCTCTCTCTCTCTCTCTCTCTCTCTGTATGTATGTATGTATGTATGTATGTATGTATGTATGTATGTATGTATGTATGTATGTATGTATGTATGTATGTATGTATAGGTGTGCCTGCCTGCACATGCATGGATGAGCCCATAGGAAATCTTAAGGCAGGGCTCGTTGGAGACTGTGCATTTTGGACATAAGCGTCTAGGCCCCAACATTCTTAAGCCAGCACCTATTGGAGAAGGGTTAGACTACAACTCCCATCTTTCCCAAACTAACTGGGTACCCCAAGATGATCTGGATTGGTTAGAGTTGGCTCAGTGTGTAGTGCTGGATTCAAAATAGCCAACTTTCAGTCTGTCCACGTGCTGTCAGTCTGTTTTTTCCCCCTTCTCCCATTTGAGTGACACTAAGTCGGACGCCTTTGCTTCACACAACCTCGCTTTTCTCTTCTTCCTCTGGCTGCTCATACAGTAGGAAGAGAACAGGGAAAGCTCACCACAAAGTGTCCCATTTTCTGCCTAATGGGTCTACAAAAAGACAAGAATAAACCCTTTAGAATAAACCCTTGGTTGGTAGTTTTTCACCTGATTCTCCCAGCTTTATTTCTTCTCCTCAACGTTCTCTTCTCAGCTAATGAACCTGTCTTTTTATTTTGTCTCCCCCCCCTGCCCAGATGACAGTGTCCATCAGAAAACTCCCTGGGGTATCAACATCATGAAGAAGAACAAGAAGCCTGCTCCAAGGGCCTTTGGTGTGAGGCTAGAAGACTGCCAGCAAGCCCCTGACAACAAGGTACCCTTTGAGGAAATTCCTAGCCTGTGAATACCTAGCACCTTAAACATCTGTCTTAAAGAGTGAAACCATTGTTTATGTGTCATCAGGTTGCTTCCAACTTATGGTGACTCTATGAATGAATAATCTCCAAAATGTCCTGTCCTCAGCAGCCCTGCTCAGCTGCTGCAGACTCAAACCTGTGGATTCCTTTAGGAAGTCAGCCCATCTCATATTTGGTCTTCCTCTTGTCCTACTGCCTTCCAACTTTCCCAGCAATATTGTCTTTTCCAGACAATCTTACCTTCTCATGATGTGCCCAAATTAGGATAGCCTTAGTCCCAGCAATATTGTCTTTTCCAGACAATCGTACCTTCTCATGATGTGCCCAGATTAGGATAGCCTTAGTCTCAATATTTTTGCCTCCAGAAATAGTTCAGGCTTGATTTGATCCAGGACCCACTTGTTTGTCTTTCTGGCAGTCCAGGGTATCTGCAAAGTTCTCCTCCAGCATCACATTTCAAACAAATCAATTATTTTCCGGTCAGCTTTCTTAGCTGTCCAGATTTCACACCCATACATAGTGAAACTATTGTGGCTGCACTGAGTTCTGTGGTAAGCAGGCCAACCTGCCCAGTGACATGCCATTCTAAAAGCCATTGCCCGTACTTACACTGTAGTTAGAGATAAAATCTATTTCAAGTGCCAACATGCATATACAGACACCACATGCAAACAGATGATGTATGGTGGGCAAAGCACTGGGTAGTTGCTTCTAACAAGTAATTAGTTAAGATTGTAGTTGCAGTACTGCAAATCAGTTGATTATCACTGAAGTTTCCATTTTAGAAAATAGCTTTTTAGTTTAGGCTATTTTTATTTCCTTCCTTGTTTTAAGAATCTGAATGCTACAAGTTACTGGCATACTCTGATTTCATCAGTGGGCTGGTTTGGAATGAACTCCAAAATACATGGATTTGACATGAATGCCAAAAAGAGCTCCAAAATATGTGAATTAGTATGCCAGCAGTTACAATGGCCGACTTGAAGAGGGCTGTGACTTTGTAATGCATGGTATAGGAGGCAAAAAGACCTTTCTCTTTAGGCAACCTTTCCCTCAGTGACTGTCTGCCTAAGGTTTTTTAAATGGATTGTTATGTCTTACTGCTTTAAATTTGTTTTTAGTATTGCTTTGGTTTGCCATTTCTCAAAGAGGCATTTGTTAGATCCTTTTTAGTATTTGTATGCTATGATGATGTAAGAGTGCCTTTGTATGCTCATGTTTTTTTTAAACTTTACACATTGTCCTTTAATGATGTAAGCTGTCTTGGGTCCTTTTTAAAGAGAAAGGCAGGATAAGAATATTTTTAATTAATTAATTAAAGTTAGATGTGGCACTGGCTAGCAGCTACTTGATTGCACCTCTCTCACTGGCCCCACCATAGTGAAGGGTACTTTGCTGTTTTGAGGATATCTGAACCTATTGTCACTACATTTTTTTTCCTTTTGCAGAAAGTCCCCTTGATTGTGGAAGCCTGTTGCAAGGTTGTAGAAGACAAGGGCTTGGAATACATGGGCATTTATCGGGTTCCCGGAAACAATGCTGTGGTATCAAGCCTTCAGGATCAGCTTAACAAAGGATTTGCAGAAATCAATCTGCAGGATGAGGTGAGAGCATTGCCATGGCACTCCTCCCTGCCTCCTGCTGGTCTTTCTCGCCCTTCTGTCAATCTTCCACCTTTCAAGCTTTGGCCTTCACCAGAAAGTCAGTGTATTATTAGGTAGTGCTGACACCTAGCTGCCACTTGCTTGTAGTACAAGTAGTGTGTATGAACAGAGATAGAGACAGGGAGAGAGATCATAGAACTGCGGAGCTAGAAGAAACCCTATGGATCATCAAGTCCAGCCCCTGTGAAGGAGGCACAGGAAGGAATTGAACTCCCAGCCTCTGGTTCTGCAGCCAGATGCCTAAGCCACTGAGCTATCTCAGTGACAGTCTTTATACAAAAATAAAGATACAGAAATAGGGATAGAGGGAGATACAGATGCAATTGCTGAAGAGTCTAAGTGTTACACAGCCTTTAATGCAGAAAGGACCCCATTCCTTATGTTCTGAAAGACTTATTGTCAGAGTTGTATGTAATCTGTGGCCTCCTCACCAGGCCACGGAACTGCATCTGCTAGTGAGAGAGAACAGATAAAGAGCAGTTCAGAGTCCACGTGTTCTCTTGCCCACCAAGCACTGGAAAGAGTATTGACACTTGCCTCTGGCTTCTGGAATTTCAGAGAATGTTGATCATACATTTTCAAGCATATCTTAGTGGCCATTAGGGGCTAGTAAGCTGCTCCATTACAAAGAAGTGTTCGCTGAGATTCTCTAGAAGCTAAATTCTCTGTCCAGTGCCACTTAGTTTAGGTTTTTCACCTTCCCATAGAATTGTGGCATTTCTACAGTCCTGGGTACAGCTTTTACTTCACTCAGCCATACATTTGCTGGAGAAAAAAGGAATATTACTAGTTGAAAACAAAGTAAGTGTCATGGTCAGTGCATACTAAATGGCTGCCAATCCATTTCTGAACTGAATTCAAAGTACTGGTTTTAACGTACAAAGCCTGAAATGACTTGGGCCGAAGCTGTCTCAAGGACCGTATCTCCCCTTACGAGCCTGCTCGAGTGTTAACATCATCAAGAGAGGACATTCTCTTGGTCCCCTCACCTTCACAGGTGTGTTTGGTGGGTAAATGGGACCCAGCAAGCTCACAGACCTTGGAGCTCTCTCCCACAAGGGGTTTGTCTGACCCCGTCTTTGCTGTCCTTCCACAAGCAAGCAAAGACTTTTCTCTTCAGGCAAGCTTTCCCTAGGTGTCCGGCTGCCTGATTGGAGATTTAAATGGATTGTTGTACCGTACCACATTGAATGTGTTTTGATGTTGCTTATGTTTTTTTTTAGTATGCTATTTGTTTAATACTTTATGTATTTGTGAAAATCACTGTTGTTAGCTTTAAATACTGCCTTTTAATGATGTAAGCTGTCTTGGGTTCTTTTTAAGGAGAAAAGCAGGGTGAAATATGTTAATTAATTAAAAACAAAATAAAGCACATGTCACTGTCAACTGTGGACAGTATGTTGAAAAATCAAGAGCAGCTTAAATCAGTGGGAAATGTTGCTTGGTGCTTTGAGGGCCTTGTCTCTTGCCAAATTCAAAAATATAGAGATCTCAGCTGGACTTTTGCAGCATCTCAGCTTTGCCATTGCTTCTCTTTTTTCTCTTTGTGGGCAGAGGTGGCAGGATCTGAATGTCATCAGCAGCCTCTTGAAGTCCTTCTTCCGGAAGCTCCCAGAACCACTGTTTACAGATGGTGAGTGATGATGCTATGCTACCCTTTTTAAAAATCCATTCAAGTAGGAGAAACAGCAAAATATTTTCACCCAAACTTATTTGAACCTTGTGTGAAATACAAAGAAGAAGGCAAAGTATAAGGAGTGGAGCACATGCTATACTTCTGCTTTTTTAAACACATGCCTCCTCTCTTATAGCAGCAGTTTACAGGTAGCAAATTAAATCTGCCTAAGTGAAGGACACAGAGATAGACGTGAAGAAGAACAGAGAGGCAGTGTAATCATAGTGGGGAAGAATTGGGACTTTTACAGGAGAAGTCATTTTATGGTAGCAGATCTTGCAGAAATGCAGTTCAGAATGCCTTCAGCTTCGTGCAGGTTCAGTTTTCCCTCTTCTTTGGTATCTTACAGGCATAAAACATAGCAGCTTCTCTTCAGTTTCCTGGCATGAACAAAATACTTGCTTAGGAGGGTTTTCTCCAGCAATGGAAGAATAAGAAGACCATCTAGTCTAAAAATAATTGATAACCCCAAAATATATACATCAACACCATGTGTTCTCTGCTCCCTTGGATCTTATTACTGCAGGCCTCTACATTAGGGTTGTTCTAAACCAGGAAAGCAGAAACTGCAGGTGTTGGGCAACATCTCCCACTGATTCTAGCCAGCATGGCCAGTGGTGGGTGATGATGGGAACTGCCATCCAGCAACAGCTGGAGAGTTACCAGTTTCCTGTCCTTGCTGTAAGTAAAAGGATGTCCAGAGATTCACTTATTCCATATACCTCATTGTTTGTTTCCTCTAGACAACAGGCGATTCTAGAAAGAGGGCTACTTAGGGTAACAATAAAAAGACTTCTCAGCTGTTGCCTGCCTCTTAAAATACCTGTTTCTTGTAAGAACAAAAAAGATGGAATAAACAGTGGAAAAACATAGGAAGGTTACACATTGAGGATGACACTCAGTCCGAACTCTTACATTTCCCTATGATGGGATCATGACTCTGGGATGTCCTTTGAACTGAATGGTATCTGGCTTTCTCATTGCATTTTTTTTTTGCTAGAAAATGAAGACACTTCTTATTTTGATGAGCTTTAAAATGTGTGACATCTTTTACACTTGCTTCTATTAGGAAGTTTTTTTAAAGAGTTGCTTGTCTTGTATATTCTTTGTTACAGCTTCTGCTTTATGTACTTGCATTGTTACTGTTTTTTTAACAGTATGATTATACTGTGTACTATCCTGAATATTTGAACAGGAACTTGGGGCATTCATTTTTTTAGGGATGTCCCTGATTTCCCCTTCCTCAGTTTATGTCCCTCTTATTTTTATTTTACAAAGTCTTCCATTTCTCACTTAGCATTCCCCAAATCTGCCAGATTTCCTCAAAACTGGCCTGCAGGAGCTAATAGAACTGGATGGTGGTAACCATCCAAGTAAACAGCCCAGGACCATTTCCTTGTCAATTTCTCAGCAACCTAAGCCAAGGTCAGGCTTGGGGGTCAGGATGATACCAGGAATCAAAAATAATGGCTGGACTCGCGTGTTCTGGGAGTTATTTGAAAGTCTCTGCTTGAACCCTGTTTCCTTGTGAAATCAGACATCCTCTTTCCCAGGGCTGCATTCCATATTTTTAAGGATATCTTTCTTTTTGATTGCTTGTTGTTCAGGATGTTTCAGTCCACACAAGTTATTATAGCTGCATGGCTGGAGTCTACCCAAGACTTTGACTCACTTCGGTCTAACCATGTCTAGTAAGAAAGACAAAATGTGCTTCAATATTACTCTAATCAAGATTTGTGGCTTTTGCCATACCCTGCTGGCTGCCAGTCATAGAGGTGATTGAACATGACCACAGGTTGTCGTTAATAAAATGTTACAGAAAAAATGTGGATTAGTGAGAGCTGTGAGTTCCCATAACATGTAGTATGACAGCTCAAGTCCTAGAAATCATTGATAGATTGGAGTTCCCAAAGGGATTATTCCACCAAACTTTCCAAGACTGAAATGAGATGGTACAAGGACATTGCCCTTCCAGTTGCATTTAAGATCCCTTCATCTCTTTCTGTTGAAGTCCAGCTTTGCAAAATGTGCTATTTCAGATGCTACCTCTTCCTTTATGCTATAGTTTGGGATTTAGCCCCCATCCCAGTAAAACTACCAACCTTTGAACCATTCCAGCTCAGTTGCCTGTGATAAGCCAGAACAGTCACAAATGTTCTTCTGTTTTTCTTTTCAAGATAAGTACAATGACTTCATTGAAGCCAACCGGATTGAAGATGCCAGTGAAAGGATGAAGACCTTGCGCAAATTGGTATGCACCTGGGACAGATTTCTCCCTGACTTAATGCTTTTTCCAACCTTCACATGGTACTAGGAAAAATGTGTACATTCTCTTGCCTTGTGCGACAAACATTTGAGAAGAAGGGCAGAGTTGCGTGATAAATATGATTCCACTCCAAGTTGCTTTGTGGGACATACACAATTTGCATTCCAGAATCCTCAGCTGGTTGGTTGACTGTGGATGTGTCAGGAGAAAATACACAAAAATGTTTGAAATACATCCAGTGCACACCTTCAGCATACTTTAATTGATGAGTGGAGGGGAGGTCTTCTCACAACATGTCTAAGTATGCACACAACTGGGGGAAAAAGGAAAAGGGATACATCTTATCCCCTTTAGAACAACAACAGTGGAGCCAGATACAGACTGGACATGAAGGTGGAGTGGTGAAGTCCTCAGATATGGATTTTATAGCATCCCTGAGGAAGGATCATCCATTACCAGTAGAGCACATGCTTTACACACAAAGTGTGCCCTACCTATCACCCCTACCTAGAGACACTGGGGATTGAACCCGGGGCCTCGTCTGTGAAAAACCAATATGGCAGTACTGTACTTGTTTAAATTGAAATTGCCACTACGAGCGACATTATCAGAAAATGTAATTTATTACTTTAATTTAAGTCAACTTCCCCCTGCAACAAGCAGCCATGACTTTCTGCATGCAAAGCACATGCTCTCCTGCTGGCTGAGGCTGACATGATATAAAATAACTTCCTGGGCTCCTTTCATGTAATGATTTTATGAACTGGTTCACACTTGAAATTAATTCTGTTTTAGTGAAAAATACCCAAGAATTAAATCATACTGAAGGCTTGCTCTGAGGAAGAAAGTATTGGGAGTGGAAGTAGAAGAAAGGGAGGGGAAGGGAAGATGAAATACAAGGAGAGAGAAAAAGAGAGTGAAGCAGTGGATGGAAAGGAAACACCTCAACATTGCACTTAACACCCAACACATTTCATGCTAGCTGATAGTTCAGTTGCAACTACTATTTTAAAAATCCAGACCATTCAACTTGTCAGTGTCAAGCCATTTGCAGAAACAAACAGGTTTTAATGCATATTAAATAGCATCAAAGGAACAATATAATAAAGCTTATGAACTGGGGCTCAATAAATAGCACAGGGATGATTGTTAGGTCTAGAGAAATTGTATCAAAAATATAATGACAGTTCTTAAACTGAGAAAAATTGGTACAAAATATGTAGCACTTTTTTCCCAAACACATTCTGTTCTTTGTAATATTTTAATTAAAGCACAATTGATCTAATCTTGAGATTACTAGTGCATGCACCAATTATAGACCATAAAAGCTGCCTTCCTTTGTTTTACCTTGAGTATTTTTAGCATTTTTATATTTTATAAGATAGACAAGCTGGTCTGCCACCTTAAATCCTGTTGCTGTAAGTTATGCTGCCTTGCCGGTCCCGGTTGATTTTCAGGCATTAAAAGAGTTCTCTCTATCCCATGTTCTGCAGCTCCAAAGGCTTACCCAGGGGAAGAGGGACCCTAGGGATCTCTGGCAATTCCTAGTTGGTGTAGTGGATAGAGTGATGGGACTAGGACTCTGGAGAACAGGGTTTGAATCCCCAGTCGGCCATGGAAACTCACTGGGGGAGTGAAGCTGGGAATGCCATTCCTTAAATATCTCACTTACCTTGAAAGCCCTATTAGGGTTGCTATAAATCAGTTCTGACTTGATGGCACAGAGCACCCATGTACAAGGATCTCTGGAACCTGGGGGGAGGATAAGTGGAAATGTTTAATTCCCCTAAAACAACTATGGTTGATGACATCATCCAAGTTGCATAATTTAAAGTTGCACAACAAGATTTCAGCCATTGTAGTCTAAGCCTGAATTAGCTGAATCAGTTCTGCATAGCGCTTGCTAAATTAACCTGTAAAGCAGGGGTGGGAATTTATTTATTTTTTTGCAATGAGAAAGTAGTGTGGCTTCATCAATAGATGGACCCGCTGCATTTGAACTGCCGGTTTTGCATGTTTTTAATCATAAAATTTCTGTATCAGCTCCTGCATCAATCATTGATCCTTTTTAAAATACAGTGGTGCCTCGCTTAGCGACGTTAATCCGTTCCAGGAAAAACGTTGCCAAGCGATTTAATTGCTAAGCGATTTTAAAAAGCCCATAGAAATGCATTTAAACGTGTTTAATGCATTCCTATGGGCTTAAAAACTGACCTTATGTGAAGATCCTCCATAGGGGCGGCCATTTTCGGTGCCTCTAAAGCGAGGCAAAAGAGCGGGTGGCCATTTTGTTTTTCCGGCAGCCATTTTGGAACCGCCGATCAGCTGTGCAAAAAGGGTCGCTTTGCCATGATCACTGCCCCGCGATCATCGCAAAGCGATTTTTCCCCATAGGGGCCATCACTAAGCGATCGCTCTGGTGATGGCCAAAACCTCATCGCTAAGCGATTTCATCGTTCAACGGAGCTATCGCTAAACGAGGCACCACTGTATACCGAAGAGGTGTTTATTTCCATACATGTGCACATTTTTGTACTCAGCTTTCCCTAATATCAACTGGCTGGATAGCTCAGTAGTTTGCGTATTTGGCTGCGGAACCATAGGATGTGAGTTCAGTTCCCCACTGTGCACTCCAGAAGAGCCAGGCTGTGTGGACTTGAGCAAGTAGAATACGGTATATAGAAACTATTTTTGCAGTATCATACACTGTAAAATAAATAACCCTGAGTCAAAAGAGAAGATGAAAATATGTAGGAAAAACATGGGGAAGCAGTTCCAAGAGCAGCTATGTAGATGTCATAAGATAATGACTCAGGCAACAAGCAGAAATAATATACTTTCCACATCATGGTTCTGCTCTCTTTGTCCCATATACCCATCACTCCTCCTTCTCGTCCCCCCCACATACACCTGCAATGATAACTGTATCATTTTGACTGGCTTGTTAATGCTGCTGCTTCTTTGTTTTCTCCAATGTTCTACCCTCTCTCTCAGGGAAGTTACTATATAACAGGGTTGGGACTATATAACATCAAGATAGGGAAAGACATAGATTTCCCCAGGCCAGGAAAAGAAACTGTTTACTTCACAAGTTTATTAGGAGAGTAGACATCCAGTAATTAGGAACTGCCATGTTGCTTAGAGGGAGAAAGCCTAGATTAGCACAGTATAAGAGTTTGCAAGCTTTCAAATTTCACAGGTTCTTGTATCTTCATTAAGAAACAGTTTATGCCCCAATAAAATACAGTGGGGTCTTGACTTGAGAACTTAATCCGTATTGGAAGGCGGTTCTCAAGTCAAAAAGTTCTCAGGTCAAATCTGCATTTCCCATAGGAATGCATTGAAAACCATTTGATCCATATCTGCTCTTTTCCGTCCATAGAAACTAATGGGAAGCTGCTATTCTGCCTTCGACCACTAGAGGGGGATATTTTGTTTCTTTTTTTCTTAGGTCAAGAAAGGTTCAGGGAAGGCAGGGAAAATACAGTCCAGGCAGTACCAGGCAGTCCGAAGACTGTCTCCCAGTCCACTCTCTAAACGCTGGGAGGAGTGAGGAAGCAGACAGGCACCCTTTTCACTGGCCAACAGTTAACTGAAAGTTCAAATTTTGCACTTTCCCTGCCTCCCACGTGGGTTTTTTTCAGTTCTTAACTCAAATCTAAATATGTAAGTCAAGTCAATATTTTCCTGTGAGAGTGGTTCTTAAGTCAAAATGTTCTTAACTCAAGCCGTTCTTAAGTCAAAACCCCACTGTATGGAGAAATCATAAAGTTGAATACAGGGAACAGAGAGGGATTGCAGGAATCCTTCATGTTGCATGAACAAAAACTAAACAGGTATCTAATCAGTTGTTACTGTGTTTTCTTCCACGTCTCTTGTAGATCTGGGACTTGCCAGCTCATTATTACGAGACCCTGAAATTCCTGGTGGGGCATCTAAAGACAATTGCAGATCATTCCGAGAAGAATAAGGTAATGCTTGCAGGAAATATGGCATTGATGATTTTTGAAGCCAAAATCCTATAGAGGAGAACTGCATGCAAAAGGGCAGTTACACAAGCACCTCCCCCCTTTGTTGCTGGGCATGTGGTTGTTCACTTAGACAGTGGGTATGGGGGTGCACGATGGCTAGCCAGCTAAACAGGTGGAATATTTGTGTGGTTGGCCTTATGCAATAGCATAAGGCAATAGGAAGACAGATGGAGGTTCAGTAAGTAATATATTCAGTTTATATTTAGAAAGAATATGTATCTGTAAGTAGTTCTGAGGTTCTAACTGGAACCTAATCTGTTCTGTATATTGAAACAGGCATCCTTCAATTTATCACCCTCTCTGGATTAGAACTTTCATGATCTTCAGCTGTATTTGGGAATGGAGATGTTGGAATGTAATACATCTGTAGGGTGCCATGTTGGGGAAGACTGCTTTAAAGCAATTTGGAATATATTTAAACTGACATGCTCTTTCTGAATGAGCTGTGAAAACTGTAGGATATTTTCCTTGCTCTTTGGCAAGAGATTCTTAGGCTGTAGCTCAGTACTCGTGCATCCCCATTGATATCTATGAGGCCTACTTTTGAGTATAAATGTATATAATTTTACAGTTAATTTTTTTGTACAGTGGTGCCTCGCTAGACGATGATAATTTGTTCCACTGAAATAGCTGTTTAGTGAAATCATTGTCTCATTGTCTAGCGAAAAGCATTTCCCCATTGGAATGCATTGAAACCTGTTTAATGCATTCCAATGGGGAAGAATCGTCATTGTCTAGCGAAGATCGGCCATAGGAAAACCGCTTTGTGAACCACCGATCAGCTGTTTAAATTGCTGTCTTGTGAAGCTTAGGTCCCGAAAACACCTGTTTTGCGAGCGCAGAGAGAGCTGTCAAAATCATCATCATCTAGCAAAAATCGGTTTGCAAAGCAGGGACCAAACATTGTCCAGCGAAATTCCCCCATAGGAATCACTGTTTTGCGAATCGCTATAGCGATCGCAAAAAGTCAATGTCTAGTGAAAAAACTGTCATGCTGGGTAACTGTCTAGTGAGGCACCACTGTACTTGTAATTCCTGAGGTTTCATGACAGATTCAGGCTCATTTGGATCTTTTAACTGGTCCTGATGGAAGTGTGAAGAATTAATACATCACTTGCTCAAAAGTCTTTACTTGAGACCTTGTTTAATGCACTGATCCCACCTACCCCAGTCAATATCACCCAGTCAGAGTATGTGTGGTGCCTGAGTAGCTCATCCACCATCCTGTTATGGCACCATCTATCTGTTCACTGAAGCACTCTCTCAAAAGGAAAGAAGTGCATTGGTGGGTGGGTGGGAACTTTGGCTTGACATGAGAGAAAAGCAGATAGAGTTCATAACATTAATCTTAGCCCTGGACTAGCATCTCTGGCAGATGATAATCTGACTGGTTCATATTCATTTTATTTGGCTTTCTTGTTGTTTGATTTTACACTATTTAGAAGTTTATCCCTTCTGCAACTGAAGCCCCCATCCCCTCTGAGGAAGAAGAAGAATAACCCAAAGATACTTGGAAAATGCAAAAAAATAGAAGGCATGAGTAGGCAATTTCAGTGTATCCGGGGATAAATTTTTGGCCCCCAGGATCTTCTAGGATCTGTATGAACGATTGAAAATCTACAAAACTACAAAGGCTACTTTTTATTTTTACTTTGAGGTGTTAAATGTTGCAGGGCCCTCTGCAATCTATTTCAAAGGAGAACTACCAGTTCTGGGTGCTTCTAGCCCTGCAAGTCAAGTAGAGTTCTGAGACAGTGGGCCCCACAAAAGCAGCCTGGAAGGGTACACTAGCTCATCCCTGATAATAGGGCACAACCCACACATACCTTCCCCAAAGCTTTATGTAGGAACAGAGCATAAGACACCATCTTACCATGCCCAGAGTGGTACAGTATACCAGATGGGCAGGATATAAATCGAATAAATAAAATAAATAAATAAAAATAAATCTTGCTTCTTGCTCTTCCTCTCCTGAGGTGACTCTCCTGCAGTACTCTATGGGGCCAGTGAGCATCCCCTGAAAAACGTTCTGACTGGGGCCAAAATCTGCTGTCGTTTTTTCCATAGCCGAAATAGGTTATTGTGCTTCACAATGAGATTAAAAGGGGTGGAGGAAACAAAATGTTCATCCTTTCTTTTACTTCTGTCAATTCATTGATTTTTTTCAGTTTCATTCCAGAAGTTGGTACCCTAAAAACAGTTCATCTAGTGCAGTAGTTCTTAACCTTGGGTTACTCAGGTGTTTTTGGACTGCAACTCCCAGAAACCTCAGCCAGCAGGCTTCTGGGAGTTGCAGTGCAAAAACATCTAAGCAACAAAGGTTAAGAACCAGTGATCTAGTGTAGAGTACTTACAATGTCATTTTTATAAACTAAGCAAGGCTTAAGGAAAAGATAAATTTGTGACCATTTGACTCGGTGTGTAGGCCAATAAATAAGCCTCAATACAAAAAGTACAGTATAAACATTATTTCTTGGAACTGTTCTGTCTTGTAGTTTCCATGTACAGTGGGGTCTTGACTTGAGAACTTAATCCGTATTGGAAGGCGGTTCTCAAGTCAAAACATTCTCAGGTCAAATCTGCATTTCCCATAGGAATGCATTGAAAACCATTTGATCCGTATCTGCTCTTTTCCATCCATAGAAACTAATGGGAAGCTGCTATTCTGCCTTTGACCACTAGAGGGGGATATTTTGCTTCTTTTTTTCCTTAGGTCAAGAAAGGTTCAGGGAAGGCAGGGAAAAGACAGTACAGGCAGTCCCAGGCAGTCCGAAGACTGTCTCCCAATCCCCTCTCTAAACGCTGGGAGGAGTGAGGAAGCAGACAGGCCCCCCTTTCACTGGCCAACAGTTAACTGAAAGTTCACATTTTGCACTTTCCCTGCCTCCCTCGTGGTTTTTTTTCAGTTCTTAACTCAAATCTAAGTATGTAAGTCAAGTCAATATTTTCCTATGAGAGCGGTTCTTAAGTCAAAATGTTGTTAACTCGAGCCGTTCTTAAGTCAAGACCCCACTGTAATATCTGCTCCTAGCTGAGAACCGTTCTACTCACCCACGGGAACTGTTCTGTCTTGTAGTTTCCATGTAATATCTGCTCCCAGCTGAGAACCGTTCTAATCACCCACCTGATGAGGGAGGCTGGAGTTGAGTCTGTTGGTCCTGCCTTCTCCACCACTGTCTGCATGTTGGAGAGTGCAGCACAGAGACTCATTGACTTGTGTACAATGTCTGCATGATTTAGAAGAAACAGGGGCAAAATGTAGCTCACAAGTCACTTGAGGCTCCCCAGGAGCCCAAATGTACCCCTAGCACCTACTGTGTTCCCAGAGGATTTGGGAGCTTTTTACCAGTGTTTTGACATGCAGCGCATCTGTCTCCTCAAGGTTTTAAATGATGAGAGACAGCCAGTGCAGTAGACCTAGGTTCAAATCTCTGCTTTCCATGAAAACTCACTCCAGGGAAAATAGCAATGGTAAACCATTCTGTAAATGTCTCACATACCTTGGAAGCCCTATCAGAGTCACCCGTGGTTTTTTTTCAGTTCTTAACTCAAATCTAAGTATGTAAGTCAAGTCATTATTTTCCTATGAGAGTGGTTCTTAAGTCAAAATGTTCTTAACTCGAGCCGTTCTTAAGTCAAGACCCCACTGTACCTTGGAAGCCCTATCAGAGTCACCATTAGTCAAAAGCAACATGGAAGTACTCACAATGGGGACAAATGATGTGCGGAATACACAAAAGAGAGTATGTTCTGTGCTGCAGACAGAACCCCCTCTAGGATTTAGAGGGGTGATTACCAGCGTTGGATCTCCAGATGGACTACAACTCCCAGAAATGTTGTCAAGCACAGCTAATGGTGAAGGCTACTGGGAATTTTAGTTCAAGAACGTCTGGGAACCCAAGGTTGGGAACCATTGATTTAGAGGAAGCAGAGTTTGGAAAGATTGTTCTTTTTTTTCTTCCACCTACATCTTGTAGAATTCAGCAGCCAGCCATACTCACCTGGGGGTTATGGGAATTGTAGTTTAGAACAGTAAAATTTTCCAGTTCTAGATTAGGGTAGATCTAGTGCAGTCATCTCCAGCTTTATTCAGGGAGTTCTGGTTGCATGAGGGAAATTAATATCAGAATAGGGTTTTTACCAGACCAGAAGCCAAGATGCTAGTGAGAGAAGATCCTTTAGTTTCTCTCACAACCCTGCTTCCAACTTGAATGGGAGAGAAGAACCCTACTCAAAACAAAATGGCTTGCTTTGCAGATGGAGCCCCGGAATCTTGCTCTGGTGTTTGGTCCCACCCTTGTTAGAACATCGGAGGACAACATGACTGACATGGTGACACATATGCCCGACCGCTACAAAATCGTAGAGACCCTCATACAACATGTAAGTGGCAAGGAAGGATTTGGTGGAGAGATGGAGATCTGGAGGGCAGCTGGCAAAAGATTGGTCCTGCGGGATCAACTTACCATCTGAGGTTTTATTCATGTGCATTCCTTTCAGGAGGTGAGGTATGTGGTCAGAAGGGAGAGGATTGTTTCAGGAGTGAAACCTCAACTTAAGACATTCTGCCCAGATAATTTTGCTGACTTGTCTACATTTTAGGGGTTTTTAATAGTGACTAACGAAGACATTCCTGATCTCTCAGGCTTCTTAGTCCCTTGATTTTAGAAAGATGAATGAGATTTTTTTATATATATACTGAACTGTATAGAACTGTAAGATATAACATAAAGTATACATCAATAATGTGCCAGCTTTAATTTTGTGTTCAATTGATTATATGCGTGGAAATAAAAATCAGTCTCAATGTAAAACAGAAAATACAATTTTGCAATTTCAAGAATTGTTTTATTTTTGCAATTCTTCCTATTGCCATAGGGATCTAAGCTGGCACTTTTTAACTTAATGAAGTGTGTTAGTTTAATTGTATATGAAGAAAGTATTTGTGATATAGGGAATATTTCCATATTCTAACCAAGAAAGCAGTAAGGAATATTTCAGTGTGTAATTTTCTGCAGTTTTGCAGCTGCTAAGCAATTTCAGACCTATTTTCTCCCTATCCTCTCCCTTGTTTTATCTCCTTACAATCTTTCCAATAAAACAAATAAAGTCCCTAAGGGAGTAAACATTAATGAGCTTAATTCAGCTGTGATCATTTCTGCACTATGCTTGCAAACATGGTTCCAAAAGTCACCATGCCTAGTAAGTTTTGTGATTAATTCACCTGCAACTGAGAAAGAGAGAACATTACTTTTACTAAAGATGCTAAGATAGTAGTTAATCCTGGGAGCACAAAATACATCAATTTGGAATTCGGAATTAAGTATCGGGGAAAGGACAACATTGACTGAAATACTCTGTACTTATAAGACTCCCTCTGGAGCTAATTTCTTTAAACATATCTATGATCTCCACAGTCATCTCACTTGGAACCACAGCTGACTCATCAGTTATGAGGATAAACTGAGTCTTGGAATTTTTTTTTTTAAAGGTCTAATAGTCTCATAATTTCTTTTGGTGCATGCTTACCCTAACTGGATAACTGTATGATAGGGAAAGGAAATCTGTTTCCTAGGCAACCATAAGGTGCTCTTCTCCCTTCCTCACTGGTCCTGCACCATAGTGTCTTCCCTCATGGTTGGCACGTGTCAGTTAACTTCTTTACAGCTTAATCTGTGATTTGCTTTTGTAAGCATTACATACACATGATGTATGCTCCTTTGAGGAGGTGTATGTTCAGTTTTCCTAAGTAGGAAGTTTGAATCGGGTGGGTAGCTATTCAGGAGTTCAGGGCTATGATTTGTAAGTTGCCTGTGCATTTTAAAGAAGTACAGTCAATTGTAGCAACCTGTAAACAGATAGGAACGGCACAAAAGCTGCCATTTTGAATGTCATGATCATGGAATGCAGGGTAAACCCATGTGCTATTCCCTAAAGGAATATAAACATAGTATCACCCTCAGGATTAAGGGAGCTCGCTTCAAAATACATTTGAATCTTGCAAAGTATATCAGTTCACACTGCAGAGTCTCATATTTTTTTAACTACAGCAGCATCACTAATAATGTAAAATATTATAATTTATCATTCATAATTCATAATTTGGTGTCTTAGCTATCACACTTAGCTGGCTCTTGATCAGCAGACCAGCAATCAAATAGGCATGGGACACGACTCTTGCCACCTGCTATTTTGAGCAGTCAAGCTGGCTGCAAAAACAGCACCAGTTCGCTAACATTCAGGGTGTCACAAATACACTTGTTCCCAAATTCTTGGATTGTAATAGTTTCCCTAAAATGCTTTTCTTCCTTGATTTCAAAATGAGAGGAGAGGATGGATGCAAAAATAAATTCACAAATGAATGTACATCTGCATTTCACTTTTAAATATATATGTAAAACCATGGGGGAGGATGGTGAACCCAGTGCTCAGTGTAGTAGGATGTGCATCTGTTATGCAAAACAAAAACTGGGGAGAATCAGGGTTCATAAACTGACACCATGGACAAAGAGCCCGTCATGACTTCCCCTTTGATTTTGTGGCTGTCTTACTTCTTGAAATCTTAGGTACTGTTTTTTATTGATGTTGGCACTGTCTTGACTCTGCTTTGATTCTTCTCCTCTGTCTTTTCTTCCACAGTCAGACTGGTTTTTCAATGACAAAGAGGACAAAGGTGAAAAGGTGAGTCTGTGGGGAAAATAAAATGTCTAGTTCGTTCTAGTTGCTGGCATAATTGCTGTTGGTTTCCAAAGAAAGCAAATTTGCGGGTAGGAAGTCATCACAGCATGATTGTGTTTGATCCCATTTGACATAATTTAAGCATCTGAAATTCATTTAACGTAAGTTTTATCTCCCATTGTCTTCCTTTGTACATTCTGATTCTTAGTTTATTCTCTCATTGCTGCAGGTCAGACAGGTTCTGCAGTTCAAAAGTATACAAAAGCCTGCAAAATCTGTTTAAACAAATAGGAAAATGGGGTGAACTTATGTATACAATAATGTTCATATCCCTTTCAAACCATCCATATTTGTTGAAATTCTCTCTTGATTCCAATTGAACACAGTTAGCATACTCTAGTAACCATTGTTGAGAAAGAGGCTTTTACAGTTCACAGCGTCTTGATTACAGGAATTGACCCAACCCTGTTTTCACTATATGCCTATCCATCTAACCTTCCCCTCAGAATGAAAGCATTTTAAAATGCTTTCATTCAGAGGGGAAGGTTAACCAGCCACCCCTACATTCTCTGGGGTATCAGGATTTTCTTCAGCCAGGGGCAGGATACTCAGTGACATGGGGATGTGCTCAATTAAATTTTCTTTTGAGTTGTGAAGAGTGAAACAAAAAAGGGAAAGCTCATGCTGATTGATATATTTAGAGCTGTGAAGGAATTTCTCTCTTATTTCAGTGAAATTGGCCAGCAGTACCTCTCTTGCAAATCGATTCACCTATTTCAGTCCCCTGGGAGTGTTACAGTCAGGCGATAACACATTTGCAGTGGAGTTGAAATCTGCTGATAGCATGCTGCAATGTAGACTAGGAAGATTTGATCTATGGGGATTGGTGAGTGACTGGCATTACTTCTAGGGCCGAGATTAAGACATGATGCCATTGCCTGAATTCTGCCCAAATGTGTTCAGTCTTCGGGGAGGCTTCTTCTGTTTCCCCAGCCACTTGGACATGTGGAGTGGAGTTGGCAAGAACTAAAGTGAAGCTAAGATAATAGGTTTTCACCCTGGCACAGTCCTTTGGGAGGACAGAGAACAGACAGCTTCACACCTATATGAAGTGTCCTCTTATGCCTCTTGATGTGTACCATGGAAGATTTAATGCTAGCTGTCCCAAATGCTCTTGATGTTGTCCTTATTGGGCAAAAATGTTCTGATATATTTATCAATGGTGGCTAAAGTGAAGCTAAGATAATAGGTTTTCACCCTGGCACAGTCCTTTGGGAGGACAGAGAACAGACAGCTTCACACCTATATGAAGTGTCCTCTTATGCCTCTTGATGTGTACCATGGAAGATTTAATGCTAGCTGTCCCAAATGCTCTTGATGTTGTCCTTATTGGGCAAAAATGTTCTGATATATTTATCAATGGTGGAGTGGTGCTCACCTATATGAAGTGTCCTCTTATGCCTCTCAATGTGTACCATGGAAGATTTGATGTTAGCTGTCCCAAATGCTCTTGAAGTTGTCCTTATTGGGCAAAAGAGTGATGATATATTTCTCAATGGTGCAGTGGTGCTTCTGACATGAACAAAGAAAGACAACATTACTATTTCAGGGAACATGATGGTATTGAAGGTGTGAGACTTGTATTTACAACCATGCAACTCTGCCAGTAGAATTATCGCCAGAGAGAGATCCAAGGGGTATTGTGCATCTGGAAGACTGCTTGAACCTTTTCCTTCTAACTGCATATATGTCCATTTCACAGACTCCTGTTGATGAGCAGGAGGCCCAGTCAGTGCCCAATATTGAGTACCTTCTGCCCAACATTGGGAGAACAACAGCACCAGGAGATGCTTCAGGTGAGTGAAGAGGGAGACATGAACTGAACAGGAGCTATAGGCAGCAAAGCAAAGGACTGATTGGTACTTTGACACTTTATCTCTGTGCCAGGATTCCCTTCCACCCCAACTTTAGCTGCCCTATTATATAGGGGAGAGGGAAAAACAGCCAACCTCTCAACCTCTGCTTCCTCCCTTCAGACCTAACACACACACACATAACACCAGCTTTGATTTCTATTAGTCTTTCCATGGATATGTGGATTAACTTTAGCATCCTGTAGCTGGCCTCCCCTCCCACCTAGAGTGTGTGTCTCATTCCTCGGACTGCAGAACAGAAGGTCTGGCTGCTTCTGAGCAATGTTCAATGTTTGGGTGGCTCTCCATTGGGAGAGAGGGCCATATATGTTGTGTGAATGTCACCTTGCCCTATTCCCTTCTGAAGTCTGGCATTTTGCTGGTTGTACTGATAGATACAAGGTCCATTTCTTCCCTCTTCCCACCACTGCTTCTTCCAGTTTGATAGCACAGTCCTCAATAAGGCACATGTAGCCATTTACATCTTAGCCAATGGCAAACTGAATATATTTTGTCTTGCTAGAAGAAAAAATGTCCTAGCACTGGAAAGGACCTTGCCTACACTCCTGTTACAGTTGCTAATATTAATGACAGTTGTTGTTTAAGTAGTTTGTCTCTTCCTCTGCCAGTTATGGACTTCCTTAACTTGTTTGCTATCTTTCTTCTTCCTTCCTTCCTTCCTTCCTTCTCTCTCCTCAACTTTCTTCTCCCCACATTCCTCTTTTTCCTCCTTCCTACTCCAGCGGATCTGCCGGAGCTCTAGAGCTGGTACAGTGTGGTTGGTGCTCTGGTGTTTACACACTAATTCCATTGGATGATCACGAGAGGTCAAGGCAGGCAGAGAGGGAATGAGTGGGCAGGACCTGGGTTCAGGTTCCTTATAGACTTCCTTTCCATGCTGAGCAGTGGCATCTATGGTGTATGTAATGATACAAAAACTGGAGTACATCTTCCCTCCAGGTGACCATCTGTCTGTTAAAAACTTGAAGCAAGAATGATGGCTCAGTCTTCATGGGCATGTGACCTGCTCCTTAAAGTCAATTGCTGGGGGAAAAGTATCTACAGGCAGTTTTGGACATTAAACAGTGGTGATTTGGAGATCCAAATCAGTTTATAAACAAAGCAGTTGGGATGAATAACTCTGTACCTAGAACTTTTTATTATAGAATGATCCCTCATCATTCAAAGAATTTGCAAGAGCTTAGACACTGACATCTTCCATTCATAACTCTCCACTTCTTTCACTTTTTTTTCTTACAACAAAGAACCTATGAGAGAAAAGACGGAGTAGCAGCTGCACAATGGCTTTTGATGAATAGCACTAGGAGCCTTCAGTCAAAAAGCACCCAAGCTTCCTTGGGTTAATGAAGGACATTAATTTGGCCAGAACTGAATGGCAGTTCATTCTTATCTGTGGTTAACTGCCAACAATGGGCACCTTCATACGGCATGGCAAGCAAAAGGTCCAGAGGAACCCTGTCCTAAAATGGCCAAGCAGCATGATGTTGGTTTGCTTCAGCTTGCAGCAGCAGGCATTAAATGACCCACAGAGTTCCATACTCTGTGTTTTTCGTGCTGCGTGAACGTGGATCCTGCTTCCCTCCAAGCCAGAGACACACTCCAGAAAAATGAACCAAAGCTTCATCTTTGGTTTACTGGGAGATAAACACAAGAGCGGTAGATGTACCAGGATGTGCACAACACAACCATGAACTGTGGTTCTGTGCTCCGTTTCCCCACCCACCCAAAATGGAAGCAGGAGCGATAAGGTGGTATGAATCAGCAGGTGCCTTAACCACAGCAACCTGGTGTTCCTCAGCTTGTCGAGTCACTCAAAACTGTGTAACCTTTAAACTGCATACAATGGACTTAAAGTCAGAGGGAGTTTGGTTCCTCCCCCCCCCTTTCCATCAATTTTTTACCAATTACCCCAAAACATTTTTATCATTTTATTTTGGAAGGGGAAAAATGCTGATTTCTCTGTTTTGGAATACAAGTATCCATTCACTAGGGAGTCTTACTAGAACTTTTAACTCCAAATAGACATTAATTGTATTGTACAGTAAAAAAAACACCAAGCCATATGGAATAAAATAACCACTTTATCAAAAAGATGGCCGAAAGGGGGTTCAGCTGATTTGTTGTTGTCTAAGTTCAAAGACAAAAACTAATTTGCTTGTCAACGTATGTGACCAGTGCACTGCTAAATTCTGAGATTCTGCTGTCTTCGTACTGTGTCAGATGAAGAGTTCTGTGTGATTCAGATGCCAGCATTTTTGCATCAACAGTGTCTTAAGAAAATAATTGCTTTAGCGACTTTGCATTCCATTCCCCACTGAAAAGCAAATGCCACTGCCTAGACCTCTGACATCATCTTAAGCTCCTCCACCCTTCAGAAGCAGGGGGTGGGTGGGTGGGTATAGTTAGAGTAGCCTTTCTGCCTTTCCTCACTCTCGTTATCGCCAGTCACTAATTCCATGTGTGTGGGGGGGGAGGGCACAGGCTTTGGACAGAGTGAACCTTGGGGCCATCTGTTCTATTGTACACTGGTTTTGTTGTCACTGACATTGCTGTGGCGATTTCTGTGCATGTCTGTGTGCAGAGCAGGGAGCCTATTGTGCAAACGGTGTGGCAGGAGCCATATCCCTTTCCCTACAGATGGGAAATGCAAGGTTAATGCCTGGCTCATTTTGCCTGGTTTCTCAGCTGCTTCTGCCTCCTGTACTGTCGCCCTATGCGTTTGTCAACGTACTTCTCTGCCTTAGGTTTCTCTCCCATTGTTTGCTGCTTTCTCTTTGCTGGATGCATCCGGCCTCGCTTTTGATTTAAAATTTAGAATTTGATTTTAAAATTTAAGAAACATATGAACAGAGATATCCAGATGGGCACAACAGGGCCACTGCTTGCCTTTTACTGCACCTCAAACATCTGGCCAGGAGCCTCTATTTAGGGGACATGCCTCTCACCCATTGAGCCCCTGTGTTTTCATGGCTGCCTGGGATACCACCTCAGCTATGGCAGCTGCCCCTTAGACAAAGGGCTCGGGATCCTAAAGCAATGTTGCTGCATTGCTGCTTGTTCTTCTGGTTTGTTTGCCTCTGTGGGCCACTTTTGTTGTTGTTGTTTCTGTTCAGGTGCAGAGCAAAACCCTATTTACAAACAGTAGTCACATGCTACTCAGTAACTGATATTTCTGGGCCATTTTCAGTGACCATTATAAAACATGGTAGTAATTCAAACAGAAGGTTGGTTATGAGAACACAAAGCATTTAAGCTGGACTTCTCTGGGTTGCCTGCCAAAGGCTCTGTCTAGGAAATATTGCTGCTTCTGCAGTGTCATCGGAACCACTTTTGAATTAACACCTGGTTTCTTCTGCTCTGTAATATAACTCTACTGAACATACAGTTTGAAAGAAGACGAGAAAGTAGCCAGTGGAATTTGCTCTGTGCTATTCAAAATGTTACTGTAGAGAGGTAATTTAAAGGCAACTCTTGTCCCCTTTTGGCCCACCCATTCAGCGCATCACGAAAGAATTTATCTTTCATTGCAATTAGGAAGCAAGATTTAACATTTTCTTATTACTAACATGGTCCTGTTGGCTTTCAAAGCACACCACTGATTGTTAGTGGTCAATATGCTGCTATTGAACAGTCACTATTCTTTGTAATAGCTCTCCTTGCACAGCCCTTTGTAGAATGCACTATTGCTTCTATAGGAGGCCTGTGCAGCTTATGACTCATCAAGCCAAATTTAGCCCATCAGCCCACATGGTACCCTGTTAGGAGGCCAATAGTCCTTATGGATTTAGTCCCAGGCAGGCAGTGAAAACAGGCTTATTAAGTTGTACCTGGCTGGTGAGCTTTGTTTGCTCTTTGTGGGTCACATGGTGAACAAGACTGGCTTGTGCCTTGGTCCCATGGACATAAATCTGGGGTCTTCCTTTCATGAATCACTTCTGCACAGTTGTGCAAATGCACTGTCTTCCATCCTTTCATGAATCACTTCTGCACAGTTGTCTTCCCCTGGGCATGGTGGGAGCCACATAGATGGAGAGTGCCAGATTGGAGACAACAGTATGGTTATCTTCTTCTGTGGTTTTTGTTTAGGTATACTAAGATTGGAGACAACAGTATGGTTATCTTCTGTGGTTTTTGTTTAGGTATACTGCTTTCCTGTTGTATTGTTTGTGGCCCTACAGACCATCTAGCAGGAGGCATCCAGTGGTAGTGGTGGTGATGGGATGAAACCAGATGTTAAGCAGATGTTCTGCTGCACTTATCCTTCCATCTGCTGCACTTAAGCTCATTCTGTCTGTCCACAAAGCCATCACTAACTTCTGCTGGCTTTACTCCATTAACTCTCCTGGCAGCATTGCTATTGCCACATGAGTGGATGTGCCAGGGGGTAGAAGGCATCGCCACAATTAGAGAAGTTCCTGCATTTTCATTCATTCACCAGTCTGTGTGTCCTGGAATGCTTGATGTGTTTTCTGTCCCTGGTTTTACTTGTTCAGTCACCCACTAGTGTATTAATTTGATTTATACAAAAATGCAAAGCAATGCAAGTATTCATTTCAGACCATACCTTGTGGTCCAGGGTGATATGTTTACAGACAATAAGTGCAAACTTTCTCTTCGAACTGTTTAACAAGACACCCCAATTATTTGTAAAGAATTTGATAGCGACTTGTATTGAGGAAGAGCAAAATATATTCTTTGCACTATGCTGTACTTGTATAAAGAATCTACATATATCAGATTCAGTTTGTTTATTTTAAGGCAGCCTCCCCCAATGATAGATCAGGGGAAATCTACATTAAATTTAGAGAAGAAAGAGTTACCTTAAGTCTTGGTAGAAAGAACCCCTGAATTAAAGTTACCTAATCTTTATTTTCATTCTCAAATTGGACATGTCCTGTTATAGCTCATTTGCAGGAGCTACAAGAAACTTTATATCTCACGTTGGTGATAAACCTGTAAGCAGTCACAGGCAGCCACTGGGATGTCCAAAGTGCAGGCGGTAATTGTAATAAAATTGCCAAAAATTAGGATCTGTAATTCTTTGTCTCTAGGAGAGTAAGAGAGAAATAAGACAAGTGTATGTACCCAAGGGGCCAGTTGGGTATAAACAACAAACTGTTGTAATGGACAAGGATGTCGTACAGTTTCACAAAATTTCAGAAGCATCTGAGCGAATGAATAGGTACAGTAAAAGATACTCTTGACTTACACAGACATAGACACAGACTGGTCCACATAAAACTGTGGTTTTGATTCTTTATTGTAGGAATCAGGAAGAAAGACCAAGAAAATCAAATACTTGTAAGGTTTCCATTAAGGTTTCTCATAGATGAAATCACGATCCAGACTTGGAAAAAGGGGCATTAAGTAGTCCCCCTGCCCCAGCATGTCCTGCTTCCTCACAGCCGCTGTAATTCCTTTGCATCAGAAAGGGAGAAGGCAACACAGGGCAATGTCTGCTGCATCATCCCCCTTCCTATATTTTAGATCTTCCCTCCAGGTTAGCTCTGATGCGCTGGCTCAGGAGTGCGGCATGCAGAAGCCACATATTCATCTGTTGTAGCAGCCATGCAGCATCCCACATGGCTTACCCCACACTGTTGTACTGTTAACAGATATTCTTTTATTTTTGTTCATTAATCCATGCAGATTCGACCAACAGTGGCTCAACTAAATCAAAGGTAAGGGGCATCCTGTACTGCCTGCGCTTTGGAGGTGGCTGGTGATGGGGTGGTTGGGTAAAGGAGTGCTCTAACGTTACCTTTGCAAAATCATGAGGAAACTCGTTATGCCATTTTGGACGTGCAGCCCTTCACTATCCTGATACCTGAATTTCTTTAGTACCTCTGGAAGCCATCCTGATCTAGGCAACTTACCCAGCTAGCCTCTCTAGTGAACACAGCAATATCTGCCTTTCTCAGGATGCTAATTAAATTAATTGTCAGGGTTGCATCACTGTGCAGCATTCTTCAGAAATTCAGAAAAAGACCAGAATATAGGTGTACATCCAGCTTTCTGCAAATTTCAGCCTTAAAGAGAGCTTTCTATCCCTCATGGCAGGGATGGGAAGAATGGTGGGAGGGGGGAACCATTTGTCCCCAAAATCCTCTGGGGCCATGTGAACCACCTAAAATGAACAAAATAAAATAAATAAGAACATTGTTTTTGAGGGGGAAGATTATTAGGATGCTTCAGTGCCACCTGACCCCTCACCATACCAGCAAAACCACACTAAGTTAAGCAAAATGGAAGGAGGGTAGAATAAATCATGCAGAAGATGAGCTGGGTTTTTAAACCAGCTTTTAAAAGGATATGTAGGTTGCAGAGTTTTGTTTTATTTAACACTACTTTACTAGTCACATGGTTAGCAACAACTGGTTTCTTCTGGCTATTTTGCCAGGAAGGCATTTTGATATTCATTTTTACATTCGGCCTCTGCAACTCATTTGAGCAATGACTTACATTTGCTCCAAATGTTGCTGACTTGCATTCTTAGGATCAACCCAATTCTGCCCACAGTTGTGTCTGTTAACACTCTGGAACTCCTTGCTCACATGAACAAGGAATTCCAGAGTGTTACCAGACACAACTTCTTTGCTTGCTACTGTGAGGGAGTTCCAGCCTCTCTGTATGTAAGTAAATAATCTTACTGCTTACTTCTAATATTATCTTTCAGTAAAAAGGAAATAAAACGAAGGTTGTATAATCTCTTCTTCCAGTACACTTTAGCGGTGGCTGCTGTAGGCTTTAAGACCCTACTCTGTATTAAATCACCTCAGAATAGCCACCATCTTAAATTCTGAGATCTCTTTAACTGATGAGCTACATCCAAAGGAGGAAAATCTATCCACTGGATAGCTATTCACTGTAGGGATAGCTAGTCTTCATTTAAGATTTGTGTTATGATACTGCAAATCGGTGTGCTAAGAAGTCATTACCATGGAGTTTAACAATCATGTAAATGAGGCCAATATTCTGAAACATTCCCATCACTTTGGCCACTTCCTTCCATGTGTAACTCCCCACCTCATGTTTTTTTGTCCCTGTTCACAGGCTTCATGGGGCTCACGGAAGGAGCACTACCACAAGGAGATGCTTGCCATCTCCTTCATCTCAGCTGTCAACCGCAAGAGAAAGAAGCGGAAAGAGGCCAGGCGTTTTGGGAGCAGCACAGATGATGACTCTGAGCACGAGTTGGCTGCCAAGAGAGACGGAGAGGAAGAGGCAGCAGCTGAGGGGGAAGAAAGAGAGGCCGAGGGGCTCAGGAGCGGCCACAGAGGTCCAACCACTGATGTGCAGAGTGGTCCAGAGTGCCCTGCAAAACTGGAAACGGAGTTGGAAGAGAGGAAAGTAGTGCCATCTCAGGGGACCCCAGAACCAGCACTGGATGCCCGCTCGATTGTGTCAGGTTACTCTACCCTGTCCACGATTGATCGTAGCCTGTGCTCTGAGGTGCAGTCCGTAGCAGAGAGTCGGGGGGAGGAGGCAGATGATGAGCGGAGTGAATTTAGCCATGTGGAGACAGACACCGAGAATGGTTTTGTGCCAGGGCAAGCTGGGATGCTCCCCGGAGGAAATGGGATGGCAGTGGTGGGGGAAGGTAGAGCAGCTGCATCTGACAAAGGATCCCACAATCGAGCCTCCTTCAGCTCCCACCATCTCATGCAGTGTGACACCCTGGCACGTCGCAAGCTCTCTCGGCCTCGCCACAACAGTGAGGCCTCTTCCAAGGGTAGCACTGATGCCTCAAGTTCCAGCTTGCCAGGCAGTCAGGAGTCACTGCAGCCTGCAAGTACCACAACAGAGGTCCATGCCCGGCCTTCCCTCACGGAACAGCTGCGCCTCCGCCTCCGCAGTTCAGCCGACGACATGCTGGCAGTCCGCCTGCGCAAGCCTCACTCCCCTGAGACACGGCGCAAGAAGAACAGTTGGCGGCGCCACACAGTGGTGGTACCTGGTGGCCTTAAGGACCTAAATTACAATGAGTGGAAGGAGCAGCATGTGTTGAGGGCTAATGAGGCCTGTCCACTAGACTCCTCAAGCAGAGATGCCCTGAAGGACAACAAAGACTCTGGGCTTAGCAGCTTGGAGTCCACAAAAGCTCGGCCTTCCTCGTCCACAACTGGGAATATAGCAGCTGCTAGCCAGCAGGGTGGCGCTGAGCAACAGCACATTAAGGGCAGCTCTGAGGGGTGCTCAGCTCCCCGACGCACGGCCTCCTTACGCTTTCATCAGTGTCTCTAAGTAGCCTACTGTAGAAGCTCTTGTTAAGACTGGCTGAGACCTTGGCTTGGCCATCTTGGCAGTCTTGACCAACGACGAAGGTGGACAGCCGCAGATGCAACTCCTCACTTGAGCTCTCATGGCTGGTCCTGTTTTGTCACCTCTGATGCCTCAGTCTTGAAGCAAGAGTCTCTTCCCAACTTATCCCATCCTGACCTCACTTTCTGATCCTGTCCTCCCTGGTATTAATTTAATGACATCCCTATTTTGTGACTTGTGTATTTATTTCCCTTCCCTGTCTCATTCCCCCAGGGTGGCTGTTAGAGAAAAGAAAGCTGAGATAGGTGTAACATGAAGAGAGTGCTTCACCCAGTCCATAGGATGGCATCTTGGTTTTGATACTGAGAAATTGCCTATCTGATGGGAAGACCAGCCCCGTTCCTGCTTCCAGGTGCTGGTCTGCAGATGAGTTTCAGGGCATGTTTTTGAAGGTGCAGGCAAGCTGAGGAACAGAAGTCAACACTGTTCCATGTTATACAACAAGAGACTCTTAATGCCCATCTCTGCATCACTTCCAGCTGTTCACTTTGTCTCTTACATATTTCAGTGAAGGAGGGCAGGCCTGGAGAAAAGGAAGTCAGTTTCAGAGATGCTCATGGATGCACGCACATGTTTCCATTTGACCACTGCCAAAGCTCTGGTGCCAATCAAGCCCCTCTTCCATGCCATTCTGCCTCTGGACTCCACTTGTCCCTTCTGGGGGAGTCCTTCTCCACCTCTTCACTCTCCAACGTTCAAAAAGCAGCCAACTGTGTCAATACTGATGGGATTCAACAGGTTGCCATGCCAATATTAAGGGGCTTTAATTGGTCCCTGTACAGCACTCACTGTCCCATTTGTGCCTTCCCCCAAGATAAACAGATGAGTGACCAGTTCCCACATTTGCTACCAACCTTGTCCCAGTCTTTGCAGGTTTCTCACCAAAGGGCTGAATCCTGTTCCATGTTAGCACATGCATTCAGGTTCCATGGACATGTTGTAGACTCAGCCCACACATTTTTAATTGCTCATGGAGGCCATCCCACCTGAGAAGCTAAGCAACCATAAAAACACTTCAGAAAATACAGGCTGTTTGCCTTCAATGTGATGGACTTCATATGTTACTTTTTCCCAAGGATCCTGTGTCACCTTAAAGGCTAACCAAATTATTGTGGAACAGGGCTCCGCTCAATGACCATTTGTGCCATAAGAAACTTATTAGTCTTTTACAATGCGGCAAAACCCTTTGGTTTTGGCAGGCTACCATGGCTACCATTCTAGGATGCTCTTTTTCCAAAAATGCCCTTAGCAAAAAACCAAAAGTGCTTCTGCAAATCTTTGGCATTACATCCCATGTTTCTTCCTTACTCTTAACGTGTTAAGAGACTTCAGTTGGGAGCACGCTGTGTCTGCTTCCTTGAGCATTTGTGAACCTTTGAAGATTTTATGTCTCTGTTTAGCTGCTACCGAATTTGGAAGTCTCCTAATATAGTTCTGTATTTTCTTGTAGCATTTTGCACAGCTTATGAGAACTAGAATAGCTCCAAGAAGTGATTGGTAAAGTTCCCTGTGCACAGACTTAAGGATACCATGTTTGGAGTAGGCAATAAGGTTGTTGTGGAAATGGGAATTCTCATGGCTGCCTCATAATTGTAATAGCTAGCTCCCAGTAACTTTTTGGTGCTAAAGGGGGGGGGGTGTAGGTATAACCATCCCTCCCTGCTCAAGGTGACACAGCATATATAAGGTTATCTTGTGCTACCAACACTCCTTTCCATGTAGTCTTTGTCACCCATGGTCAAGCCGCTGTTAGCCCACATCTGCACTGCAGAGTGGCAAGTGATAGACACACAGACTAAATATGGGGCTGTGTGAATTGTAGAGTGGGAGAAAGAGTGCAAAGATGCCATATCAGCAACGGAAAGATTTCTTAATGTTCTTAAGAGATTCCTACAGTAAAAGTTATTTGGATTCCATTCGGGGTTTATTGCAGCAGTGGCTTAAACATCAGACCATATCATCTCGTGCTATGCAGTTGCCCTTCAGAAGTCACTTTCTCAGAAAGAAACCCAACAATTTGTGATTCTGGTGCTACCTTTGTTTTTAACATTGTCTTCCATTCTTGGGTTTTCTCAGTATGATGGACAACAGTAAGGCAAGGGGTCTCCTAATTTCCATGTTGTTCAAGGGGGCTAGAATGTTCACAGTCCTAAGACATTCCCACCACCTCTTGTCTTTACAGAATTCTCATAGGTTTCAAAAAGATGACCATGACAAAGCCAGGTGAATAAATATGGGAAGTATTCTTTTAACCCGTGGACACTACAAGTATATGGACTGTATATGTTGCTGTTTTCCCCAGGGAGGCCTCTCTCTAAATGTCATAACTTCAGAAGCAGTTGCAAGATAACCCCAAAACTTCACTGTTTTTTTTTAACTCCCTTACAGCCACACAAAGGGCCTTTCTTCTAAAAGCAAATCCATCTGGTCATGTCAACGGTTTTTAAAAATTGAACCAAACACTTTTGCTTCCATAATTTTCCAGCCATGAGGTTCAGTGACTTTAAGCAAAATCCTATTTCACAGTACGCAGCCTACTTCTCAGGGCAGCTGGGCTGAGCTCATTGGGAAAAGGCTGTACAATAGAAAAAATGCAGGAAATGTTGGATGTCATCATTTGAGAGTGCTTTTTTTTTAAAAAAAAATCATCATTGAAAACTGAAAGGGAAACATCACCCTCATGATAATACTTTCCTCCCCAAAAGCCTTCAACTTTCCACCAAGTCACTTGTATACACTGATTTCGTATGTCAAAAGTAAGGCCAATGGAAGTATCTGTATGCCCAGCTTTTCAGTTAATCTCAGGACAGCTTGTGTATTCTCCCTTTTTTTCACTAACATCCTTGTGATATACATTAGGCTGATGGCGGTATGGTTCAGATTATCGTTCCAGGCATATTCAACCACATTATATGAATGAGAGCCATTCATTCCTGTTTTCTGTTATGACTGAGTTTCCCCCATTACATTTAAAATGGGAAATTCTGGCTTAATCTAGGTTAACCAGGACACTAGTAAACTAATGCTGAAATACATGGGGAGAGGCAAAGGAGGAAATATTTTCTTATTCACACCTAGCTAACAACTGGCCCAGAGTTTCCCAGGAAGTTATACTGGATGTGTGGGGATTTGGATGCAGGTCCCCCCCCCCAGGCTTAAGTCTAGCAATCTTATCAATTATGGTTTAATGTGCACAGCATCACTTGGATGAATGCAACATAACAGTTGCCTTGGTGGAAGAATGGAGATGCATATGGCTTGGCCATCAAGTCACTGATTTAAAAAAAAACCCTAGCATTTATATTAAGCTTTTGAGTCTTCAAATTGCTTGGCATAATCTAGTTTTAGCTTCATAACCACCCTCATAATTATTTCTAATAATCTCTGGTGATGATACAGTTATCCAAAACAAAACCTAATGGAATTCCACTATAAATGCTGGTATTTACCTTGATAGCAGGACTTGGCCATCTGGCTTGTTGGGTCCCAGTGAGTGTGCTCTCTGTACTAGAGTGGCTGTACTTAGCATTGTAGAGTTACTACTCTATGTATACAGCATCCTGAAGCATAATAATGATGCAGAATAAATGTACACAATCACAAGGGCACCTGGGAACATTGTCTAATGTTAGAGATTATTGTAACAGAAGCTTTATATCTTGAATTTTGCCCAAGTTCCATTTAAGGTAGAATCTGGCTGAAAGCCTAAGTGATATGTTGCATGCCAAGAGTGGCAGATGTGGATAAGGACTGGAATATACTGTAGTCGATAGATAAGCAGTTTTCATCTCTTGTTTCACTCTTCTGTCATGGGAGGATATTTTTCACATTAGTCATTGTATCTTCCTGGTCTGAAAATGGCCAACTTCAAAGACTAGTGAGTGCAAAAATAATATCTTTTAGAGGTAGGAAGTGTTTACAAGCTTTCAGACTTTCATGATCATTTCAGTCTGGGGAAGGATTCTGCGAAACTTGAAAACTTACATTGTTCTGCATTTATCAGATGGTTGGCTTTCCTGCAATTAGAAGTGAGTGCTGAATAGCCCATGTCCTCTCCAGTCTTCACACCGGGTTTCAAAGGATGCATTTTTATAAAGCAAATCCCAAAAAAGGATGTAATATATGCAAGTCTATTCATGCTACTAAGGAGATAAATGTCTGAACACAAGCCACAAACAATTTAAAACTTATATAATTGCCTGTAATGTGTGCTGTGGTCAGATGAGCAACCAATGTGCTATGTAGTCCACATGGCACACTTTTAGTGCACATTTAACAGCCATTCCACTGAGGCCTTGAGAAAGGAGTGTGTGGTGGCACCGAGATGTGGCACTGAAAACTGAACAAAACTAAAATAATTTGCTATACTGTTATGCATTGTTCTTATCCTTTTTATGCAAATATTTGCTGTAGAAGTTTTATTTTTCACTTCATTTTGTAAATAGCCTTTAAATGTGTAACATATGATAAAGAGTTTATAAGGTTTTTTTTTTAAAAAACAAAGACATTTTTGTTTGACTCCTTCTAAAAGTTGAAGTTATACAACAGTGTTGATTTTTTTAAAACCTACTTCCTGCACGGTTTGTCCTTCTTCCCAACTTTCATGTGTTGGTTCAGTGTCAGTCATATATATATGGTCAAACAAAACAAATGAAATCCAAACTCTGTTTTGAAAATAGTTTCAGAATTATATATATATTGGAATTAAACTGGCTTATTCAGAGCACATGTTTGCTTGCTTTTTCAAAATACAACTTCCACACTGTAAAAAATACAACTTCCACTCTAAATTTTTGCAAGTATGTTCCTTTCCAGGACCAAGAGGATTTCATGTGGCTTCTTACAATTCTGTATAAGCAGATGTGTAAAACATCTGTAAAAGAGCCCTTGCGTCCCTCTGCAATAAACTAAACTTATCAAAGTAACTCAAATCCTTTACATTATGGAAGGAAGATGAATTGCGTATTGCAGGTATTTATTTGATTCCTTCTGTTAAACATTAGAAAATATACCAGTCAATGGAAGAGCTCCTTCTCTGGTTTCAGAGATTCCATCCGACATTACCCCTATATTTTCAAGCTTCCTTTTAGAACCATAAAATACAGAAACATTATTTTGGTTTGTTTGTTTGTTTGTTTGTTTGTTTGTTTGTTTGTTTTGGAAAAAGGTTGAACTTCCTCTTTCCCCTTCCTTCTTTTAAAATAGTCCATTAGAGGAAGAGAAATCTGAAGACCTTCACTTTTGCTGCTGACCAAGAGTGATACAGGCACTTGCAGGAGACAATCGGCAGAGTAAATCTGATCTTATTTTCCCACCTGCAGATTTTCCCCTGTAATGGCCCTGCATCCTCCACCCTCCCAACCTCATCCCATAGCTTTCAGTTCTGTACCCTCTCCCCAGCTAAACTTCAAAGTGAGCAGACTAAGAGAACTGTCAGCAGGGGAAGGAGGGCAAAGCACACCCAGTTCCCTTCATATTAGCTTTCCTATTTCCCTCCTACACATGCTCATTACGATGGCAAATGACAGGGCTCGGAATATACACTAACGTGAGTTCTGGTCACACATTGCCAAAAAAGAATAAATACATCACCCTACTCCTACTCAAGTCAAAAGAGTTCTACGTTAAAATTCTAAAATTTAGAGAGAGATACATTTGGAAATAATTACTAAAATTGAGATGATGGGAATACAATTCACTCTAATGGGAGAACAATGTGACCACATGCTGTTGAAGTGCTGTCTATCTGTTGACAGGCAACTTCAAGTTCCCTCTTCATGGTTATTTATCTTTAAATGAGACTGTCCTCTACATAGCAAAATATAATCTTGTGCGCGGGGAGTCCCAAAGCACTCCCACTCTGGAAATACCAAACAACACAATGGATTGTCACACCTTTTCTGTTTTCAAGGAATGGTGTAAAACAAAGTCTTACAAAAAAAAAGTCACTGAGGGGGAAAAGAGTATTTTATTAAAGTCAGACACTCTGATAGGAAACAAACAAACAAAAAAGGATAGAAAATTAAAGGAAAAAAGCAACCTTTCTTCATTTGGAGCTTGACTAACAATGATCACATTTGTCACAGAAGAAAACATGGCATCCATGGAATTTATACATAGAACTCTTACCTACAGATAGCAGCAGAAAGATTTACAAAAGTTACAGGTTTCTTTAAATAACTGTTGTTTTTATAACCAGTTTTGGTGTGGTGTCATTGTTATAGTCAGTTTTTGTTTGGGGTTTCCCCCCTTTAAAAAAAAAACAGTTCACAATAAAACCCATGCGAAAGAGACATACAACATTATCAGTCCTCCCTACACAGTGCCTAAAGGTTTCTCTCTCCCCCTCTCTCCCATATATTTTTTAAAAACTTTTTAAAACTGTTCCAACTTTTCTTAAAATATCATCCAGACAAGTAAAGCGAGGCTCATGGCATGCAGTGGTGATTGCTTTCCCCCAACATACACGCACGCACGCGCACACACACACACACACGCACAGCAAAAATACATGCATAGCTTGGTGCTTTGTAAATTACATCTTGGAATTTCCTCTTTTTTTTCTTTTTCTTTTTTCTTTTAAATAAAAAGAAACTTTTAGGCACACATAGATATATATAAATAGGGTATATGTATATATATCTACATATTCTCTATGATTTGTGCTCACATAGCGTTTGGATGATGCCATGAAACTGACACTCTCTTGCATACACACATACACTCCCATCATATGCAATAACACATACATAAGGACAAATGTGTTATAGACAAGGAAAGTGGAAGGAATTAAAAGAGAATGGTTCCTGACACCACTGTCTTCCCAGCTGCTTCTTTTCTAGGGCTGCATTAGTACATACGGTATTAAAGACAATGTTACTTTCTTCTACCAGCAAATCAGCCAGCATGCAACAGCCTCAAACTGGCATGGAGCTTGCACATCCATTACTAGACATTTTGTCACTTAACAGCTTGCACCCTCTCCGTATATTTAATCAAAATGGGGCATATTCCAGTGGGACATTCTCCTGCACCATGCATCTTGAAACAGACAAGAACTTCTCTTGCCAGTATCCTGTAAAGTGAACAGAACATCCCACTGGATTGAGCTCTGTCTCCAATATTTTCCTCTCCCATTCTCCTGCTCTTACTGGCATCCAGAGACTCACCTCATCTAGCCTTTTGAGAGGACTGGCCTCTGACATGCACCATTCTTTAAGGCAGTTTTCCTCAGCCAATGATCTCCCCCACAGGAAATAATGTCTACAGCTCTGATGCTTGGCATAGTAAATCAAACTAGATTAGACCTATTTGAATCAACGGAACTTATAAAGGAGCTAACTCACCAAATCCCCATTGATTCAATGAGCCTGTTCTAATGTACACTAAGCACGATGAGTGGTCATTCCCAGGCTGAGGGCTTCTGTGAATTTTCATCCAAAGTATATGAAAGGCAAGGTATACACAGTGTAGCAGCACCCTTTGGCGTTCTCTTATAGCATAGAAAATATGATCTGTAGTTGTCTAAGGCAAGTTTTTTTAAAAAAATAATAATCCCCATGATCGTTCTCCTGTGTGTGTCAACACATTTATGACAACTGACCGATGCAGTTAAGACCTGGTCTGTCTGACAACGGTGGAAATCCATCACACGTTACTATAGCCTGACACAAGGCAGTTTTAAAAAAACCTGAAATATGGCAAAGTATTAAGCCACAAGATATTGCTGAGAAGCAATACTTTCTCTTCCAAGAACACACTGACAAATCTGAGCACTGCCTACATGTCAGTAATCTATGGTGATTGCCATACAAACAATGGCCTTTATTCCCTGCAGGCAGAATTTTATAAAATTACTGTGAAATTTCTCTCCTCAGGTTCTTCCCCTATGGGGATGTGCTTTCCACATAAAGTTGTTTGCCATCATGGTACTCTTTCCTGCCATGGATTCAAGCAGCACATTTTAGGGTCCTGTGAAGAAAATGAGAACTTGGGGTGTATGAAGTATGAAATTCAATTGCTGAACTCTTCTATGCTTCTGTAAACCTGTGAAGATGATTTCAGTGGCAAAGGTCAGGCTGAAAACAAGAGAGTTCACACTTTCATCTCATATCCAGCTATTCAATATTTCAAAAGAAGAACTGAGGTGGGGAGAAGAGCCTCCATGATTACCTTTATCAGAAGATATATCAAGGCTGCCCCAAAAGGACACTAATGCTTTATCTGTAACCCTGACTTGGACTCAGCTTGCTTCCTTGCCACAGAGTTACAGAGATTTAGGCAAGGGGAAAAGGATCAAGTCAGGAAGTGGCCTTTTGTTCTAATGCAGGGGTGGGCAATTAATTTCCATAGGGGGGGGCACATAAAAAATCTGAACTGTGTTCGGGGGCCAAACCAATTTTACTTAAAAATAAAATGAAACAGTGATGTTATGATTGTTTTTATTTTAAATTTGTTAATCTTCACAAATGCTAAAGAGGTTTTTTTTTGCGGCATGTTAAAGATAAGCAACTTTAGGCAAAAAGCTATAAATGGTCTTGATGTTCAGAACTGTCCGTGGGCTGCCCAGGTCTGTTCTAATGGAACATGAAAGGGATTGAACATGAGTTGGCAGCAAGTGCCTAATAGGTTCATTCACTTGTATAAAAAAGGATTAGGGGAACTAATCAGTCAATTGGCATGTCTCTGTGGAGAATTATACCATGCTCTTTGGGGGGGATCAGCCTGACTTGCAATTAGATTTGGGGTACATTTGCAAACTTACAATGCTGTGCTGGGTGTTTGCACTCTGTGCATGTCCAGAGATATGCTATCCTTTCACTTAGGTGTAAATATAGATAAGATAGATTAGGTTTTGTTTTTGTATGTTTTCTTCGTTAGTGCTTTAAGTCTGTGGCCACATCTGCTCCTACATTCTGAAAAAAAAATTCTAGTAACTGTTTCAAATGTTACCCTTTAATCCTCTTTTTTTTTTTTTTGCTTTTTTCCTTTTCCTTTTTTAAATTAAATTCAATAGGGAACTATATTATATAGTCTTGCTGGGCTTCATTATTATCCGTTAGGAACTGAATACCCAGTTTCACCCTGGGTGTTTTTGTTTGTTTGTTTTTTGTTTTGTAAATTAAATTATAGGCATGGTTAATTCAGGGATGTGTGTCTTTTAGTCACCAGACTTAACTTTGGTACAGCATTTTTTTTTTTAAATTATTAATAGAAAACCAATATCAATCAGATGAAATTTCATTGTCATCTCATCACTCACAAGAGAGCACAAACTGGAACTTGAATTATGTGATATTTTTAATTCACCACTTAGAAGAGCCTGCATCCCCTGTAACTACAGTGGACCCTCTACTTACGGAATTAATCCGTATTGGAACGGTGGTTGCAGGTCAAAAAGTCTGTAGGTCGAATCTCCATTGACCTACAATGCATTGAAAACCGATTAATCTGTAACTGGCCGTTTTTGTTCCATTTTTGCTCCATTTTGGTTTTTTTCTGGTCTGTAGGTCAATTCTCTGGCTGCAAGTCGAACCTAAATTTTGCAGCCAGAGAAGTCTGTAACTCGAAAAGACTGTAAGTCAAGCTGTCTGTAAGTTGAGGGTCCACTGTACAATAGTAACTTCAAAGTTACACCACAAAAGGAGTGAAATTGTCCCTTCATTAAGTTACAAGGGCAACATCCATGTCAGGGAAGCTGATTATTATGTGTATGCTTGCCTTTTAAAGCTCGTTATTAGCAGCTCAGAAAGTCCATTCCTAACCACCTTCCTCCTTCATCAGCCCTTTGCACCTTGTTGCTGCAAAACATGAAAGTTGCAAGAAGACAAAAGCAGTGGGACAGAGGATAGTGGTCCATTGCCAGTGGTGTTCATAAAAGGGAATATGGAAGTAACAGACAATGGGAAACACACACAGAAAAGCCATACAAATGGAATGTTAGCTTAGCAAAAGGGTTTTTTCTAAACTCTCCAGGACACAAGCCAGCAGGACACAGGCCCAGTGCAAACCTCACCAAAAGGCATGGGAGCTGCCCAAGAGCAAAGAAACACCTGGTGGATTGTGCCCTCTAGCTCTATTTGCACCACCACCACCATCACTGTCACCTTGATAGTTTCTAAAGCACAACAGACTACATACATAATTTAATCAGGGGAAAAACACACACACCACTCTCCCCCCTCCCCCTAAATATACTAGACACAACAAGAATTTCATTTTCTTTTTTTCTTCAATATTTATATATATATATTTATATTACGTATATTATATATATATATATATAATATGTAAATATATTTCTTAAAACAAATATATAAAATGTTAAGACACTTCACTTAAATGTAAAGAGGTTGCTTTTTTGTTTTGTTTTCCACATGTGTTTGTTTTGCAATCCCAAGAAATTGCATTATGGATTGTTGTTACATATTTAATTTTTTTGACTTTTTTTTTTACACTTTGTTATTCAAAAAAAGATTCTCTTAAAATTTTTATACAAAAACGACTGATTTACAAAAAAAGGGAAAAGAAGAAAAACCATTAAAAAAAATCAAACACCCACATTCTCCCCACCCAAAAAAGGAAAAAAAAAGAGAAAAGAAACATTCCCATAATAAAATTAAAAAGGACAAGCTAGTTGACAAAACAAGGAATGATTACATCTTGTATTATGTTGCATACAGACTCATCATTTCTTTTCTTTTTACATTACAACGCCATGTTGCTAAAGATACAGATGCACACTCACATGTGCCTACATGCCATGTCAGATTCATTTACTGTCTGTGCTTAACATTTCGGGGCATCACATTAGGGGAAGCTCTCCTGAAACTCCACATAACTGAAAACAAATGGGGACTCTGCAAGGACATTGCTGTATGTTGTGGAGTTCCCTGGTCCCATGGCATTTATGCAGGATGAACTCTACCCCAAGGCTGTGCCCATGTATTCTCTTTAAAAAACATTACCTACCCACCCTGGCATGAATATACACATGCATTTGGTACTTTTATTCAAAGAAACCTTTCCTGACTCTGAACCACGCTACCCTTGTCTTGCTAAGCCCACTTGCCTTTCCGAATTCCACATCTTATTCAGCCATTAACGTACCACATTCTTTCCCTCCCCCAAATATTGTCCCATACCTTATGTGTCTTCTTCACTGTGCTGTTTTTTTTTAAATCATCATTTCCTTCTGTGCTTTTCACAACCCAAATGTCATGCAGAATCTTTAAGAAAAATGCTAACGTTTCCACATCGCATTGGTCAAGTGTGTATGTGGGGGAAAGACCCGTAATTCTGACTGGATTTCTTTCTTCAGAGCTGACTTTTCTATTTCAGTCCAAGGTGCAGGTTGTCCGTGATGTGGAAATAAATTTCAACTTTTCACTAATCACTCTATAAACAGTAAAAAAATTAAAAAATAAAAATCTACTCAGCTGGGCCAAGCCTTCCACAATCTGTTACATCAAGACATAATCTTGTTTGGAGGCATGGCCTGCCCTCTTATAGGCAACCCAATGAAATAGAAGACCTGCCGAGCAGTTCTTGGCTTCTCTTCAGTATCCTGTCATTTTCTTTTAGCTCTGAGGCCTGCATATGCAAGAGGTCAGCCTTCGCAATACCATCTCTTCAGCCATCTTGGCTACAGAATGGGTTTGCTTTTCACATGGGTCTCCACATGAGACTTCTTTTCATAAAGGAAACTTACTTTGGAGTAACTGAGCAAAGTCGAGTTGCCTGTTCATGATGGGGACCATCTCCATGCCAGAGCTTGTAAAAGTTATTTTCTTGGGCTTAATCTCTGAGCATTTTCTCATTAGCATGACAACTGTCTACCAGAAAGCTACCAAACAGTAACTTTTATATGCTCTGCTCTATTCCCACCCCTTAAAAACACACACTTAGAAATGGCAGAACACTGTTTCCTCCCCTTCATTCCTCTGAAAATTCTCCTCAAACTCTCCTTTCTTTTAATTACCAGCTTCTTTGATACCCTGACACCCTCTTCTCCCTGACTTTTGCCTCCTATTTGGTATTCCACACGTTTTGAGGGCTCCTTCCCCTCTCACAGAAATGGCAATTGAACAGACATTTAAAGTGCTACATTGTGGATTAGTTTCATAGGAAGCATGACTTTCTTTCTGTGGACCCTGTTCTGAACATCTCTCAGACAAACTTTCTGCTACCTACTTTGGCTGTGTCCCTTCTTGTAACAGTCTCCTCCCCATTTTTAAAATTTTATTTTAATAGTTGGTTGCTTCTGCATGGTTGAGAAGATGGGGTGAGGGGGGCATTATTACAGGCTGAAAATTCAGTGCTTTTTTTCAAGTCTTTGCTCTTCTTCCAAATTTAATCCAATGACTTGGAAGAGAAAAAAACAGATATATCAACTTGTAATATACGCATACACACGCATACCCCCCCACTCCAAAAACAGTCTTTAATACAGCAAGTAAACAACAGAAACCCACAAAATGGAAGCACGCACATGCCCCAAAGTCAAAACACCACCAAATGACTCAGCATACACAAAGATCCATGTTAACCAATTAATTACAAGTATTTTTTCTTTCAAACGCAAGGAAAGGTGAATAGCAGCAAATGTCCACAAGTTTCTGAGGCATCTTCAGAAGTGGGGCCCCCCTCCCACTAAATGTTTCTACAGTGACTCCATTCTCTGCCCTTATAGGCGTAGCAGAGACTACCACTGACCAGCAATATTTTTACTCTGAGGCTATAGAACTGGCAAAAATCCTTAATGTTATTAACAACATAAACTGCCAGAGTAGAAAAGTGAGGCAGGAACTAGTGAGGAGTGAGGGGAAGGGAGAGGAGAGTGAGTTCTGAGAAGAAACAGAAAACACCAGGTCAGCCATATTGTAGAAAGGAAAAGAAAAGAATAGGGTGGTCAGTTGGAGAAGGGTGTGAGATGGTCAATTGGCCATTCTGGAGTGCACTGTAATATAGAAAGTGACCCTTTTGAGGAACAGGAAACAAGTCAATAAATTAGTCATTTTGGAGGAGAAAGTGAGACTGCAGGTTGGCTGCTTTGGAGGATCTTGAAAATATCTAAGGGGAAGGACCTTCCTAGGTGGCTCAGTTGTGATATGGGGCAGAAGAAATCAGAACAAGTGAGACGCAAGCCTTCCCCAGTTTCCCCAGTAGCAGTAGGTAGGAAAACAACTGAATGAGAAATTGGCAAAGGAGCTTTTAGAATGAAATGGAGGAGTTCCGTGACCCAAAGGAAGTCAGTACTGGGATGGAGGTCCTGCCCGAAGTAGGTTTTTCTGAGACTGGGCTTGAAGTCTCATTCATCGTGCTAGGATCCTTGGTTGTTCTAGTGGCCTAGAAAGAAAAGCAAGATTCAGGGAAAAGAAGAAGGACAAGGGAGGAAAAGGAGAATGGGAGGGGAAAAAACATTTTCTTCTCAAAAGTGAGAAAGAGAGAGAGAGAAAGAGAAAGAAAGTGAGAGAGAAATAGACAGAGTGGGGCTAGTTAGGAAATTTTCTGTTATAAGCAATAACATTGGCTTGGCCTGAGGCAAAAGGTCCATTTGACAAAAATGTACAGGATGAGTTGCTTTCTATAGATTTACTGGACAAAGGGAAGGAGTGATCATTAGAGGAGGTAGAGGAGACAAAAGAAGGCAATGAAAAAAGATACAGAGGGGAAATGGACAAACATTTAGGCAGGCCATAGAAGGGAGAGGAGGGCAAAGGAATGGGGAGGGACAAGAATTGAAATGTTAGTTTGTGGCCATGGACACCATGTTAGAACAACAACAATAATCATTTAGTTGGGGTTGAAAGGGGAAGTAGCAGGGGAAAATAGAGGTAAGGCAAGAGGAAACATTGAATGCAGGTTACCACAGAGATGCTGTTTATCAGAGGTAGCCCAAATGGACTGTAGTTTCTTGCTCTGGTATGTTGGAGGAATCAGTGGGTGCCGCCTTGTTTGGCAGAGGCACCCTCAATTTGCAATCTTGAATTTAGATTGGGCACAGAAGGAGGGGAAGAGCTGCTCTTCATGTTTAATGACAAGTCTGGTTAACATTTCTAACTCTTATGGTTGCCGGAGGGGGGGAGAGAAAAGGAAAGATAAATGGCAAAAGATATACAGGTATAAAATACAAAGCAACTTGAGTTTCTTTTTGTAATTATCATCTTTGAAAACTTTAGATAAAGTGTAAGAAGCAGACTGCTCTTTCAGCCTAAAAGCGTCTGTCTAGGGACTTGTTTCATTTTTCTTCCCATCTAGAGGGCAGGACATATGAAAATGGTTTGCAGTACAAAGTCTGTGTGGATTTTGCATATAAAAGCTATAAGCAAGAGCACACAGGAATCTAACTTCATGCTACTGTTTGTTAAATATTCAAAGACTACCAAACCAGAAGGGAACTAAAGGGCAAAAGCTAATGCAGGAGGAATCCAGACATAACACCTGCTTATCTACCTACATTGCAAGTAATGGCTATTAATAATAATCATGTGCTGTCAAGGCCGTTCAGACTTATGGTGATCCTTTTCTGAGTTTTCTAGGTAGAGAGTACTCAGAAGTGGTTTACCATTCCCTTCTTTTGGGTTCACTCTGGGACTGTGCAGCTTACCCAAAATCACACAGACTGGCTCTGCTCATAAGAAGCCCAGCAGAGAATTGAACAACCAGTCTCTAGCTCCACACCCAGAGACATAAACCACTGAGCTATCTAGCCAGTCCTTTTCTGATTATTTTACTGACGATTACCCCCGAATATATGACCTGAGGTTTTAAGAAGCACTCCTATCCCATAACTACAAGGAATGTAATTAATTCAAGCACGTGTTGCTTTAACCTGATTTTACAAGATCTCTAGGCCTGAAAGTTCCATAATCCTTCATGTCTGCTCCTTCAAAGACATTCCACAAGGGAGGAAAATTTTTACCTCAGAATTGGCTCCTAGACTACTGGCTCTAAAAATGCCAGCTACACCAACTGGACCTTCCCCTCCCACTGCTGCCATTCTGCTACACAAAGAACTGAGAAGAATCCAAATCCAAATGACTTTATACTTTCAAAACAGCCATGTGCGTCATAGGAGGCTCTCAGTCATCTGGAGGCCAAAGCAGGTCACCCAGTTCGTAGATGAAGATATGGGTGAGATCCTGCAGGGTAGCTGCATACAGAGAAAGGTAGCTACAGATCCGTTTTGTGATGACAGTAGTAAAGAAGGTGTGCCCTTAGAAATGTTCCATGGCTACCACTTGGCCAAACAGCACCTGTGCTTTGTGGCAAAGGGTTCAGGCTGTGGTTAGTACTGGGATGCAGGAGCTGTGCAAGGGGGAAAGAAGCTGTGCAAGGAAACTGCAGAGGGCAGGCTGCATTTCTTAGTGACAGTCTCATTTTGCTCACAACACTTGTCTCAAAATAGACTGAAAAGCCAAAGGAAGGAGGCCAAACTCGTTTGGGTAAGAGGGCATGGCATTCTGTTTGCATATGTGCTACAAAACGAGCTGAACCAGGGTTTTGTAGAGTAACAGATTAGGAACACAGGAAAGGAGGCATCCATGGTCATTGCCTACCAAAGAGATCCACCATGACAAAAGGGAAAAAACACGGGGTGGGGGAGGTAGGAGTAGGAGGAAATTCTAGGAAATGAGCTAGTTTGTCAAATGTGCCATGGGAAGGAAGAGGGAGGGGAGAAGCACAGAGGCAGTGGTGGGTGAGAACAAGTCAGGTCTTGAGGAACAAAGCAGGGAGGAACAGGTAGAAATGTGCTTTAAGGGGTGAAATGTTGCTCGTTGTTACCTTGCTTTGCGGCCTGAGAAAGTTGGCCAGCCACTGGGCACACTGTTAGCATCAGCAAGAATACAGAAGTGTGTGAACCCAGCTGAACTCATACTGGCCCAACCATTAAGACCCCAACCAATGCTAAAATACTTAGGTAAACCTGGCGACAGTGTGTGGATAAACAGTGAACAGGGTTCCCATGGGGAAGAGAGAAGCATTGTTTCTCAGTGTGCAGCTATCTATATTTATTAGCTACTGTATATTAAACAGGCAGTAACCTAATGCTGAGATAAAAGAAGGCACATGTTAACGTTAAGCTAGGAGACTGGACTTGAAAATGCATTAAAGGCCTAACTACACATTTATTTGTATATGGTTTACAGCCACTGGATGAGATTTTTAAAAACGTACTCCTAAATGAAGGAGATTACTAGGACCACAATACTACTTTAATTTCAGCCCTATTGAACTCAACAGGACATACTGTATTTCTGAGTAGACATATATATAGGATTGCACTGCTTATCTTTATCATAAGACAGTTGCAAAAGACTAGACTGTAGGGGTAGGTCTTTTCTGTGTCCTTATGTGCCACAGAATGATCTCCCACCTAGTCCTAATGCCCATATAGTGGAATGTATCTTCGGTAAAAATTAATAGACCATAAATGTTCATAATGATTTTAAGGACTGTGTAAATAACAACAACTTTCCTATTTGGTTTTCTTTGAAGTTAACTAAATAAGCTTTTGACCTGCTTTGATTCATTTTAACAGTACAGTATAGGAGAATCCCCACTAAATAATATCCTTTGTAAAATCATGATTCAATTATCGAATTATCTGTCTTTATGACAGATGGGCTATGCACAAGTCCTTTGTGTAGCCAAGACTTGTCATGGCATAAGACATTTCTATGCATACTGCACAGAGGGATACCACACATTTTCCGGCCCACCTTCAAGCAGCAGAGGCTGGACTTATATCACGAAAGAAGGGCTGGTTTTGCTATCAGCTGTCTAGGGTCCCAGGTGCAGTACTTTACTTCTCCAACTCCAAGAATGAAGGGCAACCCTTCATTTATGTAAGAGATAGTCAAAAGATGGCAAGTAGTTTAAGCTTGCACAACTACATCTTGGGTTCTATGTTTTGAACTCCATACAGCAGGCATGGGGAAGTTATGGCCCCTACCAAATGTTGTAGGGCACCAGATCCTGACAGCCCCAGTTGGCATGGCCAGTGGTTGAGCATGGTGGGAGGTGCAGTCCACACATGGCTCATTTATTTATTTAAAATATTTTTACCCCAACTTTCTCCTTCAAAGGACCCAAGGCAGAATTGAGAAGCATCCTTTCTCAATGTGCAGCTGTCTATAACATCCATGCTCTAATGTGGGATAGAGGGGTAGTTAATTTTACCTTTCTTCTTAGGATGGTTGTTGCTGTTGTTGATTTCTAATGTCAAGGTAGCACTATGGTGCCACACTGAAGAGACTTGATTGTCCTGCAACCAACTGGGCCAACTGATTTCTGACAGTACTCTTCCTTCCATCACCACTCCCAGCTAAATTATTTAAAAAACGTTGGGGATCGACTTGGTGAGGAATCATCTCCAGCTGCTTGCCCACTACTTTGCAGGAGGCCCCTCTGGATAATACAGAGGCGTGCTGTATTTTCTGTTCCCTCTGGAATCCATTACCTTCACACAGAATATCATATGCATGCACAATTTGTACATGCATAATGCAGCACCATTCAGTTCAACGGAGCAGACAGCCCTGCACATGCAAAGAGGTGTCTGCTTAGAGCAGTTCTCTGCCCTTGTAGTCCTTGTGGAGAAGGGAGTCCAGAACTTGGGAAAGTGCAGCCGTCCTGGCTGATGGATTCTGGGAACTGCCCTCCAAAGCAGTTATTTTTACAGACTATGACAGTGCCATGTACAGTACTGTATACATTAGAAGGTTTACAACTACTTAGCAGACTCCTTACAGGTTTTCCAAGGGCCATCTAGTGGTCAAGTCATTATTTTCCTTCCTCTTTCCTATTCCCACTATGCAGCCTTCTCCTGTCTTTCTCTGCTGAACACCCAGTGCTTCTCTGTGCGTGCCACGACCAGGGAGGGAGTTTGGGCATACATACATGGACGTGTAGTGAAATGGGGGTGGTGGTAGTGAAAACATGAATTTGACTGTGTCACATCTAATATCACTGCCTTTCCTGAAAGGGAAAAGGGCCTCAGATAACGTACTCAATTGTGCCTTCTTAAATGTATGCGCTTTTAAAAATACTGCCATCCAATTTGGATTGGGGTGGGATATGATTCACCTACCCCAAACAGAACAAAACAGCAAGGTGAGCAACCGTGTATTTAGGATTGCATGGACCATGATTGGGCAGGGAAAAAGTCTTACCCTTGTCAGGGTAATGGATTCTACTTGGGAGCCCCCTGGACTCCAGGACATTCCTCCAGAAGTAACAAGCACATGGAACTTTAGCAACTGAGAAATGTAACTAAGACACAAGGAAAATTTGAGTCCTGTTCTGACCTCACAATTCACACACACACATACACACACACAAACAAGAAATGCATTTTAGCAGGCTTGGTTCTGGCCTCTATGGAGATCAGCTCTCCTGCTATATCCACTGCTGCTGCCACTGGAATAATGTGTATCCCTTTAAGACCTCGGAAATATTATTTGTTGGGAGGCTACACCTCCAAAAATCCTCTAGCTGTCTGGGGGTTTCTGGGACATTCCCTAGCTCTTTGAGAATTTCTTTTTTAAAAAAATCAAAAACTTGTTTGAGCTCCAATTTCTTCACACTGGAATTACCAGTGGTAGACAGACCTTGTGAGCTATAATGGGTAGTACAAAAAAGTACACCCAGCCAGATTCTTGAAATCTACAATGCAAATTTAGACCATGCTCCCAAAGGCACGCTCTAAATTTTGCCTTCAGTTTGATTCGGAGGCCTCTCCCCTCTTCCATCTCACTCTCTACCCACAACTCTCTCCGGCCAACCCTCCGCTTTCTCTTGCCCAAGCGCAAAACTGAAGGGACCCCCTAACGCAACCTTTTCTGCATCCCACTACCCCGTAACACAGTAGTGTGGCCGCCTATAAATAGACTACCTGTTGTTGTCCCTGGATGCGCATGTATTCCATGCGTTGCTTTATGTGTTTGCTTTTGTCTGGGCTGCCCTGCTGGGTTTGCTTCAGCCGCGATGCTGGGTTGACCATCTTCATGGCTGGGATTGAGACACCACCACCACTCTGGAAAGAAGAACAGATAAATTTATTTATTTGGGCAAAGCTAAAAACAACAAACAAAAACAAAAACAAGGCTATGGATCATTTGCATAAATAATAGGTTAAAGGCTTGCCAGTGATTGTGTTGTTGGGAGTACTGCCGAACGAATTGATTGGCATCTGGTGCCTGTCTATCTCTTTCCAATTTTTCTGGCTGCTACAATGGAATATTACAAAAAATTCTAACTTGTCAAGAAAAACCTATCTGTGTGGGGGGGGGCAGAGGAGGAGGAAACATTCCTAGGTTCTATTGAGGAGATGAAAAAGTTGTTTACCTCTTGCTAGAGTTCCCGCAGAGAAGTGGTAGCTATTTCAGTCAAATTTGCTTAAATATGGATTGTACACATGCCCTTAAGCTCTGCAGCAAAGAACAAGAGTTTCCGAAGGCAAGTATATTCCCACCAACATTACCCGACTATGCATTTAATAACTGTGGCCCTCCTTTCCCTGCTAGAAAAATAAAAAACTGCTGATGCCAGAGACCTGTTAAATTACAAAGCAGAAGCCTAGCTCTAACACAGTTCAACAGAATTTTAATTACTTTTATCCTCTCTTCTCACCATGCCCTTCTCCTTTTCTTTGCCAATCCAGAAATACACAGAAGATTTAGGGAGCAGAAGGAGTTGAATAAAGGTTCAGAGAAGGATCAAAATGAGAGCTGAATAGAAAAAAACTAGAGAAGAATGGGAACGAGTTTTTATGTTTAGCACGTGGGTTTCTTTACACATTTACTCCATTTCGCTGCAAGTAATCCATATGTAGAAACTGGTTCACACCGGCAGATAGCTATGCTTAATAATTCTACAATGGCTTAATCCTGCTGTACATCTTCCTATACACTGGAAGCCCGAATCAGCTTAGAACTAGTGCTAGAAATATGTCAGGAACCATGGAATTTTTTTCAGTATAATCAATTAAAACAGTTGAAAGCAATACCAAATTACTGTATTAAGATTTCAATATCAGCCAAATATTAGCAAGGGCTGTCAAAATATTATTTAACTGTTAAAGGAGGAACAGCCATGTGTTCACCACCTTTCAAAAAACAAAACAAAACCCTGAAGTACCCAGCTAAGTTTGGAGTATAGTGCCAGCCCATGATATTTTGCTGTTTGAAGCAGAGTTCATATTGACACTTGCACCCAAATTAGAGACAATACTTTTTAAAGTTCTGATGCACCATTCAGGTATCCTGCAGTCATCAGTGTCTCTTCCACTCTGATACCACATTGCAAAGCCTACAGAGGTCCAAAAAAACAAGACTACAATTAAAAAGACACAGCTCTGGATTTTAACGCTCCAAAAATGAGCAATTATGACATAAGCCCTATAGCTTCTTTTGATGGACACACATACATTGCTTCCGATCTGCTGCCCAGCAGGTTTGTAAATTTCTGATGAACTATGAAACCTACTAAACCTGTTTATCAGAGACTAGTATGGGAGGATCATCCAAGGGCCTCTTAAAAGGAAACGAGAGTATTTTGTTTTTTAAATTCCAACACAGTCGTGTCTCAACCTGCATTTGCCCAATCACTATGCTTGTATCTTGTGACTGTTCAGCTGGGATATAGCATGGCTTTGACGTCCAATGTCTCAGGCACTGAAATCTTTGCATACATGGAAGGCAAATGCGTTAGAGGAGTGGGCATTTACCTTGATGTGTTGTCTGACCTTAACCTCTGCCATAACCTTGTTAACTTCCTGAAACATAAGTCAAAATCTTTTTTTCAGCTTCCTGCACAATTGTTCCAGTTTCAAATAACAGAGCTTCCCTGTGTGAACTGAATGTCTTTTTCAGCAAGATTTGTAAAGGAAAAATGACCACAGACTAACACATACACTATCATATTCCTTACTACCTATCGCTCTTTTCCTACAACAGCCATACATGCCTTTATATTTGGGGCACTGTCTACCCATGTGTAAGCAGCCTTTCCACAGTTCCAGGTTCACACATACCCATAAGTTGGGTGATGCACAGGTTTGCATATACAATGCACTATTCTTGGCTGCAATCTCTTATGTATATGGTTCTGCAAATCTGAGTATGAAAACATGGGCTGAAGTATGTGGAAAAGTCACAGGTCACACTGACTGGTGAATTCTGGGAAAAGTGGCCCAATAACCCACCCCCATCCCACTCATTTCCATATGCTGATTATTATGAGGGTTCGGCTGGAACATCTCATGTTCTTAAAGCACACTGTGGGCATGAAAAATCTTCCCCACAGCTCTGGATGCTGGTCAAAGGCTAATATGGAGATATATTTCACAACTTTATACTCAACCCATGCCAGTGGTTTACTCTGTGTGCAATATTTCCACAACTTCTTTTACCTAACGCTTTAGAAAATGACTAGAGAAGTTTCCTTCCTTTAAAAAAATGTAACCCAGTTCAGACAGTACACAAAGCTTGTGTGAAATGATTAAAAAGCAGCTTCTTTTACCTAGCGCTTTAGAAAATGACTAGAAAAGTTTCCTTCCTAAAAAAATGTAACCCAGTTGAGACAGTACACAAAGCTTTAGTGTAACATGATTAAAAGGGAGTAACTGTATGCCTAAAAGCTTGCACCCTCCCCCACATTCTTCTCCTTTTCCTTCTCATTTCCATTAACCACAATGTAATATATTTAATCTGAACCCTCAATTGTGGTCGCAGTTAATTATGGCTTGGTTTAAATACATACTTGGATACATTTTATAGTAGAAGGTACATATCAGAGCCAGGTTTCCAGTTCCTGAGATTGTGATGGCTGGCTTAGAACGGCTCTTGTTCTTAAAGCTCATTTGTTGTGGGCATGGGAAACCTTCCTTGTGGCTTTGGATTCTAGTAAGATGGAGCTATATTTACCCGCTGTATCCAGTCCTTGTCAGCTACATATGCACCACTCACAGGTCTTGTGTAAACTTCCAGAACAAAGACCGCTGACATGCATTTAGACATACCTTCTATAGGGGTAGGCGTCCCAGAAGGTGGGAGGTGGTTGGGTCTCTTGGATAGAACATTGTATTTAAGCACAGACTGAACAGCCATCCCTCAGGGATAATGCAGCCATAGTTGCTGCATTGAGCAGAGGACTCCCAGGTGCTTTTAAAATTCTATTTCAATCTATGGTCTCAGCAAGGAATATGCCTCTCCATAAGTAATGCATCTCTCATCACAAAAAAGCTCCACATTCACCATTGACTGTTCTCAATCCAGTGGTGGGTAACTCTGGTAGTCTTGGGTGTTAATTTTGTACTTCCAGGAGGATCTACTACAGGCCAAAACCAGAAATCTTCTGCTTTCACTTAATAGAGCTGGGGCTAGGACTTGTTTCAGTGCAAAATCATATTTTTCTATGGTCCGGTTGGGGGGAGGGAGGTCCAGGAGGGGTCTAGGGTCACAAAAATTACTATTGGGGCTGCATATGGGCTGTAGTTTGATGACTAGACTAGTGGATTGATCACACGTTAAGGAGAATGCATATCTCCTCCTCTTACAGTATTATCCCTCAAAGCACACTAAACTTTCAAGTATTAGCAGTCTGAAAAATTAGACATGCAAACGAAGTTGTGTGTATGTTCTGGTTCTCTAATGACAGAACAAAACCAGCAAATTTGTCAGTCTTGTACTATAATAAACAGGCTATTGAGACTATCTTGTGTTAGAATAAACAGGCTTTCTTTTCCTTTTAAGGGCACACTGTTTCAAAATATGGAACCAGCAACTCATGTGGTGAGGCTCCTAGTCTAAACTTTAACTAGAATTCACAAAACTATTGCATTTTATTCATTACACTTTAGGTCCAGTTTAAAACTGATGATGGATATGTCCCAAAGACATACCCATACAGGTTTATATGTGGCTAATGTCATGTTTAAATAAGGTTTACTTATGCAGCTTTAGAATTCCAGAATGCCATTACTGAAGTGACATGGCACTGCATGTGTAGGATACAGGACACAATTTAAATGTCATATGAGCCACAAATAACCTCATATGAATGTGTTTGATTTGCTTGAGAATGCATTTTATACTAAAAAGACAGGGCATAAAAGAAAAAGAAAAACACCCATTCCATGTATACATGAGGAGAGGGAATAAAACCATCCACATACAAAACTGCCTTCTCTGCAGAAACAGGTGAGAAGGGGAGCCTGTAAACAGACAGAAAAATCAAACTATGTTATAGCTGAATGGCACCACCACAGTACAAATTTGAACTAGCCTAAAACCAACGAATTTCTCTTTTAAAAATCATGGCAATTGTAGTTTGCTACCTTAGAGGCCTAGGAACCCTTTCAATTTTTCACAGAACACAACAAAAGCAAGATTTCTTAGCTGTGATGGAGACAACAAACAAGTTTATCAATTAATTTGCATTGGACTTCGGTCAAATCCAAACTGCAAAAGAGAAGAAAGTTTTGCCCTTCCATTTCTAGCAAGAGACAGTCCTTGTATTTCAGAAACAGATACATTTGTTGTGGTGAAGAAGAGAGGAGGTAGCACAAGCAGAGACTGGAAATTGATATGAACAGCCATTCTAAAGAAATTAATAATAGGCAATAGGCAATCTACAGAATTCCTTTTATAGAGTGATAGTATAGCCAGACATAAAGAGTAGCTGAAGGAAGTGAAAGAGATCTTATTCTGCTTCTCAGTGAGACTTGAACCCAAAATCCCACTTAAAGTACAGATTTGCAAAGTCCAGCCTTTAGAGGTTTCAAACCTTGTGTCTTAAAAGCAGATGAAATCTTGAGGACAGACAATAGAGAAGCCTTTGAAGAAGGATGTAAAGGTACAGCAGAGCAAGAGGAGTATAAAAAAAGTGAACCTGTGGATCGCTGTTCAACAGGAATCGTGGTTTGGGCAGCAAAGGAGGTTTGGAGCTTGGTCTGTTATTGTTTGCATCACATTGTCTTAAATCCTGGCAATCTAACTTCAAATCCCTGAAACCCGAAATGTTGTGTCTGGGCATATCTGCCTCCGCCTCCACCTTTCTTTTTCCATGTTCAGCCTCTTTCGATCCCAGCTGTCCGAGAGGATTCTGAGGAAATACCAGGTCAGTAGATGTCTTGCAGCTAATTTTACTGATAGCAATTTCTAGGTCTCTGATGGTCTCTTCTAGGCTCTCCAGTCTTTGGAAAGTGTCCCTGCAGATCCCTTGGCTTCTTAAGGTCACTGCATCAAGAGAAGCATGCTCCTTTTGTTTCTCTGCAAGAGTAATTACCACTTCTCTCTTTATTTCATTCTCTCCCGTGATAGCACCAATAACATCTAGCGCTGTCTGCTGCCTAGATGCTGTGTCACATGTAACAGCTTGTTTGTTCATCAGAGACTTTGAATTTTGCAGGGCAAAGCACAACTCTGAAACACCTGTTAGGTCACCTCTCCGCATCTTTGTGCAAACAATGTCAGAGTCCTTCAAAGTGATAGCCATCTCTTCTAGGCTACGATTGGCTTCTTTATGTTTTGGTTCTTCGGTGCCATTTTTGTTATCCAAACTCACAAATGCTTCATTTCCCTCAGTAGTTGAAGATGATGTCTTATAATCAAGTATGACCTTTGATGAGATGGCAGCTGCTTGGTTATCTGACTTGTGGATCTCAGCTTGTTTGGCACATGTCTGCAGATTACTTGCTTGCTCATTCCCAACATGCATAAATGTGATGTCTTCTCCTGCTAGTGGAAGAACGTTACCTTCTAGTGGAGTTTTAGATGTCTGAAGTATCCGTGTACTTCCCTCTATCTCTTGATCAATATTATGCGAAAGCGATGTTTCCAGCTCTGGCAGAAATTTCCGAATCCTCAGTTTTGCTGGCAGAGAATGACTGTACGTTAAGGCCTTACTAGACCGACCACATGATGTACGAACCAAAGATTTCAGTTGCTTTTCATTCTTGCTTAGCTTTCCCAATAAGACATTTGGGAGCTCTTTCTTTTCCACCATAGTCCACCTAATAAACCCCAAATGTCCATCAATGGCCTGGTGGTCAGGGGTCCAAGGACTGCATACCTTCAAGCATTCATCTGGCTGATATTCAGGAAATGGCAAGTTGGACACCCATTCAGAAAGGAGAACATGAGGAAGGTGGGAATTATTATCAGATGGAAGTTTTGAGAATGCTGAACCCTAAGGGAAAATTCAGACAATTATTATTAAGGTGGAAGAGTTTGCTGGGAGAGTCACTGGAACCAGGATGGTCACTGCTCAAAACTCTAAATAGTTTTGACTAATGTGTCCAAGATTTGGTCAGTTGGGCCATTCCTTCATCTAGGAAACAGGAGGCAATCCACTGAGATTGGAGACAGAGCAAAATAACTTTTATGATTTATGATGATGACAGGGCTGTGACTCTAATTACCACCAAACTCCTATAAAGTGACATATATGTCATGATTTCAAGTAGAAAAGTAGTAAGTGGGTGCATTTCCCAATTCTTTTGGTACAGCCAGGCTCCACGACCTGAGTTTAGGAAAGGGACTTTCTAGATTACCACTCCCAGAATCTCCTAGCCAGAATGGTGAGTGCTAATACTCTTTGGGGATTCTAAGAGTGGTAGTACTCAAAAGTAAGGGTGCAACTAGATGGCCCAATTATCCCAGAAGAGATCATGTCAAACAAGGTCACTTTGGCTCTGTAACTGGACATTACATAATCAAGATCCAGAGCAGTGTTCATTCTTTAATGTTAGCACTGCCATTGAGTGATAGGAGCCACTCTAAGCCATTAGCAGCACCTTACTATACCCTTCTTTTTACCAATGAACAGGTGATACAAGGGCAGGATATGCATGCAGTTCACATTCATAAATGTCAGTGTGATTTGCAGAGGAACTTTTCCCAGTGTAGTGAGTTCTATGAGCCAAGACTGTCTCCCAATCTGTTGTGAATAATAGTATCTCTTCTATTTCCCTTCCACCAACCTAGGCTGAACACCCTCAAAGCCAGGCCATGAAAAATTCCTCTCATCAAAATGGAAGAGATTGAGATGCTTTTCAAAATTGAGAGGGCTGTGCTTACTTAGCTGCAGGTACAAGGCAGCAGAAGCTTCCAAAGTTAGTCCTGTCTAACTGTTAAATTTTATTGTCACCTCCTGAAGTAAAAACATGGTCTACAAGTATTATTTCTTGAGGCTGGTTGATGGAGATCAATGTTGCCTCGTAACAATTTTTAAAGTTCTAAGAGCAGCAATGACAACATAAAACTCAAAAACCTGGTATACCACAAGTTTCTTCAACATTTAAGAGTTTTTACCAGGCCCCTGAAGATCACAAAAATATTTAGGGGATGCCTAATCTACAACCTACAAAAATTGCTGTGATGTCTATTAATCCAAGTATCTTAGATTTTCCTTGTGTTCGTATGATCCAGCCATAGAAACAAAGTTCTTTCTGGCTTATGTCACCTTTAGTGGAACACTAAAAAACTGCCTTTCCCCAAATTTTATACCATCTTTGACTGAGTTGGGTCCAGACATCATCATCCTTAGAACAGACCCACCAAAACAAATGGGACTTGTCATTAGCAACTTTAAAAGTTAATTGATTTTAGTGCATCTATTGTAACCAGTGATTCAGTTTTTTCTCATTTTTTTAAATTAAAAAAAAAGTATTTCTCCTAAAGAAATTTAATAACCATTGATCTCTGGCACCTTTATGTGAACACCAACAAAATGCTGCTGAGATAGATCTGTTCTAAAAGACTCAGGGAGCAAGTGAAGTGGCCATATTCTGAGTCAGATCATGGGCTCACCTATCCGAGTGCTATCTGTGCTGGCTGGCAACAATTGTTCTAGGGGTCTTTTCCAAACCTGCTAGCAAATATCATTTTAATTGGAGATGCTAGGAACTGAAACATAGAAGGTACATTGTGCACAGAAAGTACATTTAACACAGCACCTCCTTTCTGCGGTGCTCTCTTGAAACAGACCAGGAGTTATGTATAGGTCATTGTGCAAGTCTCTGTCTACCATGTACAAAAAAATTATCTTTGCAGGCACATGACTATTTATGATGGGAGGAAAGGGTTGTGAGCAATGGTTGACTCTTTCGACTCCAACCACCAATTCAGCATTTCCATATGTAAACTTACCACAGTGTATGCATAGGTCAATTATCCATACATTTCTCCACGTAGTTCTCAGAGAAGACAGCTACAGAGGAGCTTGAGGGGAATGCACACACATCACTGCAACCCAACTAAGGGGAGAAAGCTACACATTTTAGAGACTCTGTTGGGATGTGTTCGATTCCAGCAGTTCCCTGTGGTGCTTCCTCCTCCCTCTTTAATCGTTCACAAGTCTTACCTGGGATCGCAGTGTCTGGGCCCGTGGGAGGCTGCAGTTTGCCCCAGCTATATGACGGCCAGCAGTAATAGCAGCCTAATAGTAGAACAGTGCAGTGTAAGGGTTACTGTGCCCCCTCTTTCTCATCTGTCTTTTCTAATACAAAAAAGAGGGGAAATGTGGGAGGCTTTGGTTGGCCTATCGAGAAAGGAGGTCTCTGTTCTATTTTCCCCTTGATTCTTCCCAGGCAAATTGGAGAGATAAGAGAATAAAGGGCAAGGATATAAACCAAATTCATTGTAATGTATAAGCAATTCAGGACCCTGGAATGGTAAGCAGACACTCCCATCTAGAAAAGATACTTGTTTCTGTTCCAGGATGATCCAAAGCATTTTTCTGCCTGAAGCACAGTGATAAATAGCTCTTCTCCAAGTCAAGCCAAGTAGTACCAAAACTCAGGCCGGTCATTTTGACACAGGAAAGAGGAAGTCTCAAAAGCAACTCTTCTCTTTCCTATGACTACAGACTAACAAAATTCTAAAAAACTGATGTCATTTAATAACACCCAAAATCTGTTACCTAGGGTAGGTGGTTTACTTAGACTAATAGGAAGAGCTGCTCCTCTGTGTGTCTGTCTGTCTGTTTTGTTGTACAACATTTATTTGCATGAAAGGCAGGCCTAACTGTTTGCAAAGATTTTGCACAAATCTGTTTGCACAATCCTGCTTGCTACATGCAATGAGTGGCCATATCTCAGATAAGTTACAAGAGAGTCAAACTGCATGTAGCCAAAGGAGGAAGAAATCTCCTCTGGGTTACTGTCAGTATGAATTGAGGGAAATTACTTCCTCAGTTTCAAACATGAGATTTCTAAATGTAACCAAATCCACCTACAATTTCATCAATTTCTGAGTGCCACCTACAGATGGATAGATCAATCTATTTTCATTTGAGTTTCAGATGTGCTCCTTCTCAGTTGTTGGTGGCTAGAAGACTCTGGGAGTTGTAGTTTTTAAAAAAGTAATTAGTTTGCACTTTTCTGCAAGACAAAGTACAAGATGGAGGAATGGGCACTTGCTAACTACTCAACGTGAACAGACATCAGGCTTTAAAAAATGTTGTATTGTTCTTAATGTAAGCAAAAATCCCATCTAGGAAGACCAATACAGTGGTGCCTCGCATAGCGACGTTAATCCGTGCAGCAAAAATTGCTGCTAAGCGATTTAGTCGCTATGCGATTTTAAAAAGCCCATAGAAACACATTAAAACCTGTTTAATGTGTTCCTATGGGCAAAAAACTGACCTTAAAGCGAAGATCCTCCATACGGCAGCCATATTCGCTGCCTCTAAAGTGAGGAATCCGCGCGAAAACACAGTGAGCGGCCATTTTTTTACCCGGCGGCCATTTTGAAACCATCGATAAGCTGTTAAAAAATCATCGCTTTGAGATGATTGGTAAGTGAAACAGGGAACCAATCATCGCAAAGCGAAAAAAACGCATAGGAAACATCGCAATGCGATCGCAAAAAGTTCATCGCTATGCAGTTTCGTCGCTAAACGGAGTGCCCGTTAAGCAAGGCACCACTGTACTGCTATAAGGATATGCCTGGATACCACCTTGCACAAGTAATGTGAAACGCACATTGCTTGTGCTATGAGCACTGCATGAGTAATTTGATGGGGGATCCTGATTATTTTATTTTCTTAATTATACCCAACACTACATCAGACTATATGAAGTGCTTTTTGCCTAAAATAACTCTTCTTGCTGTACACAGTTTTTGTTTTGATACTTTGATAGTAACAATTTTAAAACTTTCTCTTACTTTCCACGGATTATGAAGCAGGCTGTCAAGCCATGATTAACACTAGAGAAGACATCCTAAAATTGGGAGGAAAAACAATGAGGTTGAAGCCCTCTCTGAATCTCATGGCATTTCCTGATTAAAGATACATGCACATGGAGAGGAAAAGTGGGACCTAACACCCAGGCTCTGCTTTCAGGGCATGGCATGCATTGCAATCAAGAAACCCCTTAATTTGTAAGTGCAAGAAGAGTCATAATGCAGACAAAAAGAGTGAGATCCCACCCAACTAACTATGACTACCACTCTGGATTTCACTGCCATCCAAATTTCCCCAGCATTCTCTGAGAGAGGATCAATACCCCCACCCCACCCCAGATTCATCCCTCTGCAGGAGTTGCGCATGGTTAGTGCCCACTGGGTTTTGTGTTGTGTCAGTACAATGCACGTTACTTTGTGTCAAATGGGTGATGAGAGGAAGTGACAGAGCCATTAGTTGGTTAATGTAGAGACAGAAAGAGAAGAGTTAACAAGGGCTGCAGAAAAGGAAAAAGAATCTTATTAGAGGTGCAGTGGTGGGTAGCCAGTCAGAAGGGAGGAAGAGAAGGAGGGAGTTGCGATCCGTCCAAGTAACGGCTGTTACCTTCCATCCTTCGGTTGGTACAGTGGCCCCATTGGGCCAAATGTCTGAGGCTGGTGCAAGCTGCTCACAACGGAACTTAGGAATAAATGATGAGCTTCTCTGAAATACCTGAGGAAGTCAGAACATGGAAGGTGGTTGTTTTTTTGGGGGGTCTGTACACAGACACAAAACAAAATAGTGTGGATTGCTGATTTGGGTTCAAGGCAGGTAGCTACAAACAGTACATCAAAAATGGGGTTTTGTAAATAGAAAGCTGTCCCAAACACAACATTTTGGAATTTGACTCTGCTCTCAGTTTCACAAAGGGACTGAAACCAAATAGGTTACGAAAGAGCTGAAATTAATGGATTTGTCATGAAATTATAAGAACACCCACCCTGAAACACAAGCTACATTGGACAGTTTTCTGTGGAAACTACTGATAACAGTAATACTCAGAAACAGTAATAAATAACAATAAAAAGTATTTTTAAACCCTCAAAATTACTGGATAAGAATGTTTTAAATGTCACTCTGTGACCTATATCTGTCACACCAAAACAAAACTTCATGCAACAATATTGGCCCATCTGTAGCTATTTACCCCAAAGGTACTGCAATGCCATTGTTAGAAAACACTAGAGATACTTTGATCTTAAGGTCCCTTCTAGACTCCATCATTTATTGTCAATTGTGTAGCAGCAAAATGCAACAGGTACTGATAACAGGATAGTCTTCATCATTAGTCAGAGTGAGAAAACTGCTTCAGGTGGGAGATTTCAGGGAACAAGATGTCTAAAGTGAGTGTGTATAAGTAACCTGCTTGCTTGCTTGAGTTTAATAAAGTAGCTAATTATACATCACCCTCTTATTGTGCATGACAAATTTATCTGGAAGCAGAAGGTTCCAGGAATGCAATGTGGAAGATCACAAGCCTATGCCTTCTATGATAAGCATGGGTTTACCACATGTAACCAAATACCACAATACAGCTCTACAACATGGAACTTCTATGAGTCAAATAGTATTCTGTGTATCAAGGGCACATGGAAACTTTGAAGAATGCAGCAGAAATATTCATATGGTTGAGAAAACTGGACCAATCAGGCATGAAAGCAATGAAATATGTACAGCTGCAATTAGAACTTAAGATAAATGTAGGGAACAATGAGCTTGTATTGCTTCATCACTGGCATGATATTAAATATTATAATAGTAAATATTTTAATTTCTTGGAGTACTACACATTATCACATCCACAGCCGTTACAAGGAAGTGGAGCTGGAGTCAGCTTTTGAAATAAAATGTAACTTCTATAAATTTCTATAAAACGCACATATTCTTTCTGACATATTTTCAATATTTTATAAATTAGGAGTCAAACTCAAGATAATGACAAGAGAACTTTTGTGTTAAGAAATGCGATGCTTTTTGAATATTTGTCATGTTTCCCCGTTGCTGTATTTACAAAAGTTTTTTCTCAATGAAATTATGATTGTGATGGACCACAGGTCTTCAAATAGAAGGACAAATGGAAATGAACACATACATGTGAGTTTCAAAACCACAGAGAGTTATTCCTGTAAAGGAGGTCCAAGTATAAACTTCAGGTGGCAGCTTTAGGCAGAAGTTTTAGTAACTGTCGTATTATTATTATGCTCAGTCAAGTATTAGGAAAATGAATGGAAATATATCTGGTACTTTTTGGAGGTGTATCAAGTCAATCACGATTTTACAAATATTGGGCAGTCCTGTGACACACAGAGTTTTTATATGGGAAGAATAATGTCAGTAAACGCAATGGTAGAACAAGTTGCATTATAACACTAAGTTCCCTAGTAATACTATTAGGAAAATGAATGGAAATATATCTGGTACTTTTTGGAGGTGTATCAAGTCAATCAAGATTTTACAAATATTGGGCAGTCCTGTGACACACAGAGTTTTTATATGGGAAGAATAATGTCAGTATGCAATGGTAGAACAAGCTGCATTATAACACTAAGTTCCCTAGTAATTCTGCTATTTGAAACCATGCACCTTTAAAAAATATGTAATGCTCCTTAAATAACCTGTTAATAACAGTAACACACATATTTTTAGCAATGCATTGGAAAAGGATTATCAGTGGGGATGGCATATTTTGTATTGAGGTCACAATAAACCTAATTAATATGTCTGTCAAGAAGACAAGCATATTAGTTTTTAACCTTGTATTTATATTGAAGAAATTGTCTTCAATTGTCTGATAGTAGATTTTTCTTTTTTAAAATACCTAGCATATTTGTAGAGGCAAATACATGTTTGAAACATGGCAGGGGGAAAGCGATGTGGGGTGGAATTTGGAGCATAGAATGATTGGTTTGGACAAAGCTAAGCATTTCTTCTCTTTCTTGCTGCTTTTCAATTCCGCTCTCTTCCAAAAATAGTATTGCTTTTTATACAAAAGGGCATGTGGACCACAACATAGTGTTTGATGCATAAGCCGCCCAGAGTGGTAGAATATACCAGATGGGCGGGATATAAATCAAATAAATAAATAAATAATAAAATAATTAATCCTTGTTGTTCAACCCTCATTGCCCAGTGACAGATGGACAAGCAGAACCAATGAACACCTGTGCTAGAGAAATAATTCATTTCTTTTAAGTAACAGCAACCAAGTAATTTCTTAAGTAGAGAATATGATGAATTTGTTCCACACTATAAACATCTGGAGATGTCTCATATTTGAACAAAGGATAGAGTGTTAAGTGATGTAAAACTGAAGAGCATGGGACATATTTCAGGAAAGCATATACATATTTGCTGATATTCTATTAGAACAATGTGCAAAATGCATTTTCACCTATGGAAATATCTGCTCTGGGAAATTTCTCATTGAACTTGTCTAAGTTCTAAAATCTATTCCCCACAACATTTAAGAACTACAGTCAAGATTCTCCATGCTATTAAACCAATGCTTCTCATGTTCGCCTACTATGGAAGCAAGATGTAGCCATTTGGTCAGGCATTTGCAGATAACTATGGAATGGCCACACCTGCAGTCACCATGTATATTCTGCAGCCACAGTTTGCAAACAACTCTTCAGGAGCCCCTCTTATCCCTTCTCTTTCCTACCTCAAGTTCAGCAATAATCCTGTCTTCATCATCATCATCTTTGATGGCAGAAGCAATGATGGGGGGTGTAGAGGCAGGCCGGGCAACTTCTGACACAGTCCTCCTCAGTTTCACCTGCGGCTTCTGGGTCTCCAGCTCTTCGGATTCAGCTTTCTGGAATCAAAAGCAAGGGACTGATGAATGGTAAAGAGGAAAGGATTGGATTGTGGAAGGAAAAGGAGGAGGAGAAAGGCATAGGGCAAGTTTAGTCCAGGGGGAATCTCTGGCTTGCCACTGAGCCAGTCCTCTAGATCAGCAGTCCCCAACTGTTTTGGGGCCGTGGACTGGCTGGGGGGAGCAAGCTCCATGCGCGGGGTGGGCAGGGACACCCCTGCACTCATGGTAGGTGGGCATGTCACGTTCACGCAGGGGGATGTTGCACTCGCGGGGGCATGTCGCGCTTGCACGCATGTGCATGAGGGCAACACATCTGCCGCGAGCACAACACGGCCCCCACGCGAGCATGACATGCCTGCCTACCGCAAGCGCAACTTGCCCACCGCATGTGCATGCAGGAGGGCGAAGATCCATATCCACGGCCCAGTGCCAGCAAGCCCACGCACTGGGCCACGGACTGGGGGTTGACGACCTCTGCTCTAGATGAAGAGAGAAGGGTGTCATACCTTCATGAAACTGGATTCCTTTTTGCTGGTGACTATCACCTCGCCTGTGCGGGTGGTTGTGAGTCCGTGGGATGATGGAAAGCTCCGCCGAGGTGGAGGTGGAGGGGGAGACTTGGAGGGCTTCTCAGTCCTATACCTGGGCACTGTCAGCTCTTCTATAGGGAAGTGACAAAATATGATAAAGTCAGGCATTTCATTCATAATATTTCCTTGAGACAATATTCTGATAATTGGTCTATTTGCAGAGGAAAGGCTTTTTTTTCGGTAATCATCTGTAACTAGACACGGAATGTTCTGTCCTAGAGATAAAATGGGCAGTCTTAATATAACTTTGATGCCATTTGAAAAAAAGAAAGAGACCGGCACCGGGCCACGGACTGGGGGTTGGGGACCTCTGTTGTAGACCATTTGTCAGCAATCCATGGTCCACAAGATGTGTGAAGTTGTGGAGTTCTGTGCATACAGGTGCCCAAGACCAAGCCTTTCATTTTCCAATTTCTTAAATTCTAAAGGACTGGAAAATGGAAGATTTGGAACTCAAGTGTTCCCTTAAATATTCCACTCCACTATTCGGCAAGCTTATGGGAATCTGTTTGTGCTGGGAAAACAATGGACAGCTACGATTCCTTGCAGACCCCTCCCCATAACACACAGCCATGCCCTGAAAGGGTTTTTAAAAAGGTGGGGGGGAGAAAGAATTTTGGGCTTGGTGAATTTCCTACATATAGACATATTTTAGGCATTTGGAAGATTATGAACAGATATATATTTTTGTTCTTCTTTTGAACATCATATTACTGCTTCTAATTTGATTGTATCATCTTCTCAGCAGTTGTGTTCTTTTAAAAAATGTTTTATTTTATCCATTAAAACGACTTTTAAAAAAGCAATGTAAAACTATAACCTATATTCAATCCTCAAGACATACTACAGCATTTTAAATTCCTCTCTCTTTGTCTTTCTCTCTCTCCATGCATAAAAGAGGAATGCAAAATCCCACACAGGCTGCATCCAGCTTTCGGCACAGGCCTTACCAGATCCCCGCCGGCCATTGGGGTCCATTTTGGTTGTGGTCTTCTGAGCATGCTGGGGTTTGGTGGGCTTGTGCTCTGGGGTGGATGCGGCACTCCCACTGCCACCGCTGCTGGAGGGCTGCTTGTGCTTGGCGGCAAACTCCAAGTCAGGGATAGCTTTCATCAGCTCCGCTTGGGTTTCTTCCAGGAGGCGGTTAATGTCTTTAGCACTGTATTGGGTCAAGGCTGCTCGCTTCTCTTCCCAGTCTCGTTCAGCAGCCTGTAAAGCAGGGCTAGATTAACCATTATGTTTATTGTTCTACAGCACAGCCCCACTGCCCAATGCTTGATTTCTAAAATGGGAGGAGCTGGGATGGGACAAATAGAGAGGACTGCTGTCCCTTTAAGGGAGTGAGAAAGAAGGCTTTGCCTTCACACTTGTTATTCAGATGTCATGAAGAGAAAGGCTCATCCCAAGCTATGTTGTGGTGCAATGGCAGCGATGTTTCTAACGCTGATGGACTGAGCTGTGATGGACATTAACTCTTCTTCTGCTCAGGGAATAATAATGGTATTGGATGATGTGAAACTGGTCAATCCATCTGGGATGCAAATCTCACAGAAAGAGCTTTGTGAAGCATGCAGAAGATTGAGTAGTGGAGAGAACACTATCATCGGATATATAAAATGTTGTGAATCAGGTGGTTATATGATCCCTGTAACCAGACCCAGTTAACAATCTAGCTGAAACATTTTGGACCCACTGAAGTTTCAGAACACTTTCTAAAGGTAGACCTACATAGAGTGTGTTACAGTACTTTGGCTGGGATATGACACCATGGGATATAATAAAGCTGGTAGATTTGGGGTGCCATTAGGTAAAGGTTCCCCTTGACAATTTTTGTCCAGTCGTGTTCGACTCTAGGGGGCGGTGCTCATCCCCGTTTCCAAGCCATAGAGCCAGCGTTTGTCCGAAGACAATCTTCCGTGGTCACATGGGCAGTGCAACTTAGACACGGAACGCTGTTACCTTCCCACTGAGGTGGTCCCTATTGATCTACTTGCATTTGCATACTTTCGAACTGCGAGGTTGGCAGGAGCTGGGACAAGCAACGGGAGCTTACTCCGTTGCATGGATTCGATCTTATGACTGCTTGGTCTTCTGACCCTGTAGCACAGGCTTCTGCGGTTTAGCCCACAGCGCCACCATGTCCCCTACTTGGGGTGCCATTAAGAGCGTCAAAATGAGAGGGAGGTATATGAACCATAGTATACAATCCATGCACCATGGATTGTGGGTTTTGCTGTGGAAGCCCCACTGGAACTAGACAAAAGCATGACATTTTAACAGACGGGGTGGGTAAGAATTTTCCAGTGGATTGCATCCCATTTTAATGCATGGGAGGAGAAGACACTAATTCCTCTGTTATGCTTCAGAATGTTGGTGGCCAATCTTATTGGTCACCAAGATTTTGTTTAAATGTCCTTTTTTCCCAGACCCTGCTCCTTTTGAAAGCTTGCTCACATATGGGCTGATCCAAGTTTTAAGATCTTCAGAAGAAGCCCTGCCATCAGAGATGGCTTTCTTAGTGGGCATCCCTAGATTAGAATTTCCGACCAAAATGGGCTAGCGTAGTGCTGTCTCTGTTGAACTTCTGGGAGACAAAGACCTATTTTATTCAGGCCAGTTTTTGTCATGCACCTTAGTTTGTTGTTGAAGGGATGTTCACCGGTTCAGTGCTACCTACATCGTTTATTGGTGTGATTTTTTTATTGATTTCCTATAATGCTTTAATCTGGATTTTGTATGAAATGCGTAAATTGAGTGTTGTTAACACCTTGAACATCACTCTTGTGAGAAAGTTGCAATGTAAATTTAACAAAAATGCATGCCTATGTGCGTACATGTAAACGTAGGCTGCTCTCACCTCCACAGACACTGATCTGTCCACACTCCTCTTGCTGGGTATATCAGAGCCTGTCTGGGTCTTGACGGCAACCATCTCTGAACCTCGGGACGGGTTGCTGCTCTTGCACACATGGCTCTGCCCTTGACTTTGCCCAAAGCTGGATGTGCTTAAGCTGTCTGTAGAAGTGGATAGGTCGTGGAGGTTCATGGGGGGACTGGTAGGTAGTTCAAAATCCAAGCTTCTGCTAAAGTCACTTTCTGGCTCCACCTTCTTGGGAGACTGGCTAAGAAGGTTGCTGGATGAGTCCCAGACACCTTCCTCTACTTGCCTGCCAAGAAAAGAGTAAAAGAGATCAAGGCCAAGCCACAAGGCCTCTGAGACAAACCCACACGCGTGGCAGCAAATTTAAAAATGGCTGCTGTGTTTCTTTGCCCGGAGGGGCCATTTTTAAAGCAGCACATGCTATATATGAATAGCAGCATTAATAAAATGGCAGGTGATGGGACTGGAACCAGGGAGGATAAGAGAAGCTGCGCCATCGGGGAGAAGCAAATGTGGGTGCCATGGCAATAGAGGTAATGAGGGCAGGAAGCCCTAGCTGCTGGAAGGGCTTTAGGGACCAGGAATCCGGATTTAAAATAAATGTCTCAATTATACTGTCCAAAGAATGGTCTGGTGACACCTGGCATTGTTTCAGTTTGTGAAATTAAGCAAGGATAGTCCCAGGCAGGACACAGAAGAGAAACCACTTGGGTACATCACTTAAGCTATCCGCAGGAGGCACAACGGCAGCAAATACCAAGCCACCCTGTTGTAGCAGTTATACTGCTGGAGGCGGATGTGGGAGATCTGGGCTCAAATTCCCATCCAGGCATGAAAACTCAGGTCGTGATCTTGAGCAAGTCATATGCTCTCAGCCCAAACTTCTGCACAGGGATATTGCCGGGATAAAACGTTAAGGATGTAAGCCAAGAATATTGCCTTGAACTCACTGAGGGAAAGTCAGGATAGAAGTTAAATGAATACATAAATATGGACATACAAAAACATGTGCGGACTGCAACATGATTCAGGGTACATTTTCAGAGGTCCGGAACATTTATTTTCGGGGACTACAGCTCCCTGAACCTCTCAGCCAGAAATGCCCATGAGCGTTTGGGATTCTGGTAGTTGGTCCCAGAAAGCAAGCTTTCCAAGGTCAGCATAGGGCATCCAAAGCGGAACTCATCAGCCTCTTTGGGGACAGAAGTAAATACTCCAGCCTATCCTGTCCCAGGCCTTTCCTTTCACTCTGGTGTTGCTCACTCACTTGCGAACTTGCGCCAGGGTGTCGGTCACTGCCTTGCATCGCTTGAATAAGCCGTCCAGTCGGTGAGGCTCTTCCTTGAGGAACTTCACCGCCTCCACCTCCACACGGAGGACCACACGCATTTTGCTCTGCAGGCTGGGAAAATTAGCTGCAATGCCAGGGATGGGTAGAGAGGGAAGGGAGAGGCATGGGGGTCAGAGCAGGCCCAAGGATGGCTTTCACCTGGGGAAAGGGAGGTGTGGAGCCAAGAAGAGAAGCAGGTGGGTGGCATGGCAAGGCTCAGGTGAGTGAGAAGGAAGGCCTCCCCTGGCTGTCACTGTTAATACTTTCAGAGGAAATATGGCATTGCCACATTATATAAACGCCCACCATAACATCTCCCACCTACCAAGAGCACAGCCCGTCACAAGCAAGATAACCACTTGTATTTCTGCACTCAAGGAGAGAGCGTGGGGAAGGGCTGGAAATACACCCTACCCACTGCCCTACCCTCCAGTGGTGACATAACTCTGTCAACATTGGTTTTTTTGTTGCATATGGGCTAGCAAGTTAGGCAAAGACACGTGAAAACTTGAATGCTTGAATGGGTTTGAGGAATGGATGAGAAGAAGGGATGACACTTAAGATCAAGTCATTTCCAGACTAACCCCACTGAACAAGCACAATAGGCTCACACATGAAACACATGTGTACGGTGCACAGAGCATGTAACTGTGGGTCATACAAACTGCTGTCAGATTCAAATCTGGAAATCCAAGCCCAAGTCATTGGCAGGACCCCAGGAAATCTCTATACCAATTCTACTGTTTTTATGGTGGGCTGTCTTTCCATCAGAAATATAGTGAATAATTGAATAATGAGATACTGTACACCCATAAAATCACTGATCTACTTTTAAAAAGGTGAGAAATCTTTGTGTTGTAAACCTGCTTTGCTGCTTCCTTACAATGTGCAAAAATGTTCTTTTTCAAGAGGCAGCAGAGAACGAAACTCCCATTTACAGTATACATTTTCTATATGGTCCAACAGAATCTTAACCTTTATAGGAAATACTAACCTCTGCAAAGGTTTTGTACCGCTTCCTCTCAGAGCTATTGGGTTAGGCACTTCTTTAAAAAAAAATAACACTAACACTCAGCATTGTTAATCTGTGACAGGTAAGCACTGCCTTCAGGCAGCAGATAGGTAGAGCAACATTTTGTAATTAACATGTACAAAAACAGTGGCTTAGGCATCTGGCTGCAGAGCCAGAGATTGGGAGGTCAGTTCACCGCTGTGCCTCCTGACAGGGGCTGGACTCCATCTTCCAGCTCTTTAGTTCCAAGATCATTATATTATTATTCGTTTTGATGCAATGCAGGAATATTTTATATAAAGAAGCAAAACAAAGCAATCCTATATATGTTTATGCAAAAGTAAATCCAGAAGTCAATTATCCTGACTCATAAGTAAATCATCAGAGGATTGCAGTTCTAATATCGATTGGTGGAGACTGAGGACCATGGATTATAACAATAACTAAAATAGACAATGAACATGAAACGGGAAAAGGTTTAGGATGAAGAGTGCCACAAAATATTTGTTCATAAGGCATTAAAATGGTCATGATAAAGGTCAGCCCTGCTATAAAAAGCACTAAATTTCACATTCAAATTACAGCTTGCTATTTCCAAGCTCTGGAGTAGCACCAGTTCACATGGAGATTTTTACCACAGTACAAGCATACACAGCCAAGCTTGTCTCCTACAGATACTATTTAAGAACACTCACACCTGGCGAAGCTGTACAGAATGCTCAGGCTGTGCCCAGACATAGAATTGCCCTTGATAATTTGCCTGTGTGCTATCTGGCTCAACTGCTGGCTCGCCTCCAGACACAGCGGACTCCAAGATGGAGAAAGGTCTTCAGTACGGTGCTCTCTGATAAGCTGCAACCCACTTATTGGCGATAGGAAGATGCCATTTAAATTCCTGTAAGGCCCTTGTCACACAGTCTCCTTTGGGCATTACACAAATTTAAAATGGTGGCACATGGCACAGAGGGCTGACAAATAGCAATTGACATATGTTTAGTCTCCAAATTCACAATCAAGGAGGGTCAAAAGGATAGAGTTTACCCTTGTTTCATCAGATGCTCCTTAGGGAGAGAAAAGGGAATAAACTCTGTATTACTTACTCAAGGATCAACTAAGTGTTCCATAAATGCATCATGATCAATACTTCCTGGATCGATTATTCTGGTTAAGTGGTAGCATACTTCACCTTCCTTTGTATGCTGGTTGTAATCTACATTTAATTGGCCCTCGTGTTTGAAATAGGAGAACAAGTACTTAGGGCTAATTTCATTTTTATTGTGACTCCTAATCAGGATCTGACACAATGGCTTAAATACAATGTAAGATTCTAGTTGAGGTCCCTGTCTCAGATGTAATGGGAAATTGTGAGCCGATTAACTAAGGGTTAGTAAGTTGAAGTTGATATACAAGAGGCAAAAGAGAGCAAAGGGTGAGAGCAGGCTGTGACTGGGGGAAGGAAGCTCTCCCCAAAATTTTGGAGTAAGACTAACTCCCATCCTAGTCCATGAGCCACCTATGGTGAAGTATTTATGCCTTTTGTTAGTTCCTAGGTTACTACATCATGATTTGAGACTGTTACATCTAAAATAATTTGCTGTCTTTCGGATTAATATATCTTCTTTCTATTCCATGTATACATTTGTAAGAAGATAACACACAAGCACCATCAATCTTAGCACTCTCCACTAAGAAACCAACACACTAGGCAAGCCTTAAAAAAAAAAGTTTAGGACTAAAAACCCCAGAATCCTCCATCCAAAATGGTCACAGATAATCAGAGAAATGTAAAACAGCAACAAAGCATTTCCTTCAGCATATTTTTAAACAAACGATGGTTTCTTAGGGGTGTTATAAAAGAAATGCAACTTAATTAATGGGAATGGGGATGGGGATGGGGATGGAGCTTGGTCCCCAACCCAATGACAGGGATATATTGGATAAGGGAGGTGAAAGTTAAAGGAAAAGAGAATGGAATGCTAATAGCCAATTTTCATATGGTAGAAGAAGGCAGAAGGGGCAACATGAACGGTCTCATTAGAACAGCTGGAATCTCCGGAATGTGCTCCGACAGCTGGCAGAAGCGCAAAAGAGGCATGCAGCATGCAGAGCAAATCCACAGGCATTCGTTGGTAACTTTGCATGGGTGATTGCCTGTGCCCATACGTTGCATGGGTGCTACTTGTCATACAAATACATGGCAAATGTGCAAAGGTTTTATGACCTTAAGAATGGAACAAGAGCCCTGCTGGATTGGGCTGAAGTTTATCTAATCCAGTATACGTTTCATGTCAGTGAATGCCTCTGTTTGTTTTAGTTGTGTCACGTACTTCTTCACAAATATGAAAATATCTTCCGCATGAAAATATCGTTTCATGTCAGTGAATGCCTCTGTTTGTGTTAGTTGTGTCACGTACTTCTTCACAAACAAATATGAAAATATCTTCCACATGAAAATACATTTTCACATATCACTTCTTGTATTAAAACGTAATAGCAGATTTTGTAACAACAACAATACCAGTAGCATCGACACAACTAAATAGTATGGATAGAATTAGCTTGGATTGGAAGAGCAATTATGCATACTGAGTGAATGAGTAGATTATTTACCATATAATCATTTAGAATATATTCCTTTTGCAATCTGATCAACTATACTCCTGTGCAAAAAAAAAAAAGAGAGAGAAGAATCGTGCTCCTCCACTTCTCTAACTTTCAAATTACTGTATACAGAAGTGTGGAAAACACAGATTACCAAGTGGTCACCACTTGGTAAATGTTCAGCTGAATTCATACACTGACACACTTTTCTTTCTCAAAATATCTCAAATTAATCAACCCGTTGCATCATGGAGAGTAAGTCCATCAACAGCCATCAGGGCAAGACTTTGAGGCAGATGTTCAAGGCTCTGCCCAGCAGGACAAGAAAGAAGTACCCCCAGATCTGACTGGACATGTCTGAGAACAAGCCACATGAAGTGTATACTGTTTCATCCTACCCTGCTTGTGAGCTTTCTAAGAATTCAGATTGGACACTGTCAAGAGTCCTTGGAGGATATTTGGTTTCAGCCAGGGCTGTGATTCATTGTGTTGTTATATGACTAACATATTGGGAAACCTCTAGCTTCCTGTGGCTTTTAATGACAGGAAAAGAGTAACAAAGTATATTCCCTTCAAAACTATGCATTCAGCATAAATCCACATGGTTTCACACACAACTTCTTATTTTTCAAAGATGTTGGCTAATTTCTCCTTGGGGAAATTCTGAACCTGAGATTTTATTTTGGAATTAAAAAGTCATTCTGCCATGAAGATGACACAAAGAATGATAAGGCTGAATGAAAAATAGTGGAGATGTGTGGCACTGGGGAAACAGGGAAGGAGGAAATGACAAGAGCTGGAACATGGAATCACAGCTTTAGTGCTGGAATAAACTACAAAGCTAACAAAAAAACAATTTGTCCAACAGAACTCCAAAAACAGGTCGACTTATATGAAGGAGGCCATGTTCCTGGAAAAAGAAAGGTCAATGTCTGAGGGTATAGTGCCTGAACACTTCTCATTAGACAAGATGCTGATTCTGTATCTAAAAGCAGCACTCTGGAGGAAAAAAATGTCTATTTATATTAAAACATTTGCTTTTGTTTTGTGACTAATCAGTTATGAGAGAGCATAGTTTTGCATGTGCAATGTGTGTCAGGCAGAGAGCACTGAAAGAGGGGAATGCCTGGAAGGATAATGATGAAAGAGAAAGAAATATGCATTCACCTTAATCTATGGCTAGGCTCTTGGTTATTTCTTTAAAAATCATGATGAATACATAATTTCCAGCTACAATTTTCACAAACATATGAATTAACCACAGCACAAGATTTTTTAACTGTGGCATAGGAGAAATCCTCTTCCAACAAAGACATAGTTATCTGAGATACCCCACTTTCCACCTCTCACCCTTCAGCTCTGTCAATGTGTCTCCCAACTGCTTAAGCACAAGTGATTTCTCCTCTAGCTCTTGTGTGGAGATGAGTCGATGGTTGTGGGTCATATCTTTCTGGATCCTTTCCACCGATTTCTCCAGGTCACTGCAAATATACAAAGACACCAACAAAGAAATTTCAGAAGGATGGAAAATGATGACGTGTTGCAAGTTTCCCCCTTTTCTTCAATGAGCATAGGAGCAGAAGGCAACACTGCCTTTGTGAACTTGATCACCTTGCATATGGATGACAGCAAAGTTCTCACTACCATCTTTCAGATTTCTGTGTTCTTTTCTCTTTCCAGATGATGTAACTAATTTGCTAAATTAAAACTATGATCACTTATTTCAGGCCTGTAAATAGCCGTTTCCTAACAACAGAGGGCAAAGGCTTCTTCATATGTAGGTGGTATAAGTGTGTGTGGGGGGGGGGCGTGAGAAAGTGTCCAAAATAACTAGGCTAAACAACCTTAAATCTTTTGGAATTCACAGGTTGAAGACAGTAATTTAAAGAGGGCATGACTGCTTTCAGGCTGTGGAACTCCCTTTCAAGTGAAGGTAGACTGGCTTTTCCCTCTCTTCATTCAGCTAAGCTTCTGCAGTGGGTTTATTTTCTCTGGAAGGGACTTTTAAACAGTGGATGGTTTATGTTTAAATGAATGCATTATAGAATTGCTTCCAATGGGCTGTGCAACTGTTTTGTCTGAATCCCAAACCGAATCAGGTTGATCTAGATTAGCGATATGAAGTGATTCAGTGATCTGAGCAATAAAAGAAAATGCTGTAAAAGGAAAATGCCAGAGCATGAAGACGGAGAGGGGGGAATGAAAAACTAAGTTGGACTTTACTGGCTTATAGCTTCAGCTTCCATTGAGAGGTAAAAAAATGTAAGTAGTACTCTCCAAAGTCAGTGCTTAAAGGGAGGGACAGCAAAGAGGATTATTCATCTAGTTTTCTATTAACAGGAATAATGCTTTTGAAAAATGTTTTGCTGAATCCTGGTGAAAATCGTGGACTGAATGTAATCCCAATGAGAGGATATACTCAACACTAACATAAACCAGTATCAAGTTCCCATTGATTCAATAGGGGTAAATAACTGTGGCCAACAACTGCATTTACTCTTTTGTGTTTACAGTCACTTCTGTTTCTTCTTCTTTCTTCCCACCAGTACCAACCTTCAAATCTTTCTTAATCACTTCATAGTCCAGCCCCATCCTTCCTTCCTTCACTTTCATGTGAATGAGCCTGTATCTTAGTCACCACAGTAATTTTATTACATAATGATATTTGCCTTATCCCCTACTCCATTTCTTTTCACAGTATTTTAGGTTACATCTGGGTTTGATTTCACTATGTACTGCTTTGTGTATGTTAGTATAGTTCTTGCTTTTCTCTTGCTCTTGTGTATGTCTGTACAGTACATATGTTTTAATTATGTATATGAAGTACATTTTAGTGCATAAGCAATGCATATACATCATACGCACTACCGCAGTGCAGAAAAGCAGTACGATTAGCAAATAGATTAAACATATTAAGCACATTGGCCAAAATTCTATTAATTATGCCCTTGTATAGCCCAACTGTGTTCAATATTGATGGTTAATTGCCACAAGTAAAGAAGTTAGTGCAGGCACTGGTTGTTGAATGCTGAGTTGCACAAGTTGGCATGCAACAGCAAATGTCTACATGACCTTTTTAACCAGGAACAATTCACCAAGATCCATGCTTATACCTACATGAAAACTTAACAACAATCAACTCAAAAACCAACACTAGAGTTAATCTGCTTTAAAGGGCCAGTTATATCTCCAGATATCAAGCATGTTATGTGAAGGAACAAAAATATAATGGCTATTTTGATTTCCCAGTGGATTCCCAGCATGAAAATTCAGATTATTCAATTTCTATTTGGATCCAAATCAGGCAAGACTAGATTTGAAGTTGTCCAAACCTATCAGGGTTGAATCTGAATTGCTGGGTCAGCCCCAAAGTGAATCAGGTGGCCACTGCACAGTCCTAGCTTTCAATTCAATTTTGTTTTAGTATTATAACTTTTTAAAATGTATTTCAAAATTATAACTTTTTATTTTTGCACATGTATCTGTTTGCACGTGATCACTGCAGATGGAGACAGCAGCCACGAAATTAAAAGACGCCTGCTTCTTGGGAGGAAAGCGATGACAAATCTTGACAGCATGTTAAAAAGCAGAGACATCACCTTGCCAACAAAAGTCCGAATAGTCAAAGCTATGGTTTTTCCTGTCGTGATGTATGGAAGTGAGAGCTGGACCATAAAGAAAGCAGACCGCCGAAGAATTGACGCCTTTGAATTGTGGTGCTGGAGGAGACTCTTGAGAGTCCCCTGGACTGCAAGGAGAACAAACCTATCAATTCTAAAGGAAATCAACCTTGAGTGTTCACTGGAAGGACAGATCCTGAAGCTGAGGCTCCAGTACTTTGGCTATCTCATGAGAAGAGAAGACTCCTTGGAAAAGACCTTGACATTAGGAAAGTGTGACGGCAAGAGGAGAAGGGGACGACAGAGGATGAGATGGCTGGACAGTGTCTACGAAGCAACCAACATGAAATTGATACAACTACGGGAGGCAGTGGAAGATAGGAGGGCCTGGCGTGCTCTGGTCCATGGGGTCACGAAGAGTCGGACACGACTAAATGATGATGATGATCTATTTTTAACCTTTTTGGGGGGCTGCTTTGCATTTCAGTTTTGGGGAAAGGGCAGGATGCAATTCAAATAAAAATGTAGTAATAAATAACAACCATCAGATCTCGGCCGTGAAAGCCTTTGAGAATACAAATTAACCATTCTTTACTGCGTTTGGCTTGTGAAGCACGTGCAAACAATATGTATTATCAGTATGTTTTAGAAAAGAGTCATTCTACCATAATGGCTATGGGATGCTGAAAGAAATTGGGAAGGTTACCAAAGTAGAAAGGGTGAAAATAATGGGTGCCTTCTCCTGTTGACTCGATAAATATAAATCTGATCAATGACAAAAGGGCAACACTTTTTAATACAATCACTGACTGTGCTGTAACAGTAGACACTGAATGGCCAGGAGGAGAAACAACTCTTTACTTAATTCTAACCTGTGTCCAGAATCTGGGGTGAAGAAAATTGCACTGTAAGTCTGACCCAGATGTGTTTAAATTTCTAAAGGGAGGATTTATCCAAGAAATGAGGAGATTAGCTATAATGAAGCTGAAAGGTGCACCGTGCAAGGTCAAATCCCATCCACAAGGCTTGGAGGTAATTTAAGACCATTAAAAATAATATGGAGGCCATAAATTGCATGTGGATACAGAAAGTTGCCCCTGGGTTTAACAGTAAAGTTCCAGAAGCTATAAAAAGTAAGATGACTTCCTGGGCAGTGCAATCATAAGTATGCAGACTCAGTGGAAGAGTGAGCTAGGATCCTGGAGAATCTAGGTCTATTGTGAACAACCTGCATTCTAGCATAAGTGGCCTATCCACAACTACTTGGTAGCTCCCATTAATACAACTGGCTATACAAAACAAAAAAGGGTTTGTTTGTTACATTATCTGAACAGGGAATCTCACCTTGTTTTTCCCATTATCAACCATGATCAGAGATGTGAAAGATACTGACTATATTTTCTATATTTTCAAAACTAGCCCTTTTCCTGTTAAGAAGAGCATACAGGTTTGTACACACACTCACACTATGCACAGAAAGGCCAGTTTATTGTTTTAAAAGATGCAAACAAGCCATCTGATGTTTTTAAAACTTTCAGATTTTTAAGACACTGAAAAAAGCAGCAGCTATCACAATTTTGTATCGCACCCACTACTTATACCACTTGCACACAACAGCTGAGTAATAGCACCAGATAGCATCTATTCCTCTTACAAGTCAAGGAGACAAACATTGCAACTTCTCATCCTTGCCTGCAAGAACACAACAAGGAAGGAATTACATTCCTCACCACCATCATATACCAGGAGTTGTTCTAGGTTAATAAACCATTGCTTCCTATACCAAAAAAATCATGTCGTTCCTAAAATTTAGTACCTAGAAAATGTGCTAATGTTGTGGTTAAATTACATCTTTCTAAAAATAACAGCTGCAACCTGATTAAGTCAATGTTCATTGATGAATCATATTAGTTTTGTCTGATTAAGCTGCCAAGTGAATCTGCATATAAATAACACACTACTCCTGGAGCAGAAAGCATACATAGCTATGTTTGGGGATCATAATATGCATGTAGGATAGTTGGGCACACCCTTAGAACAGCTCTCTCTCCCAACATGTAAAAGAAAGGCAAATACCTTTTTTAATATGGTGCTCATAATCTGCAGGTCTTCCAAGCACTTACTAAACACACACACACTTTACACATGCATACTGCGTATGATTATTGATTCACTGGGGATACATTTTTAGCCAGTTAAGCTTGCAGTCCTTTACATACAGTGGTGCCTCGCTTAGCGACGTTAATCCGTTCTGGAAAAAAGTCGCTAAGCGATTTTTAAAAGCCCATAGAAATGCATTAAAACACGTTTAATGCGTTCCTATGGACTTAAAAACTTACCTTTCAGCGAAAATCCTCCATAGCGCTGACATTTTCGCTGCCTCTTAAGCGAGGCAAAACAGCGGGTGGCCATTTTGTTTTTCCGGCGGCCATTCTGAACCCGCCGATCAGCTGTTAAAAAAGGGTCGCTTTGCCATGATCGCATCCCCGCGGTCATCGCAAAGCGAATTTTCCCCATAGGGACCATTGCTAAGCGATCACTTTTGTGATGGCGAAAGTCCATCGCTAAGCGATTTCGTCGCTCAACGGAGCGATCGCTAAGCGAGGCACCACTGTACTTACATGGCAGTAAATCACATTGGCTTTAGTTCTGGGTAAACACATGCCAAATTGCTTGGTTACAATTGTTCTAGATTAATATCCTATTGCTTTAGTAAAAAAGCCAGGACATCTATAATCTGTTCACATGTGCATAATTTTTGAGTACTGTTATTGTTATTCTGTGATATCAAGTCACTTCTGGCTTATAGCAACACTGTGAATGAACAATCTCCAAAATGTCCTGTTCTCAACTGCCCTGTTCCACTCTTGGAAACGCAAGGCCATATTTTGGGAGTCAATCCATTTTGTATTTGGTCTTCCCCTTTTCCTACTGCCTTCCACCTTTCCCAGAATTACTGCCTTTTCCAGAGATTCCTGCCTTCTCATGATGTGTCCAAAGTAGCCTCAGCTTCAACATTTTTGCATCCAGAGATAGTTTAGAGTTGATTTGATCTAGAAATTATGAATACTAGTACATTAAGTAACAATGTAACAAAATTTGGTAAAATTGGGATTTATGCAACCCCAGCCTTATGCCACAAAACTAAAGATATCACTGTTTCTTAATTTTTTTTAATAGAAGTTTATAGAAATTTTAGAGAATTCACATTTACAAATAGCTGCAGCAGTAGATCCAGGAGTTGTAAATGCATATTTTCCTCTCAGAGCTCATAGAAAATAGGAGGAATTCTACTGGAAAGCTAAACAGGGAGGTTGAAGTGCTTCTTTCCACACCACAGTTATGATCTAGGGGGAGGGACAAATAGTTCTCATTGAATTTTGTGGAACTTACTCATTAACAAGTTAGTTTAGAATGATGGTATTGGAATTTTGCGTTAAAGAATCTTCCATATTTGTTTAATTTCTCTCCTTTTTTTTGACCCCTTGCACTGATCTTTTAGTAACTGATTTTTTTTAAAAAAAAATAATGGAACAAAGCTTGGAACTAAAACTTATTCCAATGGGAGATTTAGATTTTTTAGGTTGAATCACACACTCTTGAAATTAACTTCCTCCGTCTACAGCATTAATGTCATTCCCACTCCCACTGTACCAACTGACCCAGAAGAAGGAACCAAATACAGAGGAAAGTGTCCCAGGAAGATGATGACAAATTATTTTGTTCTGCTTAGCTTCCACATAAACACATACACACATGCAAGCTCAGTTTGCAGTAGTCTCACTTGAGCTGTTGGGTGATGAGCTCCTCCTCGTTGAGGTAGCGAAGGCGCTCCTCCTCCACCAGGGTGCGCTGCCGCTGCAAGGGATCCTCCTGCTTGCGCATTGTGTCTGTCACCCGTACGCTGATCTCCGTCTCTGTCCGCCGCAGCATCGTCTTCACTGTCTCCTGGTTCTGAAGCTGAAAGGGACAAAGGAGGTGAAGGGGAAAAGATGAGTCACAGCAGGAGGGGAAGCTCTTTGGCTTTGATGAAGCTTACTGGTGTCATCAAAGCCAAAGAGCACCACAGTCAATGAGAGAAAGAAATAGTGAAAAGACACCGAAACACAATCTAATCTTTGCAGAAGTACAATGGAAAAGGATCCTAAACCACCAGGTGCTTTCTCCAATATGCACCTCTTTTATTTTCATCTGTCCTTTAGCTCTACAGCTTACTTGTACTTCTATCTCTGTTTTGCAAGAACTTGCAGAAATTCACAAACTGCTTTCAGGAACTCAGAAAGCAAACTGACAAATTCCATCAGTTAGAAATTCTTATGGAGGATGTTTACATTTAAATAGCTCTCAAACTGGCGCATTTCCCCCTCAAAGCCATGTGGAATGGCTTGCATTATTCACAAAAGGGAGAAGAGAATAATTAAGTAAATCAGGCCTAGGTGAATTATGTACTAAGGACCCATATTGTACATCACTACTTTTATGTAAGTACGAGCAGAAGAGGTGCATCCAAACACATCTGTTATCATAGGAAGGCAGTAGATGTATGATTATTCAGAGTCCTGGGTTCTTCTTTTTTGTATTTTGTGTGCATCTACGGTTGCTATGTTTTAGGCAGTCAGATCCTCTCACCATTATGCCAGGCAAGACATTTTATTTCAGACAAAATGTCTACCATTTCCGTTTTTTTCATAGACAATCTGAAATTGCACTGGAGCATATATACACACTAGAACTGTTTAAATTTTCTAGGAAATAAATTGTAGGTCTCTTTCCAAAATTAAGAACAATTAAAGCACCATAATTCTTTTACAATGAAAATGTATCCTAGGGCTAAGTGTCAATCACAAACCCCACAAACGATACAATGCCTCTAAATCAGTATCAAAGGATTTGCTAATTGTTCTGAAAACTCTGTAGTCTTAGTGATTTTTCCATCATGAATCCACTAATGCAGGGGTCAGGGAACTTTTTTATCTTTTACCCCCCCCCAAAAAATGTATATGCACCAACGTTACCCCACCCTTCCCAGCACCGCCCCTCTGCTCTCGCTGTCCACGGCCGACCCCCCTCCCTGCCTCTGTGCTCACCTGGGACCTGCGGCCGCCGCCCAAGCAGACAATCTGGAGCCGCCACACCGCTGGGAAAGTGCATCCTTGGTGAAGGGAGGTGGGCACTGCAGGGCTGGCAGGTCCACCGGCCATGAGCTCAGGTGAGGCAGGGCGGGAAGGGGGCCTCCTCACCAGCACTCACTCTCCCCGTGACAGAATGCCCGCCTACACACAGTATCGCTGAAAATAAAATGCCTGGGGGTAATGAGGAGGGTCATGCTGCCGCAACCGTCCTCTTTACCCTCAGGATTTTAATTTTTATCCCATTTGGGGTAATTTACCCCGTTCCCTGAGCACTGCACTAATGTATATTTGCAATTTTGGAAGAACAGACCAGCAATATATGGCTGATATACTCAAACTGAGATCTCTTTACGTGCTGTGACTTAAGGGATGCCCTCTGTTGGATGAAGCATTGATAACCTGAAATTCTATATTGTCCTCTCACTGTCTAGTGGAGCAATGTATGCTATAAATGAGTGACAATGAGAGAGAAAGGCAGCTCAAAAACCAGACACGGCACCATTTCCAAAATTCAGAAGCATCTAGGGGAGATGAGAGAGTGCAAGCCATTTGCTTTTCCACTTCTTTTGTCCCATTTGCCACTTTCCAGCTTCCAACAACCTGTCACTGTTAATTATCTCTGGAACGAAATGACTCAGAGAAAAACATAAGCAACTCCTGCAGTTGGAGATGGCAAGATCAGATCACTGGCTCTGGATGCACAACTGCCATCTGGCCTTTCATTTGGTGCCAGATCGTCCAAAATAATGCCACCCATTATTGAGAAGGGTTTGTTTTGGTGAGCAAGGCTAATGATGACAAAAGTCAACAGAAGCATGAAAATAAATTGAGGAAAAAAGAATAGAAGACTGGTGTGTGCAGAGCTGACTGTTATCTCATGGAAATACAGATGAAGTTTAGAGAAAGAAAGGGGGGAGCAGGGATGTTGATAAGTCTTTGGGTATGGGTCCCAAGACTGAACTTTTGGGTCAAAGTCCCAAGTCAAAGTCAAACCTTTGGATCCAAGTCCTGAATCCTGAGCCTTGAGTTCAAGTCTCAAGGCGTTTGTGATGTCCCCTAGAGACTTGGGACTTGGACTGTGCATGTGCCACTCAGCTAGGTTGGTCCATGTGCAGAGACAGTGGGCCAACTTTCCTTCCCAGAGCTGGCTCCTGCCTCTGCGCATGCGCTAGCCTATCAGAAGGTGCATGGGCGGATTGCCTCTGCGCATGCGCTAGCCTATCAGATGGTGCATGGGCGGATGCAGCAGCTAGCTCCTGGAAAGGAAGCTGGGATTGCTGCCTCTGGTTGTGGTGGCGAAGGCAGCAGGAGCAGTTAGGGAGGCTCATCCTTAATAGGGACTTGAAAGCAGCCCCAAGTTGTGAGTTCAGTATGAGTTTCCCTGCAAAAAATATCCAAGTTGAGTCTGAGTCAAGTCATCAATTTGATAGCGAGTTGCAACTTGCAAGTCCCCATTGAAGGAAGGAAGGAAGAATACCTGAGGCTTAAGTCCTTATTTCCAGCTGAATGGAAACCTCAGGGAGGTGGGAATTAAGAAGCTACCATACACTGAGTCAGATCACTGGTGCATCTTAGTACAGTCATGCCCCGCTTAATGATAACCCATATAACGACAAATCCGCTTCACGACGATGTTTTTGCAATCGCAAAATGATGTTTTAATGTTTTCTTTTTCGCTTTGCGATGATCGGTTCCCTGCTTTTGGAAACAATTCTTCGCATTATGACGATCAAAACAGCTGATCGTCGGGTTTCCAAAATGGCCGCCGGCTGTTCAAAATGGTCCCCGCTGTTTTTAGGAGGAATTTTTCGCATAACAGGCACCCAGAAATGGCCGCCGTATGGAGGATCTTTGCTGGACGAGCAGGTATTCAGCCCACTGGAACGCATTGAATGGTTTTCAATGCATTTCAATTGGCTTTTTTATTTCGCTTGACGTTTTTGCTCTACAGCGATTTCGCTGGAACGAATTAACATTGTCAAGTGAGGCACCACTGTATATCTACTGACTGGCATTAGCACTCAATGGTTTCACACAAGAGTCTTGCTGTACCTGGAAATGCCATGGATTAAACCTGAGAATTCTTCATGCAAAACATGTGTTATGCCCTACTAAATGAACTGGCATCATTCTTTTATTTTGCATAATTTATTCTGATATTGCTAGTCATGGGAAGCAGTACAGAATCATATTAGATATCCCAGACCACTGGAAACCGTATTCAGTCCTGCCTCTGGCTTCTCAAATCTCAGCAGCCATTTCCATTCACTTTCAAAACATATGGATTTTCACCACTAAGGTCCAAAAATCTCCCTCTTGAAAGAATGAAAAGTTAACTTCCTCATACACCCAGCATAACATTGGGAACTTATTTTGCACACTACTGTGGAAAAGCAGCACAAATGTAATCCGTCCTTAGCCCCAGCTTACTTGCAATTTCTTCAGCTGTTGCAACTGATTGCGGAGGTCACTGGCATTCTGCTGCAAGTCATGGAGATGCAGCTGCATGTGTAGACGAGTGATAGCAGTGGGCTGCCCAGCTGGCGTGCCAGTAGCAGATTGGGGTGGAGGGCCAGGGACTGGAGTTCCCATGTTGCTTCTGCTGGGAGCTGAAAGAAAGAAAAGGCAATCCAATCTCTTTTGTAATCCAGAGGAAGGAAGGGAGGAAGCAAGCAAGCCAGGGATAGCTTTTGATCCAGGGAGTGATGGTGCCTCAACTAAAAATTTCAAAAGGAGCCCTCCTGATGTTAGGCCATTGATGACTGTCATTCCTTTTCAAATCTGCAATCTAAAATGAACTGTAGAGCTGAAAAGGTAACCAAGCCCATCTCATCAACTGCAGGAAATTCCAGCTAAATCACTTCTGACAAATGGTAATTCAATCTTTGATTAACAACCTCAGTGAAGGAGAGTCCACCACTTTCTAAGGCAATCTCTTCCATTGTTGAATAGCTCTTACTGCCAGGATGTTCTGCCTGATGTTTGGTCAAAATCTCATGTAATTTAAGCCCATTGGTTTAGGTCCTACCCTTCAGAGCAGCAGAAAACAAGTTTCAAATGCTTGAAGGCAGCTGTCATAGCATTGCTCATTCTTCTCATAGGCATCCTTCAGTCTCGAGAGACTATGGTAACATGCTCTGAATCGAGGAGTGTCCTCTCCAGAGCATGAAGCCTGGGTAAGGTAATATGGAGGATAGGCTGTTACCCAAGCAGCAGATCCCCTCTCTCCACATTGCTGAAATGGTCCAATGGAAAGGCAAGAGCCAATACAACTGGTTCCAGCAACGTCGCAGGAGTTGGCAGAACGACACATGCTGCCTTCGGGACTCCAGCTCCGGATTTTGCCTCGAGGTTAACTCCTGAAGCCTTTTCCATGAGTGGATATAGCCACAAGGCAGTGGAGGTTTGAAATTGGAGTTTTCCTTCTCCTAGATGGGCTGCCTTCCATGGCTGATGAGCCCCACCTACCCGGCCTTCATTCTTCTACAGGCTAAACATAGCCAGTACCCTCAATGGTTCCTTACAGGGCATCATTCCAGATGTTTTACCACCTTGGTTCCTTCCTCTAGATATGTGCAAGCTTGTTGAAATGTTTCTTACATTGTGGTAACTAGTATTGGACACAGTACCCCAGGTGAGGTCTGACCAAACCAGTGGAAATGTAACTTCTTTTGCTCAGGACACTGTGCTTTAGTTGATCAGCCTAGAATTATTATTATTTATTTAATTTATATGCCGCCCACACTACCCAAAGGTCTTAGCTTTTCTTGCTGCAACATCTTTATTGATTCACATTAGTCTATTAGGATGTCTAGATCCCTTTTCCATATACTGCTGTCAAGCCAGGTTTCACCAAAGCTTAGAAGCATTAATTTTTTTTAACTGCAATTCCCAGAATCCCCCAGCCATCTTGGCTATGCCAGCCAAAGAGATTTGGGGAATTAAAGTCTGGAAAGAGGTAACATTTCCAATCTCTTGGCTTCATCCATTTTGTATTTCTGCATTTGACTTTTCCTTCCTAAATGTCAAGATTTACAGTGCCCCCTGCTAAATGATGTTAAAAATATGTTGGGATATTAGCTATCCTTCCCAGTGTGGTATTCTCTGCATATCTGATCAACATTTCATCTCCTCCTTAATTGAAGTCATTTATAAATATTGCACAAAAACATTGCTCAGTCTAATCAGATTGATGGCTATATTTCCTGTCCTCACTCTGATTCAGTCAAAAGCAACAGGGAAAAAATAGCACTGAACAGGAACATAGCATATTGCTGACACCACCAGGATTTTGAACAGACAGCAAGGCATGGAACCAAGATAAGTAAGAGAGAGAGAGAGAGAGAGAGATTAATGAAAACTTCTCAAAATAAAAGGCAACTTGAAAAAGAAAATATATTAATTTAATGTATTTGGCTGAGACCTATGTGATAGCCGTAATGGATGGAACCCCAACATTTCATTCTCTGATTAATCTAAAAATCAGGCACCACCCTCATGTTGGGGCAGTGTGCAAGACATCAGAACATGATGCTCACTTACGTGCTGATGTTGGTGTCCCTCCATTGCTTACTTCTGTCTTCTCACTAGAACAGAACAAAAAAGAATATGCAGTATACCTTGATGAAGTGGCGAATAAAACTGTAGGACAACATTTTAGCAGGTGTGTTGGGCCAAAGTGCCTGGCCAAAGTACTAGTGTAGTAACAGGAGGGGCTGTTGACAAAATCCTGAATCCAACACTGGCACAGTGTTGGTACAACCCCCTCGTTGTACAGGTGAGTGTTCGTTTCTCATGTTTGCACAAGGACATATACCAAAACACTGTCAAGCAACTCTTGTCATTGTGCAGGGGTGGGTGGGTATGCTGCTTGGATGGTGCAATGGGTGAGTTGACATGCTGGTTTCTGGGTACCTGAGTACAGCTATGCCTCCAAACAAACTGCCAGCAGTTGCCAGAACTCGCACCATGCCAGCTGGACATCTCCTGCCTCTTTTTCTGCCAAGCTCCCATGTAAGTACATCAGGGAGGCTTTTTTGCTCTGGACTGTCAGCCAAAATACTGAGGGTTTTTCTGTGCACTCATTCCAAGTAAACCTGTGGAATATATTGGCCAGAATCTTATCAGTGATTTACATGTGTGCAAAAGAAATTGGGTGAGTCATGGCAGCAAATTTGTTCTCGTTAACAAGGTGCTGTTTGAGCTCCTGGGTGTGTGTCTGATATACCAGGTGCACACTGAGGAATGCAGCCAGGACTTCACTGATGAGCAGCAATATGCTTCTGCGACTTGCACAGTTTTACTTATACAAGTGTAAAACACCAGCAAGACTCTGGTCATTGAGATAAGAAGGCATAATTTAAAGAAATTAATACTTTCAGTAAAGTTACTGAGTGCTAGGCATTTACACCAGAAAAGGGTGGCAGGAACAGGAGAAAAGAACTGGCCTTTTAGAAGGAATATAAGGCAGTTTTGTGTTTTGGGGTAGTGTTTGCTTTTGCAGTGCTTTAAGCTATATCTGAACTATTCTAGGCTAGTAGTTATTTCTGGCCTCTATGCATCTGATCTACATTGGGAAGTAATGAAGGTGCCACCTTGTGAAGTGATTCTAAACAGATGCAACTGAGGAAGGAGTAATGGGGTGGTCTCCACATTTTGATGACAGGAGCTGTTCACTGTGAAGTAGAACTGCAAACTATTTTCAGAGAAGTGTTTTTCCCCTCCCAAGGAGGTTTTGATGACAGGAGCTGTTCACTGTGAAGCGAATCGTGTGAATGAAGTAGAACTGCAAACTATTTTCAGAGGAATGTTTTTTCCCTTCCCAAGGAGGTACAGTGGTGACCCGCATGACGACGATAATCCGTTCTGTCAAAATTGCTGTACAGCGAAATCGTCATCTGTTCATGGATGTGGGCTTTCCCATTTTACCTTTACAGTAAATTGGAGTGTGATACAATACTTTGATTTATACCCACTAAGGTAAGGCCCATTGCTTCTGCTACTGCCAGAGGCAAAATATCAAAAACATGCAGACTCATACCTAGGGTTTTCTGCATCAGAGCTTCGCATCAATGCACTCTGCACCAATCCTGTGAGGCTCGCAATCTGCTTCTCCATGGCTTCCATGCGTTCCCTTAGTAGAAAAGGAGAGGGAAAGGGAAGGGAAGGGGACCGAATAAGACATGGGGTGCACACAATGTATATGTTCCCTGCCCTTTTCCTATCAGTGTAATAACATGGTGGTAGCACTGGCTTGGGTTGATGAATCAGTCAGTATCAAGTATTTGTCAGTTTCACATGTAGCCAGTTCTAGGTCTATTCCACTTAATGTTCGCATCAGTCTGCAACAACAATGCAGTTTTTTGAGCTGAGAAAAGTCTGCAGTTTGACGAATAATTGTGTTCTTATCTGCATATTAGTCTCAGCAGCTCAAATTATGTCAGGAATTAAGATAGGAATTCTCGCCTATCTTCAGGAGTCAACATATGAATTCATGCATTTTTATATAATTTAAAAGTGTCTAGGTCACACTTGTGTTCCATTTAATTTCACAGGTACTATTTGGAAGTTAGCAAAGTATAAATAATAAGTTACTTGCAATTCCTTTCTCTAATGAGATAGGTATCACATTACAAGTTGTTACTTCAGGAGCCATAAGTTCTGTCCTTGTACAGGGTAACTAGTTTCTTTTCTAGTTACAAGAGTGTTACTTCATCAAACAGCAGAGGAATAATATCATACGATTCAAGTATTGGCTCATGTTGTAGCTCATGCTGTAGTCTTGTACTCTGTTATGGATGTTAAGTGAAAACAAAAAGGCCAGAAGGAGAGTGTTTTGCACTACAAGTGTTAAAAATGTTAATAGTAATTAAAAGCAACTATTTTGGTTATTTCTAAGAAATGTGAAAACAAGAGTAAAAATTTTAAAAACTGTAACTATAGGACTAACCAAGTACTCTCAGGCACGAAGAAGTAAAACTGTAGATAATTACAGTAATTTTTAAAGCATTTTAAAAACGATGACCAGGATACTTAGAATAATACTTTAAAAGCCAACATGCCAACATAACTGCATCAAGTAAAAAAAAATTAAAGAAATAATATAGCCTCCTAGAAAAACATGCAGCAATATTATATTTTTTAAAAAATAACTGAGGAAACACTGTTTGTAATGCTCTCCAAAGCCTTCTAGAAGAGCAGTGTCTTCACAGTACAAAAGAGCTTCCTGGGGATATAAGACAAGATTTCAGCTAAATGAGACTGTAGATCCATACAATCCAGTATTCAATTTTCTGTAGTGGTCCAGTGGATACGAATGCAATCTCATGAAGCACTTAGATCAGCACAGCTTTGGCAAAATAAAATGTCAGTGGTGTAGCCCACCCTCTATACATTGCAGAAAATCAAGTAGGTGTTACTGGTTGTAAATGATCTACAAAGTGTATTTTTTAAAACAACTAAGCTTCGCCTTTGTCCAGCCTCCATTGAAATGAAGGTCTAGAACTGATAAAGGCTGCCAAGAATGTTTCCCAGACACAGTCTAGATCTGAATGACTAAGTAGCACATTCTTACAATTACACAACACTTCTTTCTATAGGGTGATCTATGGCAACTGCCAACCCAGGATTTCCTGTCTTCCAACTAATATAGCCCTGCTAATATGTAGCTGAAAAAAAATTGAAAATACAGATGACATCACTGCCTAAAGGATTCTGTGATTCCACCAGATGGCAACAGATCTTTTGATATACAGTCCTCCACATGCTCTTTGGCTGATAACTTCTATTAATCGTAGCCAGAATGGCCAATGAGAAAGAATTATGGGTGATGCAGTCCAAACCCATCTGGAAGGCCACAACTGTCCATCCCTACTCTGAAGGACCGAAGTGGAATTTGAGGGAAAAAGAAACAAGATTGGGAGAGGTGGTAAGTGGGTCCTTTTCTAAAAAGGAATCAAACATTATCACATTCCCATTCATGTGATGGTTTAGCCCAAGTGACGAGGCATATTATTTCCTCCTCAATCACCTTGAATAGAAGCAAGGAAAAAACACTCCAGGAAGAGGAAGAGTGTAAACGAAACAAAACTGGTGCAAAAAGTGAGTTTGGATTGTGGCTACTTTCTCCTGAAAATGCCCATCCCAACGGTGCCCTGTAGTCAATTTCCTTAAAGGTTCTGCACTGAGGAGAAAATTCTCTCATACACTTTTCCAGTACATTAACTTCTGACAGGACCATGCTTGTCATTCCATTGACCTCCCCTGCTTGCCTTTCCCTCCCCCACCTCTGCTCTCTTGCTGTTTCTAATCATTTATTTCCTTCTGTCTTTTTGTTATCCTAATGAGCTCAGTTCCTATCATTCCCCCTGACAACTCAACTGACAGCTCAGGAACCATCCTGGCAGTGGAGATGTAGGCTCAAGATGATTAAACACAAGATAAGGGCAAACACTTTTACTATCTAATTTGCCTGAACACATCTTTTCCCAGAAGAAAAAGGAGAAGGCCACCCACAGATGGCAAATGGTGAGAAGGAAAATGGATGAAATGCTAAGGTGGAATGGAATACACAGAACAATTCCAACTATTCAGGGTGAAGGCAGTTTCCTCTACAGCTCTTCAGTGCTGTAATCAGATGGAAATGGAAATAAAATGTCATTCCAAAAAGCACGCAAATATACTTTTATATCATCAAACAATGTCATTGAGTCCCCAGGGCAAAGTTTTACTTCTTTTATTTTATTTGTCTTATTTATAGACTGCCTTTCTGCCAACAAGGGGACTCATCAAAGTTTTACTTCTTTTATTTTATTTGTCAAGGCAGCTCACAGTATTAAAAAGCATAAAATTAAAAATACAATAAGTTATACATTAAAAAGAACTGAACTATAAAATGATTCAAATGCATTGAATTATTAAAAACATAGAGAATGTTAAAAACTATTTTAACTGAAAAAACGGCATTCAGATTGTTAAAAGTATAACTGAGGACCCATTTTTTCAGGCAGGTTTTTAACAATCATGACTGAGTTCCTGAATGCCATTTTTTAGTTAAGATAGGTTTTTTTTTTACATTTTATATGTTTTTTAAGTGGAAGGATAAAAGGGATGGAGGCAACTTAAACTCTAAAGTGAGAGCATTCCACAACCTGGGAGCAGCCACAGAGAAGATCTTCTATGAAATCTACTCAAAAGCCAAGCCTATGCAGCAAAGACCCTTTTTGCTGATGATTAGAAGTTTATTTGCTTCCAGGCTCTGATCGTTTTATTGTTTGCTGTTGACTGTGACTGGGAAATTAGTAATGAATTGCCCATTAATTGCCCCTTAATTCAGTTGCTCTTCCTGCAAAAGAAGTGAGGTTTTAATTACAGTTGTTAGTTTTCCCTTTTATTTAGTGAAATAGTACTTATGAGCTATACACAAATGTAATAGAATAAATAACGAGGAGAAACCAGTAAGGAAAGCCTCTTCCAGAACAGAAACTGGCATTAAACGTTCAATCTTGAACCCATTTAAACAAGGACTCAGCGAACATAATGAAACTTATTATTGAGTAGGCATGCATAAAATTCCACCCTAAGAGACAATTAACAAGCTATCCATCAGCAGTCCAGTTGCCACACAAAACAGAAAGTAATAATGGCAGAATTAAGGAAAGTCACAGGAGCCCTGGACAGCCCATTGCCTATCCATACTGGTTATGCTACTGTTATGGTTATGTTGTAAATTTTTAATCAGGTATGGAAAAAATACAGATGGCTACAACTGAAAATACTGGAATGCACTGACTTATCAACAACAGCAGGTGCTTATTGTTCAAGAGTCTGCCTCAAAGTATGTTTTACAGAACATCCAGATATATCTGCTTTGTAACCTTCCTGAGTTTTCCCAGAGATTTTTCTATCTTTTTTCTTAGCAAACAAAATCACAAGGAGAGAAAAGTAGAACAGCTGCAAAAACATCTACTGACACCCTATGAGCACTCTATCTGGAAGCAACCAGCAGCTAGAATCTCCATAAAAAGTGGGAAAGCAAAAGATAAAATTCTTGAAATCAGGGGTACTGTGAAGTACCCAAGTCAACAACAGGACATACATAAGCCATTCCAATGGGGTAAATATAAAGAAAATCTGGATGGAAGAAAATATTTTTTTAAAAGCTCTAAGGAGAGAAAGGGTGATGTGCTCTCACTGGGAAGCTAAGGGCTTGAATGGATGCACAACATATGGGAAACTACTGGGAGTAAATGACTAGAAAGCAGGAGGATGAAGGCAAAATGGGTTTAGCAGGGTAACTGTTGAGGGGAAAAAGCAATGTATGAAGAAAGAAAGAACAATGAGAAAGGAAAAGCTGCATGTGGCATAGGATAGCGGTAGGCAATCTGTGGCCCTTGTGATGGCTCCATTAAGCCCTAGTTAGCATGAAAAGATACCCAGTTTGGTGTTGTGGATAAAGGGATGGCCTAGGACTCAGGAGGCTAGGTTTGAATCTGTGCTTAGCCATGGAAACTCATGGGGGGGGGCAGAAAAGGTATAACCACTTCCTAAATATCTCATGTACCTTGAAAACCTATAGAGTCACTATAAGTCAGTTCCAACTTGAGAACACATAACAACACCATGAAGGGAAACTACTGGTCAAGGATTATCAGAGTGTAGAATGTCTCTTAACAAATGCATTAAACAACTGGGAACATATGCTAGAAATCAACTCAAACTCAATGTTACTAGTACTCAAATATGTGTCTTTAGTCAGAGAAACAAGCAGGCATCTTGGAAATGTCAGGTTACCTACAAGGGTGTCCAACTAGAATCTAGTTACTAGATCAATGCTTTGATTCCAAATATATAGGTGTTACTTAGGATTGTATGCTGAACTATAAGAAACACTGCCAAAATACATAGCAAAAGGTTTCTGCAAGCTAAAATACTCTTTCAAAGCTATTGGGAAACCATAAAAACTGAAACCTACAGCCTTGGTTGTATGGTACTGTGCAGGCAGATACACCAGCTTGGTTTGATATAATTTAACCCATGCAAAGCAGGTAGATTCAGCACTCAATGAAAGCTATTGAATCATTACTGGATGCCTGAAGCCAATCTCTTTTGATAAAATCAACTACCTAACATGCATTGGACCAATGACATACGGAGAGGGGTAGCACCTAATAGTGAAAGACTGAAAGCATCTATATAAAATGCAAATCCACTCTTCAGCTATCATCCAGTCCATCCCAGATTAACATCAAGGTAATTTTCCCCCAAAAAACATCTACGAACCTTGAAGGAACAGCAGAGATTGCCAGGACTTTAATATGGAAATAATTATCTATCCCTCTTAAAGAATTTATCCCTCTTAAAATGGAGGGAACCTCAGGAGAATCTAGCCATCCGGTCATAGAGAAAACTGGTTACTTGGAAGTCACTTAATAGACTACAGACTGGGTTTGGTGGAACCAAGGTGAACCTAAGGAAATGTGGATTTCACGCTGGCAGTTTTCTCCACACTCACTCCTTTGTGAGTGTGGAGAAAACAAGCAACTTTACACCTATGTCAGTGTTCTGTCTACCTCACAAAATAGAAGACTGAATGGTCGCTGCTCCAAATGCTCCTGATGTTGCCTGTTATTGTGCAAAAACTATCTGATATGCTTACTGACTGTATGACAGTGTTTTCTGCCATGTACAGAGAAATAAAGAAAGAAGATTCTTTTACCTTGTTTCTGTATCCTTGGCAGGCACAGGTGAGCTGAACCCAGACAGAGGACGCTCCCCAGGTCCAGGGAAGAGCTCTGGAGGTCCTGAAGAGCTTGTATTCCGTGGCTTGTTGACAGGACTTTCCATGAAGACTGAGGAGCAAGAGTCTTTGCGGAAAGACTGACGTACTGGGGAGGACCGGCTTGGAGGCCCTGAGTAAGGGCTGTGGGGACTTTGGCTCTGTTGAACATCCACCAGCCGGCCATCAGCAATTTTCTGGGGAGATGATGGGGGCAAGCGAAAACCCATTCCAGGACCATAGGTATCACTATAGATCTGTGCACTGGGCTTATATAAGCTGTCTTCCAGTTCTGACTGCAAGGCAGCAGCTGAATAGGTGCTGAGAGAGCGTACAGAACCACGCTTATACAGCCCCCCAGGGTAGGCAAACGGGTCCCCCATCCCAGCCAATGACTGAGTGGATGTAATGCTTAAACGTCCTTCATGAACCATACTGTAAGGGTCAGCATAAAGGCCCTCATTCTTCACCAGCACCATGTTCTTCCCAGCCAAATCTTCATCTGGCTTGACATCCCGACGTTCTAAGATAGCACTTGGGCTTGGTGAAACACCCTGAGCTGGTGGCAGGTTAGAAAGGCGTTCACCATGATGCACAGGGCTGCCAGCATAGGAAGGAGGGCGCCCACCGCTGTAGGACATACGGGACCGGGATGGTGAAGATGACTGGAGCACCGGTGGAGGGGAACTAGAAGTGAGGTGGGAGGCAGGGGACATGCTGTTCAGGCGTCGTGTGGGAGAGGATTCTCTGGACGTGTAGACCATCTCCCTCTGGAAGCACAAGAGGGTAAAGAGATTTCACCCAAAGGAAATCCATTTCTAGCACTTATTCCTGTGGCCTGACTCGCAGAAACAGAATATGACGTGGCAAAACTGAACAATACCAGTTCCACAACTGCCCTATGTATGTTTCTCCATGTTTCACAGCAGTCAAAAACATTGGCAGATACAAATCATGCCCATCAAAGAATGGGTTGCATTCTCCCAGACACACAGTTTTCTATTTTCAGTAAGTTTCATATTCTGAGGAAAATTAAAACACCCCACTACTCCACACATGTACTATGAAGTGGTTTAGTTCTGGAACCATTTTATCTCTTCATCTGCTGTATAAACTAGGCCCATCATTTCAATCGCAGTAATCAGCTGTTCTGGCACCCTGGATTCTGTATCAAGATACATATGCTGCAACAAGAGTATATTGTACATAACAAGGAGATTTTCTGTATTGGGCTTCTGTCAGCCATGAGGAGATGGGCAAAAAGCATCAAAACTATACCTCCTGAGCACCTGTGACTGGATAGGGAGCTGTCCACACTTCCCCCCCAAACCTGTGATTTTTAACTCCAAGGACTACTGTGGTTTAAAAGGAAGACTTGGGAGACTCGGGACATTTGCATGTTGAGTCTAATGTCAAATTCTAGCATGAGGTGTAACAATCAGAAATGCATATTACATATAAAAGCTACTTGAGCAAGAATTGGGAGGGGAATTTCTTGTTCTTGCGACTACTGTGTCTGCTTCTTCCTCCATTCTAGAATCCCTCACATACAAGTTTGCCCTCTCCCCATAGCACAGCAATTCCCTCCCTTTTCTTTCTTTCTTTCTTGAAAACATTTTACTCTAAGTAATGTTCTGATTATCATGTTTATTGCTTCACTGCCAAAGCTCTATCTATTCTCCCATAGCAACATTTGCTGGCAGCAGCCAATGGCTCACACATAACTGCTTCCAAAAAAACACACACAATTACTGTCTCTGTCACTTTGTTTTCTTCACAATGAGTGTTTCCACTCCTTGTTCGTCCAGCCAAATCCCAATGTAGCCATTCCTCTGTGTGGCACACAGACTGTGTGTTTTTGCACAGACACTTTACACATTGGCACACATTCATATTCCCCCTCATGGGCGCAGTCCAGAACTTGGAAATAGCTGGATGCAACAAATGAGCTACTTGCAATTATTTCACACACACACACACACACACACACACACACACACACACACACACACACACACACACAGACACACCAATTAGAGCTACATCTACTTTCTGACTGCAATTTAGCAAAGGATAGCAGCACTTGTATTGGTTACTGGTATCTGGTTACTCTGCTGGTTATGGGCATGTAGCTTCACAGGAAGAATATCACATGGTTTGAGTGCTTGTATCTTGTGTCAACAAATTGAAGCACTCAGTTTTTTAAATTAACAAAACACTGGAGAAAAAATTAACAAGGAGATAATTCTTAAAACTCTAACAATAATGGTAACCAACTACCATGTCAGGCTATGGAACTATAACAACCTTTTCCTTATGGAAGTAGTGTTATCAGCACTGGGTGCATTCACTTTCCTAAAGCTAACATAGCTTGAGTAATTCGTTCCTTTGGCTTAAGATTCAGTTCTAGAGGACGGCAAATCACACACTGAATTCCCTGATCAGCTGACAGCCCCTTGCCTACAGTTATTGCAAGTATATGATTCAGGGCAAGGATACAGATGAACTGGTGTTTCTGCTTACAGTATATCTGAGCAGAACATCCAGGTGGCCTATATAGGAAAAATGAAATCTAGCCTGCCTCTGAGTGGATTTCATTTCAGAGTTTCCCAGTCCTACTGATGCAGAAAAGAAAGGTAGCTGAACTGGTCCTCGGTATATTTCTGGAGGCTTGGTAGCAAAAAATAACCTCCCAACTCAAGACTGTCAGTCCTCAGAGCTCTTAGGAAAGGGGGCATTTCCCAAAACTTTAATATTCCATGGGTGCTAGGTTATAAGGAAGGGGACTGGTTACAGGTAGCATAAGAAACATGGCACTGCACATTTGCAGAAACACATTGTTTGCTATAGCCTTACTCAACTTTGTATCATATAAGTATGCTGATCTACAAGTCCCATCATGCCCAACCACCATAATTGTTGTGGATGGTGGGAGGGGCACTCAAACCAACCTGGAGAGGAAGAATTGTTTACTACTAATATATACATCTTCTAGACAGTGCTCAAGAGCAAAGGCACTGCTGGAATAGTCCTGAGTGATTTGTCCCTTTCTCCTGCCCTATTGCTGACATCCAATGAAAGTAATGACAGCTTTGCATTTCCTATGGAGCCCACTGTTCTTACCCGCAAGTCTCCATTGGTGATGTGAGATCCAGGAAAGGAGGCATAGAGGGGCTCTTTCCGATAGATTTTGATAATGCTTCTGTCCTGGATATCCCTGCAAGAACAAACACAATTGCTTTGTTTATTACTGCAAGGGCCAAATTACACATGTCCATGACAACGAGTATAGTCAGAGGCACTGGAGACAATCTGATCATGATGTTGGCTTACGCCACCTACTGGAGGTATACGTGCAGCTGCAGAGTATCCCTCCCAGGTAAACGATTTGCACATGCTGCTAAAATTGTGGATTTTTTTTCATGCAATTCATCTTATGCCTGTTGCACACCGATACTGTGCTTGGGTACAGCATTCCTCCTATGAATTATACAGATTCCTGGGTTTTAGAACTTGCTAGAAACTTTGGAACTTATTTCCCAAGGCTCACATGAGAGAAATTCTGTAAGACTACAAACACGGATTCTCCTGAAGGCACAAAGGTGGCTGCTCTCTGATCTATCAAAAATGGCTTAGAGGGAAATACACTAGAGGTTTGCAGAGCAGCCAATCAAGCAGGGATGACTACTTAATAGAAGCAACTTGATACAGTTCTCTAAGTGTTGTGTGTAGTGCAAAGAGAGCGGCTAGAGATAAATTTTTCTCTCTGCATGATAACACTAACACTTGGCACCAGAACCAATAAAAATTGATTGGCAGCTGATTAAGGACTTAAAAATGGAAAGTGGTTCTTTTCACAATACATACTTAACTGATGGAATTGGCTGTCACTGGATGTGGTGCTGGCCACTGGTGTAATAAGGGGGATTAGTCCATTCATGGAGGACAGTTTTATGACTGCTTGTTAGCTAAATAGAGTCTCCAGGTTTAGAGGCACTAAAAAGCTGACGAGTAGATGTTGGGGGTCAACAAATAAGGGTGGGGGTGGCTATTGCTTTCATGACCTTTATGTGAAGGTCTCAGAAGCCTCTGGTTGGCCAATACTAAAGACAGAATGCTGGGCCAGATGGTCTAATCCATCAAGGCCCTCATATTCTTAACAATTTGAGTAGGAAAGCAAAAGAACAGAAGAACAGAGTGTAACAAACAACAGGTGTCTAGACAGGATGTGTTTTAATGAATGTTGAAAGATATTTTTATAACAACTATAACAATTTCCCTGCCCTCCATTATACCCACCCATTCCTCTGAACTGTAAAGAAAAAAACATTTCAGAGCTCTCCCTATGTTCAGTTCCAGGTATCACATTTTAAATCGGGACAGGGGCAAACTAAAGGAAAGCCATGGAAAGATGTTTCCCAGTTCTAGGGGACATTTTGGCAACTATATACTTCAAACCATGCTTCCCTGTTTGGAACGGAGCTTTGTCTTTTCTGATGTGTTTTATCAGTGATGGGATGTCCTCTTAAATCAGAAGTGACTCTGGATAGTGTCTCCCTGAGTTTCCGTCCTCATTAACAAGCCCTTTAGAGTTTTCAGACTCAAATTCGGAAGGATCAATCCTGGAAGTGTGGAGTCTGTCTTGTTTTTTTTTTTTCCTGTAGAAATCAAGGACTGGGCTTGGGATAAGTGTAAGTGTTGGCATTGCCAAGTCTGCTTCAATGATTAGAATAAGAGGTTTATTATTTATGTGAGGTCAAATGGTTCATAAATACAGAAGATGCAAAGGATAGAGAGATGGAACGTTCCCTGACCTTCATTGCCATTGCCCTTACATTGAAGCATGTTCTTGATCTTGGGCTCTTGATGTGGCTCATCTGGACGGAGTTTTATACACTTGATACTGGTAGGATGGATGATGTTTGCTGAGATGGGGGCCTTACAGCCTGCAACAATTTCTCCCAAAGATGGAATTTAAACGGGACTGTCAGTTTTTAGCAGCAATTTTTGTAAACTTACAACAGTGAAGGCAGGCTTGGGTTTGGTGTTTCTCCTTGAGGCACTATTGAGAACATTCTCAATATTGAGAACATTCTAATTGAGAAGGCCCATCAGTGTGGGGGCTTTTGTTGTTGCATATAATGCGCTTCTTAAAAGAGCCCACTGGGGCCATAAAAGAGAAGGAAGGCCTCAGCAGATAAAAAGGAATGACAAATAAATACTAAATACCATATTCATATGTTTCCTTAAAGATATTCCGTGAACAGACATTCACCGCTGCCCTGTCTGGGTGACGGGGTAGGGGTGAAGGTCTGCTCCCAGTTGGAAAGAAGAAAGATGGAGGAAGAGCAAGGACTCCTCCATCTTCGGAAAGTAGCCACAGGGCCACAGAGGCAGCTGGGGGTGAGGAGGCTAGAGCAGGCCCAGCTAGACTGGCAGACGAGGAGAGTCTGGAGGAGCAAGAGGAGGCTCTATATGGGGAGGGAATCCCTGTTTATGCCCTGGACCTTTGGAGCAGGGACTTAATGGAGCTCCAATTCCCACATGGCAGGGGATGAGGAAGGATACCCCGTCAGCCTTGACTTGTGGCCTGGCACTGGTGGGGACATCTGCCTCCTTCTAACCACTTCAACCTGACTCACAAGTGGCAGATGTGGCATAAGGACCAGAATGACAGATTGTGACACCTCCAGGAGGGCTTGGGAGGACCAGTAGGCAAGGTAGGAGGCCACTGGTTCAAGCCATCCTTGAGGGGAGCAACCTTGTGGTCTGGATTTCTGGATGTTACTTGGGGCTAGTCCCAGTGGAGTTAATTAGAGGCTGAAAAAGAGACACAAAAGATCCCACGTAAACTGATCTGGGATTGAGGGGAAGAGATCAAAGGGAAATTTGTTTTGAACCTGTCTGACCCAGCAATAAAAATAACTTTGAGTTGCCCTCCAAGTCTGGAGCCCATGAAAGTCACAACTGTTGGGGTGTGCAGAGTTTGGTGTGAGAAAAAAAAATCGAGTGTGGCCTTAATTAAAAATAATAACAAACTTTCTATTATTATGCAGTAGATAAAATTGATTCTGGCAGGTACCTACAGAGCAGATTGAACTTCAGTCTCCCTTAGTAAACCACCCCTTATTTGCTAGTTTATCTCAACTGGCACTCATTGATACCAATAAATTCTCTCAGAGACTCTGGTAATGAAAAAGGATAAAATGTTTCAGTTTACTCAAACATCATATTGTGTGGAAATATTAACTTGTTACATTACTAAATTTAACTACTTAATTTACTTCATTATTAGCTAACTAACTGGTTACATTGTTGACAGAACACTTCACTCTAACTGTTCACTTCTGACTCCATACATCTAAAACACTGACAGAACTAATTGAACCTTGACTGATTGTTTAAAAAAAGGTAGGGGAAAAGAATCTGAGGTGGAGAGGAAAGCAACTGGCTGCTACTGAGTTGTGACAGCAACCCCAGTCCAGAAATGTTCCCCCCCCCGATAAAAAAACTTTTAAAGCCACCACATGAGTGTGCAATGTGGCCAACAACAGTTACTGACCCGAGCCAGCGTGGTGCACAACGGCTCACCTGACATCCTCCAGCTCATAGAAGACATTGCGAGATTCATCCTTGATCAAGATGGCAGTGTTGGGGGACTTAAGCATGCCCATTGTCAGTTTCTGAGGAAACATGTGGACGATGAGAGCATGCAGAGTATCCATGCTGCTAATTTCATGGGTAATGTGTACTCGCCTCGTTTCATCCCCAAACTGTAGAAAAAGGATGCCTAAGGAAATGAAATATTTGGGGTGAGGAAGAGGTGGCATAAAGGAAACAAGTCAAGCGATACAGAACTCTGACGGAATCAACTAAAGCTCACTACGGGATTTCAGTTGTGCAAGACACTTGTTCAAATGTACCGTGTGTGTTTTATATTAATTTAAGACAGGGTTTTATATTAATTTTTGCTCCAAAAACATATTATGGCTTATTTTCAGGGGATTTTCCCCCCAGGTACAACAATCTACATTTACTCAAATACAGTCATGTCATCTTCTTCTGGTTGCTGCACAATGGGGTAGGGCTTATATTATGAGCATCCTGAAAAATCATACTAGGGCTTATTTTCAGGTTAGGTCTTATTTTAGGGGGGAACAGGGTAGTAGTGTGGAAATGCAGAATTATACAGTCCAAGTAATAGACAGAAATATCCGCCTTCAAATGTTCATTCCATACTGACTGAAGTTCTTGGATGAATCTCATTTCTCTTTAAGGTACACTCAGTGGCTATCTGTAGTCTGTGCCAAGACTCTTAAATGCCCTTCTGTGGGAATTACATGTCTGCTCACTTCTCCTTGAGTATCAAGATAAGTAAATACTTTTTCTGTTTTGCCAGGCATATGTGAGTAGCTAGAGAATTTACAAAGGCATTTAGATATTCTCTGCAACTATTAGTTCAAAAAAATTTAATTAGGTTTTTGACAGTATGGCTCTTCTTCTTAAAAAAACCTATCAGAGCTTTTGTAGTCTCAGAAGCTTGGTACCACGGCCTTCAGATTACAAGAGCTACAGGCTGCCTATTCAGCTAAGAAAACTATGTACTAGGTAGCAGGTACACTACATGACAGGCTTATAGTAAAATGGCAGCAAATGCCTATCAAGAATATTGCAACAGCAGTCCCACAAGGTTACTGCCAAGATCAACTGTCATAAAAGGAAGGTCTCTTCTGTACAATGCAGTATGTCTTTGCTAACTTGAAAACAGAGCTGGTGCAAGGCATTTTGCTGCCCAAGGGAAATGGCAAAACGGTGGCTGCCCGAAACTGCATAAGGATGACTACCGAACTGGCCATTGGCTCCTGCATCATCACTAATAACAGAACAGCATCCCCATCACCATTAAGCAAGCTAGTTTAGAGGGCACATCTTACATTGTGTGGTACTCATTGTTCAATTGTTCAAAAAAGAGCAATGCCTCGAAGAGAGGGAAATTAGGCAGGAAGCTGCCGCTGCTGCCTCCCAAAATCTGCTGCCAAGGGGCAAAAGCACATGGACAAGCAGTTTTGCCATTAGGAGGAATCAGGAGATGATAATATGTTGTTCCTGCAGGGTAGTTTGTTGGCCTGTTTGCATAATCAACATGAAAACAGCCCAGTGTTTCCTCCCAATGACCTATCACTGAATCAAAAAAATAATAATAATTCTAAACTGCAAACTCGTACAAGATGCTAGAGCATAACTGAAAGTTCTATATTGCTCCCCTACCTTGTGGAGTTTCTGAACTAGACCCTGTTTTACCTAATTCTGCCTAATTGTAGGGCTGCCCCTGCCTGAGAAACAAAGGAGTTTACCAGGTGATCGAAGTTTTGTTTGGCTGGTGGAACGAGACAGAGGCAAACTTTGCCGGAAACGGTTCATCCTGTTGAACCCCATGGGCAGCTCGGCTTCAGACATGGTTTCCAGAGACTCAGCTGAAGCAAAGGAAAGTTTAGCTTGGTCGGCCAGGCCCGGTTGTGAACCCTGCGTGTGCCGGGAACTTCGAGTCTGAAAGGGGAAAAAAGATAAATGTGGTTACATTCAGGATACATATATGGTATTTATACACTGTATATATAATTCCTTGGGAGTTCCAAGATGAGGCTTTTATTCCTCTGCTTTGTCCACAGAATTTGATGAAGTCCCATTACCATTGCCTTCTTTTTGCAACCCTCCTTTGATTTCCCTCTGCTGCTTCTCCCTTTTTTTCTTTCTTTCCACAAACAAATCTTACAAGCAGGGAAAGATGAGATGGCCAAACAATGTATTTTGTTGTGCAGTCAGGAACCATTTATCTGCAAGCATATTTATGTGATTCTAAGGAGACTTAAAGGGTTATGAAGTGCAAAGGAAGAGTACCTCCCCCAAAGTATTTTTCCAGAAGAAAATTTTGGCAAAAAATCAACATAAATTATCTGTTCTAATCTCTGATTTTGCAGATAAAGATCAGAATATAGATTCTAATTTATATTTCTTCACCATCACTTCATAATTCACATGTTTCCCCGAAAATAAGACAGGGTCTTACAGTATATTAATTTTTGCTCCAAAAGCCTCATTAGGGCTTATTTTCAGGGGATGTTTTATTTTTTCATGTACAACAATCTACATTTATTCAAGTACAGTCATGTCATCGTCTTCCGGTTGGAGGGCGGGATTTCACTTAACTAGGGCTTATTTTTGGGGTAGGGATTATATTACGAGCATCCCGAAAAATCATACTAGGGCTTATTTTCAGGTTAGGTCTTATTTTCGGGGAAATAGGGTAAGTAATGATTAATTTCAGCCTGTCAGGCTTCACATTAACAGCATGCCTATTCAATTCTAGTGCACTGCTTTAACAAGAACTCGGACTATATTAAAGGTGGCTTTTGCATCTAGCAACGGAGGTTGTTGCCATTTTCAAAAAGACAAATAGCTTTCATGCTTCCCACAACATCTGAAGAAAAAAAGGATCCTCCATTAAAGTTCTGACAAGATGCACATTTATATAATCAGATGACTACTGTATTAAAAGACAGTTTAGTACAGTGGTGCCTCAACTTACGAACGTCCCTACTTACGACCATTTCGAGTTACGACCAGCTCCAGCCACAAAATTTTGCTTCTACTTGCAACCGGAGCTTCAAGTAGATTTTTTATTAAGAATGAGAAAGAACTTACTAAATGTAGGAGTAGCATCAGTGAAACTGTAGATTATGGATTTTTTCCAGGGATGCTTTAGACCAGTGGTCAGGGAACGGGGGTAAATTACCCCAAATGGGGTAAAAATAAAATTCTGGGGGTAATGAGGATGTGACCCTAACACCCTTCCCTCCTCCTCCTCCTCCTCCTCTGCCCGGAGAGGGGGTCCCCGGCTGCCCAATTGCCCCCTTCCCACCCCCTTCTCTGGCCCAGCTGCAACCGAGCCCCAGCTGATAGTGGCTGGTGACAGGCCCTGGCTGGCAGCACACAGCAGCCAAGGCGGCGGTGGGGCCAGTCATGGCAGAGGGTGAGGCTGGAGTGAGTGGCCGGAGCACCCCAGCCAGGAGGAGCCTGTCCTTCCAGTGCCTGAAGAGGCGCATCGTGGTGGAGGGGGGAGGGCGTGGCCATGACAGCAGGCCGGACCAGGCTCAGCCTCCTGGCACCGGGCTGTTGCCGTGCCATGCCCCATTCCCAAAGGAGCCCATCGGGCTGCAATGGCACTCACCTGGCCGCGCGGCTTCCTTCGGCGCTGCCTCTGTGCCGGCCGGGCCTAGCAGAGCCTCTCGCCCTCCATGCAGCAGCTGTCACGCCGCTTCAACAGTGAGGCCTGCGGGAGCCCTGACGCTGAAGCCCGATGCAGCTGCCCTGGCGAGCAGCTGCCAGTGCCAGTGCCGGAGCGGGAGGCGGTGTCGGGCGCCCCAGTGGGCGAGTCACCTGCTGCTCTTTGATGGCTGCCTAGGCCCCGCCAGTGGAGAAAGGGAGCCACCCTTGTGGGGCCAAGGACTGAGCACGGCCCCGCCAGGTCAAGGAGGAGGAGGAGGCAGTCCAGGCGGCATTCAACTGGCCGTGTGTGACCGAGATCCTTCCTTTCAAATCAACGGGGGAATGTCGGCATATTTAAATTTTTTAGGGGGTAAAAGGTAAAAAAGTTCCCTGACCCCTGAGTTAGAGAGTGTACATGGAGGAGGCTTGGGACTGCCTCCTTCTGCTTCTGAATGAGTGAGTGTGTGTGTTTGCAGGGAGGCTTTGGGCTGCCTGGTAAGGTAAGGTACTGTTTTCGGCTTTTTAAAAACTGTTCTGGGTGTTTTTGCAGTGTGGCTTTGAGCTGGGGGGGTTATGTTTCTGTGCTGTGATGGGTCTTGGGGGGGTTGTTTGGTTTTTGCTTTTTTCCACCATTTCCAATGGGTCTTGGGGGGTTGTTGTTGCTTTTTGGAGTGTTTTTTCCCATTTCTGATATGTCTTGGGGTTTTTTTTTTTAATTCCCCATTTCCAATGGGTTTTGGGGGTTTTGTTGCTTTTTGGTTTTTTCCCCCCATTTCCGATGCATCTTGGAGGTTGTTTGTTTTTTGGCTTCCCCCCATTTCCAATGGGTCTTGGGGGGGTTGGTTGCTATTTGGGGTTTTTCCCCATTTCGGATGGGTTCTACATGCTTCCTTTGCTTTGTCCTTTGTTTTCTTTGCATTTCTGACCTGCCCCCCTTGTTCTCTGTGCATTTCCAATGGGTCTTGCACACTTGATTGCTTTCCTTTTCCCCCCCTTTGGCCGGAAGGGATTAATCGTGTTCCCAATGAGTCTTGCAGGGATTTTTTTTGTGCGTGATTTTTTTCTTCAGCCGGAACGGATTAATTGCATTTTAATGCATTCCTATGGGACATGGTGTTTCGACCTACAACCATTTCAAGTTACGTCCATCTTCTGGAACAGATTATGGTCGTTAAGTCGAGGCACCACTGTAATTAAGCCATGCTACATCTTGTGATAGAGGATTCCACAATTTGGTTGTACATTATGGTCTAACTATGTCCAATTCTAAATCCCTAAGGGGCAGAAGAGCAGGCCTGCACCCCCTCCCATTCGGTCTCTCAATCTCCAGTGTACTCAAGATTGATTGTCCCTTAAAACCACCATTTGTCTGTGGGGAACAGACTGTGATGTGCAGATCTGTTTACTAGCAAGCAACCCAGCCTGCCATTTCTATAGTCTTTATTGAAAAATCTCTCTAAAGCCTAATTGAAGTGGTGAGAGATGTTGCAGAGGAACTGAGTAGTTCTCTAAGGGCAACGACAGACATACATCAAAAAGAGGCTCTCAGCACTCTGAAAGCACTTTCCTTTGAACATGTGTATGAAGCACAGCAGTGCATTTAATGCTATTGTGCTGTGAGCACTGGCTGACTGCTCAAATGCTGTCTTGCTCTGTCTCTCTCTCTCTTCCTTCTCCTGTTCAGGGATAAAGCACTAAGAGTCTTTCGCCTGAAAGGAAAAGCATCTGTCCTGCTTGGCTGCAGGATATTTTGGTTGCTTCTAGACTGTAGACTCTCCAGATTCCACCAGTCAGAAAACATTATTCTCTTCCTCTCTTTAATAGACCTTTTTTGGTGGGAGGCTGGGAAGTAGTGAGAAAACTTGGGAGGGCTACATCTGGATGCCAGTAGATGAGGTAGGGAAATTGCATAATGAATCCTTTCCAAGAAACCCCATTTGAGTCAAATTAGATGATATATTTAGCATGTTTTCAGAAGAGGTATTCATTGAAGTAGTGAAAGTCATAGCACATGATTTTCCACACCTGCATATTTTGCCTCTAGTTTGTTTTGTTTTTGCCCTGTGACCTGATGGGTGACTAAACTCAAGGGTTAATTTGAAAATCTGATTGCTGAAACATGCATCTCACAGGAAATCCTGTTACAGGAGAGAAAGCAGATTATTCATAGCATATGACTTCACTAGCAGCAGGCAGTGAGCTAACCTCTGCTGCCAATGGTCGGGCTTCATTAGAATGATCCAATCTAACATAACTGTTCACATGGAAATGGCTCCTGCCATTATAGTGAAGTGGCTTAATAAGCAAGGTACTTCAGGATATTGGTGAATTAATCATTTACCCTACTCAGCAGAGGGCAGGGAAAGTTAATTTTTTTCCCCTGAAGAGATACTATTGCTGATGTGCTGATTATACTTTTTAAAAAAGTTAAGAAATTGCCTACAGCCAAAGCCAGCAGCATGGATTCAACTGTGGGCAATTTCTCAACCAGTTGTTTAAGGCAACTGTTTTTTGTTCCAGTCTGGCTGCTTCCAGATCTGTTGCCCTGTTTGCTCTTTTGTCCCGAACAAGTTCAGGTTCTTTGGAGGGATGCACAATCAGAGTAGTTCTGACATCAGCTCTGATATCATGTGTGACAGCATTCTCGATATGCAGCAGGGCTGCCTTTCACAGCTTCTGTAAACTGAGGTGCTATATAGAGTGTTCTCCCCAGCACCACTGCCTTGCCCCTGCTTTATGCTTGGCAGGATCAGTGTAACAAACACCCTGTTTTACCCTGCAATAAAACAAAGACCAAATGGCTCTAAACTCTCCTTCATACTCTGCAGATTTGTCTTCATGTCAGGAAGAAATCAAGACCCTTTTCTTTACAAATGGAAGCCTCCACTATGAAACTGAGAGCAGTTGACAAATTCTGGGCTACAAACAGCATCAAAAATGGGAAGGACATGAAAGGGGAAGAAATGGAGGCAACATGTTATGGTATAGGAACACAACTCATATGGATTACATAGGAACATAACTACAGGTATGATCACTTGGAGTGAATAAATTCAGATCTACTGGGAAAAGGGATCATGATTCCAAGCCACATCAATCCAAGCCACGCAACTTGTGTGGATAGCACCAAAGTACTCTATCACTAGTGCAGAAGCATCCCTTCCCATGTAAAAGAGGTGGACTTCCATACCATAGATCAAAGCTTGTGCTTGGGGATAATGTGATGTTCTTGGTACTTATTTTCCACGGTTCCAATGATAACACCAGGGAAAGCTACTGTA